ATCAATCCAAGGACAGAATATAAAGTTAAATAAGACGTAGAAATAATGATTTTATTCTTAAGGTCAACACAAAAAGAGCTATAAATCTTTTTCACAGGTGACTACAATCGCAGAGCTTTACATCCAACACACTCACGGACGTTAACGAATTACGAATTATAAGTTTTCAATGACGAACATTTTCTATCTATAAGAAATGCTTTGTTTCATCGGCTTTCATTAAGTCCTTGCATGTAGGTTCACTGTTTTCGGAAAAAAGCGCATTTACTAAGCCATTAAAGCAGGATGTGAACTTTCAGATAAAGTGTTATTGATCAGTTTCTTCTGTCATCAATGTATAGAAACCCAAAGAGCAGAATGTGTGAGTGAGTGAGTGCAGGTGGAAAGTGGAGTATAACAGCAGCTCCTACAGTCTTACCTGTGTGTTTGTGAGACTTTTGGGAAAACCTTCCTCCACAGAAACGCTGAGCGGAGTTCAGGCCGCTGGAAAACAAAGACATCACAGCTTAAAGACGTGCATTCAAAAACTGTGCTGCTAGAGAGTTAAATGGACTATGAGGTGATGCAATCAGCTGCTCAAGTCAGACAGGTGTCTCTGTAAAGACCTGGGCTATTAACTCCTCTACCTGCAAATACCTCACTGTGTCATTGCTAATAACGCTGAAAAAAGGCAGAAGAAAAAAAAAGAGGAACAACAGGGAAAGTAAAAGGGATCATATGCATGGCCAACCTCGATTGCATGTGAGGATTGGTAATTGCACCCCCAGAGGCAGCAGGGTGTGTGGAGCAGCAAAGTGGGAGACGCCTGAGCAGCTCAGGCTTCACAGTCAGTGTACCAACATCTCAACCTTGAGGAGGAAGTGAAAACAAGGCAGAAGAGGAGAAGAAGGAGGAGGAGGAGGAGCGGAGGGTGAGGGATGTACAGACAGTTCATTTACGCAGAACATCAGCCCCACCGCACATTGTCTGAAAGATAAGGAAAGTGAATGCTTCATGCCTGATGGAAAACAAAGGCAGCAATTTAAAACCATCTGCATCCAACACATGCACGCTCCCCCTGCACCTCTCTGTTTCTGTGTCCTGACTGATATTGAAACATAATCCATTTGGAGCGCAGATATGTCATAATATTTCTATCCGGCCTCCCTCTCCTCTCCTCTTTTCTCACTCTCGCTCTCATTCAGGACAATTTCAGGTGGATGCGGCTTGAGCAGGGATGTTTTATTGCAGCAAATCGGACATTTGGCTGAAGACTGGAGGCTTCGCTGTGATCCTGTTGACAAAAATATATTTAGCAAGGGATGGAGGTGAAAAAAATAAAAGGAGAAGTCACAGTTTACTGACCTCAGCTGTTCCTGTTGGCCTCCAGACTTGAGAAATAAGCACAAACCACCAGATTCAGAGATTAAAAGTCCTCTCGGATGACTCTGTCGACAGTTATCTAATAAAATCGAGCAAGAGACGAGCGCTTCACACCACAGTGGATCACTGCAGAAAATAAGAAAAAAAAGTGCTTTGTGGTTATACAAAAAATGTTTAGCCTGAGAAGTTCAATCTAGTCCCTGAAAATCCAGCCTGCAGACCCTCTCTTCTCAGTGTCCTCTCCTCTAAATAAAGGTCTCAAAAGCCCGAAATAAAAATCTGTTAAAAAGTTCACCTCATCTGATCCAGCCAATTTAAGAGATTTCTAAAGCAAATGTAATTTGATTGGTTTTATTTCATCTGAACTCAAATTAAAAATTGTTAAAGGAAAAAAATCAAATCTACGAATTACTGAAGCTGAAGATGCAACACCGTACAGAGAACCGAGTGAGTGTTAGAGTAGATGTTCTTTAGTTGCATCAAATCACTTCATTTATGGAAGTGAGGCAATGGCTGTCATTCATTTTCTCTGTTTTCAGAAGCTCCTTTAAGGGAGGACCTCTAACTGTACATGAACATGATCACAACTCCATGGACGTCCGACTGTGAGAGGGTCTGACGTCATCCTCCGTCTGCACAACAGAATCTGGAGAGACTCCACAAGTCAAGCAGAAATTCTTGTGGTGTGTTGGTTATATGGTGATGAAGAGTTCAACACTTTAACGGTGCTGTTGACCAAGCAGAATGTGATAATGAATTCTAATGACTAAGACCACGTTTCATCCATGTTCCATCTGTTTACATGGAGGGTGTGGAGTTTATGACCTTAAGTCAGTGATGGCTTTACAGCCTGTGAATATTTATGACTTCTATTTAAATTTAGTTCATCGTCTATGGGAGGCACTTACAGTTTGTGCTGGTTTTGGCGCCCCCTGTGGACAAAGCAATCTCACTGATTTTTGATAAATTAGTGTTTTATGACAAGAACTCCCACCCTGGAAATTCTTTTTGCTTAGAAAAATCTTAAAGCTCCTGCGATGATTTTTTCCCCCCTATAGACTTATATTCATGTTAAAGCCTTTTTATGATAAACAAAAACAAAAAAGACCATTACTGACAAGACCGGAAAATTTTATTGATTAATTTTTGATGCCTTAAGGTCCTTTCACACTGGGAGCGGTTTTTTCATGTGATAATTTTTTTTCGAACCTGTATCCTGTCAATACAAGCGTTCACATCAGCGACATTTTCCCGTCCCGTGATATTGCGGCATTTATTTTTTCGGATCACGGTCGAATTTTCTGAAGTTTCACATACTGTGTGTTGTTGCAACGTCAGATTCACCGGTATATCCAACATGGCCGACCGGCTGATTGTTCACATGTCGGAGAACAGAGTGATTTTTGATAAAAGACACAAATATTACAAAGATAACGACCTGAAGGACGACTTGTGGAGAGTCAAAGCGTCAGATTTCTCATATGACGATAGTTTTCGTGCTTTAACAGTTTGCTAAACGTCTTTGTTTTAACTTTCATCTGTGCTAAGTAACTTTAGCTTGTAAGCTAACCTGTTCAGATACAACATACCATATGTATTTTCACTGTCTCAAACTCAATCACGTTTCTGTCACAGCACCATTAGGTCTCAGTTGTTGCCTTACGTTTATGGATTATAGTTTAATGTGCTTATCTGGTACTGGCCCGACTCAGTACATGCTATCATTACAGACAGCCATCTCAACACTAGAGTCTAATCAGAACTGAAAAACACTCAGTCTGCTGTTGTGTCAGTCTTCTCGCTTCCACCTGGGACGCGTCTTTTCCCCCCCAGAAAGTTGCAAAATCGCATTGCGCTTGATGTGTATAGTCAAGCGCGTCAAAATTCGCCTCCTAATATTTCGTAATTTTGCATCGTATGTTTGCGTCGTTCTCGGTGTGTAAGGACCCCTAAACTGGTACAAGAGCATAGGACTCAGCCAAGCAGCTAAGGAAACAGCACTGATTGTTTTCTTTATGAGAGATTCACAATAAGAGATAAATTTGACTCTGAAAACAATTGGCAGGATTTTGTCTCAAAGACATGACTTTACAGATAAGCGAAGACGTTTTTGTCCATAGAGGACAACAAATTTAACATTTAAAAAAATTCCCTACAGGAGCTTTAAATGTGTTTGACCTGAAAAGATACCAACCTCTTAGACAATGTGCTCTTTGGTTTGAATGACTGACTAAATGACATGACCTTATGACTCTGTAATGAAAAGTTGTTCGTAAAGAATAAACCATTACTTTTTTATGTCACAATCTTTTCTTCTAACTTCTCAAACGCAAGATACAACAAAAACTCCAACTTTGCGCAAATTGGACCAAAAACTTTCGCGCATGACACAATCACATCCAAGAGTGAGTGATAAAAAAAAAAATCTCAAACCCTGACATTGACTCCGTAATTCTGCTTTAGGAGTCCTTTCAACCGCGCTGTAACTCTTCATTCAAACAACAAGCTGCTGCTGCTGCGAAGAGAGAATAGAAAGTAAACTTTTATCAGCCGCAGAATACACAAACAGTTTGAGAAAACAGATATGGGTCAGGAGCTGCATCTGCACAATTACATTGTTAATGGCAAAGACAATGAAAATGGCGCTGGTGGAAAACAAAGGAACATCAAATAACTCGCCTGAGCCGCGTACACCTCAGCCATCACCACTCAAAAACACATCCAGGGTTTTGAAATGAAGGGGGAGAGAGAGCTGAAAGGAAGACGAAAAAGCATCTTGAACATCATCTTTCAGTCTAATGTTAATAATTTATGTTGTCTGTGCTTTTTATTATTATTATTTATTTATTTACTACTTTCTTTTCAGCAGCCTGCCCGTTTTTCAAAGGCATCATGGACAGGGAAGCTGTATCAAACTTTTGAGTTTAGTTTCAAAAGGCTTTCTCCCCGTTTATTTATATATTTCTTCTTCTTTACACTTGTCTTGTTGTTATTTGGTGAGGCAAACACATGAAGCTTTGATGAGAAGCAAACCTGACATGTATTCTTCTCCACTGACCCCAAGGAAATCTAAATAAATTGCTAAATATTGTATGTAAGGCTTTTTTTTCCCTCCCCTCTCATTAAACATCCAGTTACATCCATTCATTTACCCTCCAACAATGTGTTCGATGTCAAATAACACGGCGGCGTAAACATGGCGGTGCGTGCAGGTTGGTTTAAGATGCACTCGACCATGACCCTGCGGAGAGAAAGTCAGGACAAGTTGGTTTTTATTCGACGTTTTTCAATAACCGTGTTTATGTGTGGAGTTGGAAAAGATGAAAAGAGAAGTCAGTGATGTTTTAAGAATATTTGTATGTTACTGAAACCTTTGAACTCGACAGTGAGCCGTGTGTACGCATGTTACCAAAACCTATACCACACTTTTTAAATCAACTACAAAACAGGAACTAAATTTCTCTTATAAATTATGAATCATATGGGCTACTCATGACCCCCGTTTATACCAACCTTTTCAGACAGAGCTTTTATTAAGCAGGTTAAATGCATGTATTTCACCAATGCTTGTTTGCTGTTGTATTTGTATTTACATCAGTGTCTCGTCCAACATAATATAACAGCATTTGAGTACACAGTTTAAAGTTCAGCCACAACAAATTTTATTTATTCCTACAGAGAATAAACTCCGCGGTGACCTTCACTCTGCTGAGTTCAACACAGCTGAGACTTTAACTCAAAATAATCTAATTTATCCAAACACAAAGAAGAAGACCTCTTTACCGTGGAGCTGTTTGATTTAGCTTCAAAACGTCAATCACAGGAAAGAACTTCCACACAACTCAGAGCACAAACTTCATGTCAAACAATTGTTTATTACTAATTATGGTACAAATCAATGTGACATAGCCTACTTGAAGCTTTTTTTTTTTTTTTTTTTGGAAATACACAAAGTGCTGCTTAACTGACCAAACAGATATTGCTCTATAGATTAAGTACAGTTTCCAGTCTATAAAAAAATGAAAACCAAACCTCTGTGGGCTCTTCAGCTTTGGTTTCGAGTTTCTTCAACTACAAACAAAACGTCAAACCACGTTGTTTGCGGAAGTAAAATTTCACAAAATCATTTAAAGGTGATCGACAAATCATCCTAATTGGTTTAAGGTTAAGAGCAAACACTACTGTAAATGTCCTTTTTCCTCTACGCGGGTCTGTGGAAACTGAAAAGTGAACGTCACAATGGATGAGAAATAATGCAGCTAGAATAGAATAAAAGAAACAAAAAAAACGGATGACCAGAGAGTCACATGTGGCTCAGGAATAAAGGAGCACATCACATTAAATCAAACAATCATGTGTCACATAAGAATAAATAAAACACAAGCCTCTTTCCTCCATGTTGAAGGTGAACATCAACACACACAGTGCAGAGTAATCGTCTGTCTTTTCTCCTGACCTGCTGCTGCTGCTTGTATGGCGTTGGTATGATTCTCACGAGAACAGTACTGAGGTAAACCTTGGATGAACTACTTTACATTTCTACTCTTCAATTCTTTTTATCTCAGATTTTTAAGATTGTCAACATCATGAATCTATTTCTCTGTACAATGTGCATAACTATAGAGCTTTGGTCCAGCATTGAGAAGTTGAGCGAAGGCATTGACTCCTTTTCTGTGTCTTCGTTTTTTTTTTTTTTTTCGTTTTTGGTTTTACAGCTTTATTGACAAGCCTCAGAACAGATCCCTATTCTACCTGCAGGAGCCGCCGGCTGCTTTGCTGCTTTCTCGTATATATGTCTGGCGGGTGGATGCAGACGTTGTCGTTTCTTGGCCAAAGATTTGCCTGAATTAAAATATCTAAAACATACGATAAATCATTTTAAAATAAAACAGAATAAAATCAAAGTTCTCTGCGTCTCAAAGTAAAGAAAGTATAGCCGCCTTCTCTGCGAATCTCACTCTCCTTGAAAATGCAGACATGTAAAGCTTCTTCATGTGTTTTCTGACATTAACTGAATGTGTGTGTGTGTATGTGTGTGTGTGTAACAGACAGTGGGGAAAAACACAGCAGTGCACCGGGGACTGAAAGACTGAGATAACCAAAGTGACATGGAAGGACAGATATCGAGCAGACACATGATTCTGAATAAATTGCATCAAATTTCACCTCACTTCAAATTAAGTTCACTCGTTCTGACATGTGACACTTATTCTCAACATTCACCTCTTTTTCTATTTTTATTCTTTTCCTGTGAGGGATTTTGTGAAAGCCAGATATTTGTAGTGACGGTACGTCTGAAGGGAGGGGAAGTAAGGAAGGAGGGGGGGGATCTTGTATGAAATTATTGACATAAATATCACAAAGTAAAACCACATGAAATAAAAAGAGTGAACAGTTAAGTGCAGAGTGATGGAGAATCGATTCATGAGCATAAATGGGGGATTCGATTAGCTTCTTCTCACATAACGAATGAAAAACAATACAGATAATGTCCATGGAGATTCTCATTCATCCAGGTCATGGTCTTCTTGAAGACTCCAAAAACAGGCAACTGGACCGTGTAGAGTTGAGAAGACGTTTCGCCTCTTATCCAAGAAGCGTCTTCAGTTTTTGAAAAGTCTGTGATTTTTGGAGTCTTCAAGAAAATTTTTTGAACGTTTTACTGCGGGAGATATAAAATCATAAATGGCAAAAGAAATGGTTGATTGTAACATCTGTAAACGTCGATAAGTTTGGAGGAATGCTAAATACAAAATACGTAAGTTCAGTGGTTGTTTGGTCAGCAGTAACAAACAGGTTTTACCCACATGTAGATATCATTTTTAAAGGGTTTATCATGTAAAACACGTGTTATAATCAAAATTCAGGGTTCTTATGTAGATTTAGGGCTTTTTGGTGCCAAAGTTGTAAATAATCCTCCTCCGTGTGGTTTCACTTGAAGCATGCAGAGGCAGAAAAAACAAGATTCCTCGAAGATTTAGAAATCGCAGTGATAAAAATTACAACAAACATTATTTCAGCTGTTTGACATGAGATTTTTTTTTTTAGTTAAACTTGACCCACAGAGTGAAATATTTAAGAAAAGGAGGGAAAAATCTGTGTGAAGAAGAAATAAATAAGAGAGAATCAAAAGGTAAAATCTCCACCAGTCCTTGAGCTGAAATTGATGTGTTCTTTGGCTATCAGGCTTTGGCAACAGAATGACACAGTAGCTCAAAACAAAGCTGCAGTCGACTCGACAGAAACCCCTCATCCTCATCATCATCCTCATCATCATCATCATCATCATGTGAAAGTCCTTAGTTCACTCCTCGCTCACGTCCTCTGAAACAATCTCATGAGATCATTAATAAATACCTGTAAAAGTTGTACAAAGTTACACCGTGACTGAAAATATTTGCAGATGAAACACAAATCAGAGGCAAACATCATTATAATGCAATTGTTCAACAGTAAAGGTAATTTTTTTTTTTTTGTCCAAAAACAAAAAAAAAAAAGAAGAACTTCATCAGTGAGATTTTAATCAGAAGAACAGCGTTTTTCTTTTTTTTTCTTTGAAAGATATTTACATACAAACAATGAAGAAAAAAGTAAGCCGGACAAAATGTATACTCAACCTCACACATATAGCTTAGATCTGCCAGTACAAATGTAAAAATTTAGAGCACATTTACATTACAAAATTATTCTTAGTACTCAGATGCAACAGACTTTGGTAAATAGTGTTTTGATTTGGTATGATCTCTTTACTAAATCCCTCCTCGTGGGAACCAAAATTTGGGCGATAGTCTGGTCTGCACGGCCAGAATCTAAAACTCTTTGAACAGCACACCTTTGTTGTTTTTTTTTGTGTTTTTTTTTGTACATAATTCTCACATATTAATCTCTTTTTTCATGTTTTTGGTTTCGCCAAGTTCATTTACATAGCTGTGGTAAATCACACTGACAACACATAGTTTTTGTTTGTAAACTGTCCATCCAGGTGACTCGGTACGTTCAGTTCATCCACCTTTTGTTGTTTTTCATGGCTGCCATTTTTCCACTCCGCCTATTTTTTCTGTTGTTGTTGTCGTAGTTGTCGTCATGGTCGTGGAGGAGGAGCTCGTTCATTTGGGGAGCTCCTCTAGAGAATCAGTGAGAGGGTCCATGGGTGCGGCGGGGCCCAGATCGGGCTGTTTCAAACGCTTTATCGTGTTTTTCAAAGCTTGCCTCTTGTTGCAGAACCAGACCCGCACCACCTCCCTGTCGTAGTTCAGTTTCTCGGCTATTTCCGTCATTTCCTGTCCGGAGGGGTGCGTGTTCTTCTCAAAGTGGCTGTTGAGGATCTCGAGCGCCTGCGGGGTGAAAGAGGTCCGCCTCTTGCGTTTTTTGGAAGGCTCGCTGCCGATAAACTCAGTCAGGTTCTGCATGCCGGATCGGTGGCGGGCTTCAGCCTCGGCCATCCAGCGCTCCAGAACGGGCTTAATCTTCTGGGCGCTTTTAGGGGTGATGTCCAACTTCTCAAACCTGGCAGGATATAAAAGGCCAGGGTTCAGTTTGCCTGTCAGACTGCTACCTATAGTGTTCTCTTGGGCTTCCTGTGGTAGGAAAAAGTGGCTTCTCAGGATGGTGTGTCTGGGGAGAATTGAGAAAAAAGAATCTTACTTAGGCGCCCTGCCAGAACAAGGGATAAGCTGCCTGCCTTTCAGTCTCCTCAACCAGAATGCCACAGGGACTGAGACTAACATCCAGGTACACATCCGAGCCAAACTCCTGTGTACTCTGCACCTGGAAACACCTCAGCCAAAGCAGCTGGAGGCGAGTGCTGCCAGCGGTGTGTTAATTTTCTGGAAGACTCTGTGGTTCTCTGTCCCACCTTGGCAATAGTGGAGTAAGGAGATATTGCCAATGGCTAAGATCAGGTCCAGTTGAACCAAGAAGAAAAAAAACAAACAAACAAACAGACACCTGACTAAATGTTTTAAATACTGCTGTTTGAAATTTTCTCATAAATCAACAGAAAAACATGAACTGCTGAAAAAGAAAAAAAAGAAAAAAAAAAACACACTACTTTCCCCTCGGCTGATAAGAACCAAAAATCTACTAATGCATGCAGTTAAATATGGCACCATCATTTATTCACAAAAAGAGCCTGAATAATTCATCAAAATGTACATATAATACATTTTTCAAACTTTCTTTCATCCTCGAACAACACCTCATTTTATATTTAATAAGAATACATTTACACACTCTAATCCTGAAAGTTTCTGCAACTCCACGCTGCTTATTCTGACTCCACGTGTGCTCTGGATTTTAGCGAGTCACTGTAAGAATGGAGAATGAGGCTTCCTCTGAAAAAACAACACTGCCAGTTGTCAGGTGCTCCTGCCTGTGAAAATTCACATTTGCCGTGATTCGATGCGGATGAAGGTCTTAGAAATTCCTCCTCTGCCTGTGATGTTTGGTTATTTGATGAATCAAGAGTCTAATAGCAGAAAGGAAAACCACTTAGTGCTTTTTGTTTTGTTCGATCTTTCTAAACTAACAGGTAAATACCTTTTTGGATTTTTGAGACATTGAATAACCTCTTTAATTTCCTCTGATTTACTTTTTATTTCATATTTTTATAACATTTGAGAGTTTAGCGGTATCTCCTGCTAAATTTGTTTACTAACCTGAACTTTAACACCTCTAAATCTGCTGTGATTGAGTATTTATTGTTATAACACGTAACTAATTGTGTTATAATGTAAAAACTTCCATTGCTAGAAGAAAAACTAAAACTTTATAACATAAATTGTATTTTTTACACTTAAAATTTACCATGTTTTAACATTAAGAACATATTGTTTTGACATGAAACTCCTTTTTTGATCAAAGGAAAGGTGTAAACTGACATATATAATTATAATATTTATAATATTTGAGAGTTTAGCAGTATCTCCTGATAAATTTGTTTACTAACCTGAACTTAAACACCTCTAAATATGCTGTGATTGAGTATTTATTGTTATATCACACAACTAATCATGTTATAATGTAAAAACTTCAATTGTTAAAAATAAAAATAAAACTTTAAAACATAAGTTGTATTTTTCAAACCTAAAATTTACCATGTTTTAACATTAATAACATATTTTTTTGACATAAAACTCCTTTTTGACCAGAGGAAAGGTGTAAACTGACATATTGAAGAATAAAGCTCAGGGTTTGATTAAGCTTCATGCTAAACTCAGCTGTAACTGAACCCAATTTAGGATAAAGTGATAGAATTCATACAGAGCAGCCATCAGAACCTCTTCTTCTGCTTCTGGATGTTGACAAACCCGCTGCTAAAGATTCAATCACCTCAAAGTGTGCAGCTGTAAATCAACAATTATGTTTATCACATGATTACATGATAAAACTGAAGAATAATAATCGATGTATTGTGATTTTGATTGTTGTTTTTCATTCTTATACACAGTGAGTTTGTTGTCTTCTGGTTGGGCCTCTAATAGTAATCACATGATTTTTATTTAAAGGCGCAAACCAGGAAACTGTGAGACAAAATGAAGAGACTGAGGTCATCATGAATGCAGGTTAAACCCTCTTGGACGTCTTGCACAGAATATTTTGATTCTTTAGATCTGGTGAGCACAGTCTCTGTTTTGTGTGACTGTGATTAACGAATTTGGAGTTTTTTTCTTTCTTTATGTCAGTAATTTTGTGAACAAAAGGCCTCAAACATGTCAGTGAAAGAGAACTCCAGTTTATATGAAATGCAGAATAAAAATGAATTCCACATATTCAATTTCTCTAAAACATTAAATGTGTTTTAATAGAAAAAGGGTTAAATTCATATTCAGTCGTAGCTGCTCCTACAGATCTAGTTTTTAAATGAACAAGAAGAAGAGTTGAGTTCACCGCCTCAACGTGTTTCTGGGACAAACGAGTGTGACGTGTGTGAATGCTTTTAGTAGAAGAGCTGTTGAACTGACAGCTCTGACGGACAGACAGCAGAGATGTGCGAGGAAGCTCTGCTCTCTGTGGAACAAACAAAGCACACAAGACATTTTTAATGGCCAGGTGAGCGGCTGCAGACAACAACAGCGGGGCTGAGATGCCCATGCACGAATGAACTTCCTCTGTTTCTACACCTCGGCGCTGCTCTCCTCCTTGTCGACAGGCGGTATTATTTATAACCCCGTCCTGCTCCTAAACAGTGGAAAGAGGACGGGCTCCATACTGCGGGGAATACATTAGTAAATATGAGGAGTCACCAGAGACGGGACATTTCATGGATCAACAGGAACCACAGATACTAAAATGAGTTGAGAGCTTCTCAGCTGGGGCATGCACTTCTCTCTTCTAGTGCATCAGCACAAGGGAGAAGTGGCCCTGAATGCACCTGCAGCCTCTCTGGCTCTTCTTAAAAGTACCTTAGGAGCCTGCTCAGACATGCTGTATGTTCAGGCCTGAGTTACAGTTCGCCTGAGGGTTCACGGTCCTGGAGGAGGCAGAGCGGAGTGAGAGGTTTCACTGGAAATCACAGCCACATACGACCTTTACTGTGGCAACTTCTGATCGGATTCACAGTTTAGATAAAATCCATAAAATTTAAATTTCAGCATCATTTTGTTTCAAACTGAGAAATGTTAAATACAGAAAAAAGCTGATTAACTAATGACACATTTGCTGTGATAAGACATTGGGTCATACAAGTACTGACATGGTACCATCAGTCTGTCAGGCCTAACTACCTACTATTAAACATTCAAATCTGGTTATTAACTGTCACTCATGCTGTATTCATCTATGTGGGTGATGCTGAATATAAATGTGATAGTTTGACAGCTGTTTCATCGTAGACATTAAAATGAAGAAGTTTCTTCCTGTTTCAATATAAAAAAAAAACAAGTTTGAAAAATGTCATTTTATTTTGTAGTAGAAATAGAAATGTTTAAAATGATATTATTCTAAATATTCCTTATTTTAATTTTAAGAGAGCTAATTTTGAAGATTGTTTATTGTCTTGCCTGTTTACTAATACACATTTACTTACATTTTAAATGCATTTTTATTTTTTAATTTACATGTTTTTGTTTTTAAGAAGTGAAAATTCTAAAAATGTTTGTCTGAGCAGACTCAGATTTTTTTTTTTAATTTTCCTTTATTTTGGAAACACAATGTCACCAAATATACACGATTCAATCACCGTGCATAACGCCTTTGTGATCTTTTATAAGCACATAATGCACATGCACAGTAAAACATATTAATGCTGCATGGCTTGCTTGGCTGCATGTAAATCCACACAGTCCTGAAAATAATAAACCAGTTTTCACTCTCAGACTCACGTTAACTCTCATACATACCTTTGAAATTTCCCCACTCATATAAATATCCATCAAAAAACCAACACATGCTTTCACCTCTGCTGTAAACATTTGACCATTTATCTAGTACATATGCTCACACTGGGGTCAGAAAGTGAATCCAGTTGTTCCATATTTGATATAACTTGGACCCTCAAATGTCTCTTTTTAAAGAAATTGATTCTCATCAGCGATAATTTATGATAAATACCTGCTTTCTTCCTCTTTAACATCTTAAGTTGGATTTTTTTTAGCTTTAAATCCAAGTATTTTCTTGTTTTATGTTTACATTATTCATTTAGGCTGAAAGAGGACAGACTGGCACATGATTGGTTTGATGATGCCCTCATGTAATGTCTATGCTTTTTAGATAAACTAATAAAGTGCCTGCAAACAAAGTCAGCAATGAAAGTAGACAAGATGGGAGCATCTGTCAGTGTCTGTTCTCTGTCTGGCTTCAGAGCCGGAGCCCCAGAGCGACTGTGACGTCCTGCCTCACCTCAAACTTCATGTCTATGCTGATGTTAACTAAACTAAAGCATGTGGACTTCGGCTCTCTACTTAAACCATCAGGATGTCATGTCCCATGTCATACAAACAAAAAATTGTCTTAACGGCATGAAGAGCGGCCCTCTGAGTGTTTATTTTCGGAGCTAATGGCTTTTAATGTATGTTATAAATATTTGAATTATTCCTGCCTGTTAATATTTCATGTGTGATTTTAAGACGTTAACATTAGCCAGAGACGGCTGAGGCCTCATAAGAACGCCGGCCTCCTGTACTGTTTCACTTTTTATCGCCCGTTTGATGTTGATGTGATGAAATTTTAAAAGCGCGTGGCAGCGCCGTGTCGCATAAACAGCACAGGTCATCAGCGCCGCACATGCATCATTAAAATTAATACGGGAATAAGGGCTGGAAATGGATGCAAAACAGGAAATAGTCGAGTAAGCTTTGAAGGATTATTCAGAGAAAATAGAAGAAAGTCAATCCTTTAAGTCGATAAAACCCTTATCCTCCAAACTGATCACTCACTCTAGTTAGTTTTTAAATAATTGTCATATTTGTTTGCTTTGATAAAGTTAAACTTAGGCCTGACACAGTCCCAGCTACTCTGACTCGAATAGGAAATGATGCTCATTTGGCGTCCTCATGCAAAATGTTAGTGAAGCGGAACAAAAGGAGGGATGAAACACTGATTGTCTGATTGTCTCATGAATATATAATGCACCATTTACGGCTAAACTGTCCTCGCGGCGGCAGTAAAACATGGCAATCTTATTAACAGATCATCTCCGTCGAGCTCTCTCATGTTCAGGCGGAGTGAACAGCAACGAGCCTTAGTAATTATTAAATGCTTTAAGTGCTCGGTGTAATACTTGTGGATGTATTTTGCATAAGTAACGCGCGGCTGTCATGTCGGCGGGTGGGAAGGACGGGTGAGGAGGACGGGTGGGTACAGGCATGAGAGCTTCGTTTGTCAGGGTGGTGATAGTCAATTATGTATTTTAATATCTTAATAATGTCTGTTAAAAAAGGGGATGAAAAATTGATGGCAGTTACGAGCACCAGACAACTCAGTGGAGCCGCACGACTTGATCTGCGTTCATTTGACAGAATTAGGACATACTGATGTGAAATAATGAACTCTTTCCTCAGAGTTTCCCCCTTTCTTTGTTTGTCTTACCTGCAGATGGCAGACTGGCTGTACGCCGGCCCCTCGGCCGCGCTGAGCGCTTGGCCCACCTGAGTCTGTGTCAGGCCCAGGGACAGCCGGCGGATCTTGAAAGCTTTGGCGAATTCACGGATCTCCTCCAGGTTGACCCCGTCCACCTCGCTGGGGGCGGTCTGCGGGTCTACAATACAACACACACATCTCATTTTATTAGCCCTCTGCTCACCCGTCCCTCACCTCATTTTGCAGAGTGAATGAAGCAAACAGCCAGACAGTCGTGATCATGATCGTCTCTAAACAAAATAGTCCTGCTCCGGGTCAGAACTTATTATCTCTCTTGGCCCTGGTGCCGCAAACTGCATGTGTCTGAGGGATGTTTGCGAGAATACATTCATCTGAGGCGTGAAAGCAGATGTGGCACCATTTTGACTTGTGCATGTGTGAATCTTTAATCTTACAAATAAAAACGTTTGAACAGGACCACTTGATACAGCGTCTGTGTAAAATCTCAGGATATAGAGTACTTCTTAAAACCTATATCCTCACCTTTTTTTGAATGAATGTACAAACACCATGAATCTAGTATTCGAAAATAAACGTAGAAGAGTATATACAAGTATTTTTAAGATCTCTGACCCTTTATGAGCAGAGTAGCAACCTCCAAACAACAAAAAGAGTCTCTTTCCATGAAGAAAGTCTGTTTGAGAATCTCCCCATTTAAACAGATCTCTAAAAAAAAAAACTCCCTGATGCATTTTGAAGAATTTCTCTGCTAATAAAAAGTGATTTCACATTGTACATCAATGTCAGGTGCCCTGGCATCCTGCTTACCAAAGCAAAGTTTGTGCCTCTGAATTATTCATCTTGGTCATTATCAATGAATTATTAAAGGAATCCTCCAAGCGTATTTAAGCAAAAATCTATGGGGCTGCCATCTCGTTGTGCCTCATAAGTGACGTGTAGCGTACGCGGCGTGCTCCAGACGTGTGAAGATGAGGGGACCAGAGACTTGGAGACGACTAAAAGGGAGATATGAGCACTCACAGTTTCGGGTCCCATCATCTCCACATTGATGAGCATCTCTTCATCATTCCCGGCAGAGTCTATTTACTCGGAGCTTTAAAGACTAATGGCGCTCTGAGGCAGCAGTACTTTGCAGGTCTGGATCCATATTTGTCTTTAGACACTAAATCACAAACAAAGAATAATCTAAACCTTTAAGTTATTTGAAATCGTGAAAGGAGAAGTAAAGCTTTCAGGAAACAAAAGAGTGAATGAAAGACAAATGAAAAAAAAACACAGAAACAATAGAGACGATCAATTCCAGCGTCCATAAAGCGGCTTCTCCAGACGGCAAGAACACACTAACAAGCTTATTCATTACAGCATAGTAACAAGCTAAACACTCGCTGAAAAGCAAAGTGGGATGAGAATAAATGGTGCTTCTCTTCATAAATGACAGGGAAGGACTGATTTTAATGTGCCACAGCTTTATGACAAACAATGTCGTCCAGGTTTTGTGTCTTCATGTAGGAATTAGTCTAAATGAGGGTAAAGTTTGAGGTAATGAGGAACCAGGCGAGAACAAGAAGGAGGATGGAAAGTTTCAAACAGACACAACAGCACATCCTAAAAGCTGTTTTTGGACTTAAGCTACAAAACAGAATCTTCCTTGTACGTCTGTCTACTGTATGTTTCTTGGAAGGGATGAACTGTACATTGGGAATTTCCCCTTGTGGGACTAATAAAGGAGTATCTTATCTTTATGTAATCTTATTAAGGACATATAACCTGCTCAGGTCATCATCACATGCCCCCATGATGCTAAACGAAGGCATTATATCTTTGAAACAGTCTGTCATTGTGCTTTTTGAGTGATAGTTGCAGATCTTCACTGTTTAGTTTAATTCTTAAGGACACAATGACGAATTTTAAGGATCTTCCTGAGCTGAGTCAGGAGCTGGTGGAGACCAAACACGGAGCTAAAATGAGTAAATACTCATAGGCAGGGAGGTATGGGCCCCCCACTTTTCGTCAGGGGTCGTTTTGTCTTCACCACAAACAAACTCTTTACGTATAAACCATTGTAACCCCAGTTATTTTCAGTAGTAAAGAAAATTCAGACGTATTCGTCCGAGAGTCTATAACAAGGATAATAACAAAAAAACATGCAGTTGTTGTAAATTTGCGTCTGTGCCAAGTTAAAGCTGAGACCAAGAGTTTGCTTTTTCTTCTGATAATACCTGTGGTGAGTTAGAAACTTGTTTGCTTGTTTAACCCTATGATTAAGCTTATGATCAATATATGCAAGGGGGCCTTAGTTGGTTACATGAAATAAGTTTACGCACTGTATAGTAGCCAATCCCCCCAGTTTTCGAGACAAACTGACGCCCTTGTAAATACTAGATTCATAATTATAAAAGTGGGTCAACTAAAAGCTTTCGATGAATAATTTTGAAACTTCTGATCATGTAAACAAACAGCTACTCCAACTAAAACTAGAAATCGGTCAGAGTGCACTTGTTACCATTTGATTCAGAATATAATAACCTACATATAGGTTTATTTCTCCTCATGTCTGCTGTAACCTCAGTCAAGCACTTTCACCCGAGTGTATCTGCTCTAACGCCACAAGCAGGAGACTGTGGTCCAAGTGGTGAAATGTGAGCTTGGGTGTTTGTTACTGGACATCAGCTCTTAACCTTTGCAGCCTTTATCTTGAAAAATACGTCTGGATTTACAGGAGAAAAAAAAAACAAAAAAAACAGCCTTGAAATAAATACAGTTAAAACAGCAGTTACCGACAGTCTCGGCTTTTGTACCTGCTCTCAGCACTTTGTTTGCGGCCAGTAAAGCAGAATGACAGCTCCTCTTTTTCAGAGTATTGGGATTTCACTTTGTGTCTATGGGTTTATGTATGTAACTGATCCTAAGAGAAAGTGAAATGGCTCGTACTCAGCATAAAGCATTAATTCCATTTACCTCAGAGCTGAGCCACTATGATTCTGAGCAGACTAAAAGAACGTTTTAAAGGATATTTTTCCAAGCTCGGAGTAAACACAAACCAAACAGTGTCTACAACCAGTTGATCAATGGCGACTTGTTTTTGATTAAATTTGGAGGCAATGTAGCTGCCTTTGAAATGAGTTTACATGGAGTTTAGGGGAATCGACTCTGACAAATGAAATTTATCTGAATAAAACAGAGTTTTTAAAGGCAATCGCTGCTTGCTGACAGGCTGTGGCCCAGTGATTTATAAGGCTCTGCCAAAGGCCCCGCTTTGGGAGAGAGAAACTTATGTTCATTAAACTTAATAGATGCCACTTTGGATCATTTAATAAAGCAAAGAAGTGACAGTAAGAACAAATATCCAACAATCTGAGGAGGCAGGGATCAATCAAAACACGTCCACACTGAGAGTAACGTCGATGTCGAGTTTCCTAATTGTTGAAACTGTAGTTGCTGATTTTAACCGGGACAGTTTCACTGAATCTAAAAAGTATTTCTCTTATCTTGCACGCGCTGGTATGGAGTTATGTTGATAGTTTTACTTTCTCAAGGTTTCCAGATGAATGTCAAAGATTTTTCAATCAAGCCCAATGCATTGGAGGTGAGCTGAATTGTCTTTGATCATTAAAAACAGTTTTTAGTAATAAACTCAGTGGAGAGAAGTTCCAAAAAACAGAGAGGTTTGTACGGAGGAAATGTCAGCATATAGCTTTTTTCTACAACCATGAAATACCAGTATTTTCTTTGCAGTTATCTCTCCTTTTTATTTCAGGGCAAAATCAATTTAAGGAGGGATCCGGCAAGGTAAAAACTTCCCAAAAGTTAACTAAAAGTCCTCCTGTTAAAGGCATTGCTCTGGCAAACAAATTAAATGCTTTACAGTTTGGTCTGCATTAACAGTGAAGTATGTAAAAATATCAAGCAGTCAGATTTGAGATTGAAATCCCCTCTGACTACACCTCCTGTTGGTAAAATCCCAGGATAGGTGGTGGCCTTTGAGGACAAGAAGCCATGGATAAGAGGTATGATGAACAGTTGTTTCATTTTTAACATACTTTGGAGTTTTATATACCATAGTCTTTTCTGCTAATTTCAAACTGAAAAATATAAGACTACAATCTCTTGCAAAGTCAAACTCTTTAAGGGTCCAGTGACAGAGATTTTCTATAGCTAACAAATCCCACTTCAAGAAATAAACCAAAAAAGGAGCATTTTTGTTATGACCTTTTCCTTTTTAAGATAAGATGTTCCTTCAATAGTCCCACAAATTTACAGCAGTATAGTATAGATACAAAAAGGGAAAAATTAAAAGATAAAGAAACTTTGAGTTTAAAAAGATATTCACATGCGTCATATTTACATCTGTACAGAATTTACCTAAAAATATGATTTATTGCACATTTTTTTATACATATTTTGCCACAAAGCCTCTCAAAACACTCATATTTATGGGTATGACCCATATTTAAGAAAACACTATACATTGTAGGTTATTTCATGCGTAAATTTATCCAAAATACCATCTTTGTGCAGTAAATACATTCTAGAGCATCTACAGTGAGTTAGTTTCTGTTCATTATTATTGCTAATAGGCAATATTTGGATAAAGCCTGTTTGGATTTGCTTCAATCTACAAATTGCTCGACTTTTAATGGAAATATTCAAAGGCTAAAAAGAGCATTATCTGTTGTCTTCCTAAGGGATTTGGCAAAAAAAAGAAACATCGCCCTTTCTGCCCTATAGGAATTCATGTTCTGTTCAAACTCTTACAGTCTGGAAACCACATCTATCTGAGCAAATATGCTTTTTTTTATTGTTGTAATATATGTGATCTTTACCCCCTTTCATTTGCTGTGTTTCTGTGAGCTGTGTCGGACACTTACTGCTGACCAGCTGCCCCACGCTGAGAGCCGAGGAGGAGGAAGAAGTGGAGGAGGAGGAGGAGGCCTGGTGGAGGGGACTCTGTCTGTGGGGCATGTGGAGCATGTTGGGCTGAGCGGATACCGGGCCTGACTGAGCCTGCTGCTGGAAACACAGACAAACACACACAAACATTGACATTACAACAAACCGATATCGACTACTATCTCGCTGACATCATCATAATAATCATCTTTTACATTAGTCACTGATATTAAATCTATCAACTAATCAGCAGCTATTAAATTAGCCGTCTAGAAGCAGAAGATAATGAGATTTACCTTGCAGCTAATGATGGGTGAATGTTAATTACTGCTTTGCTGCATTTAGACTGACAGAGCAGAATATGGTGTCAATAGCTTAACAGACGACAGGAGTCTTTCACTAATGCTGCAGCAGACACTGAGAGTCAACTCAGGTGCTTCTCTGTTTATATAAGCTTCACAATCTGTGCTGTTCAAAAAGAAAGAAAGGAAAAAAAGCGTTTGTGACAATTAGAGACTTTTCCCTTGTCATCAGACCTGCGAGGGCTCCAGTAATGTAAGCCTGCCTCTGAAATAAAAACATGTGGACACAGCAGTCCCCGTATCAAACATAATTCATGATCCGCGGGCTACGTGCTCTGATGGCGAAAAAACGATGTATTTTCATGTTTTATGCACATTTGAATTGCGTTTACAAGATCAAGATGGTACGTCTACACCTTTAAAGTGAAAAGCTGTCTCCGCCACAGCTGGGCCGGCTTCTCCTTCTCCTTCTTTGCAATTAATTATTTTCTTCGTGGCATGTGTTTGTTTGGGGGGTGTCAACGGCGATGCACACACTGTCAGGACTGTTGACAGGCTCGGAGAATTATCTAGCTTCACTGGAAATATTCTAGACTGCCGGCGCTGACAACCGTAAATTATGCCCGCGGAGCAATGTGTACACGCGGGCTTTGAAGTGGAGACAAAAGCATAAACATTATTACAAATGCATTAATTCATTCAAGAGTGTGATTTGGTGTTTTCACCGAGCCACAATTAGGTGTCCATCTGCTGGGAGTTCATCCATCCTGCACTGTACGGGCCTTCAATGTGAACTTTTACCCTATAATTCTGCGCTGACATCGTCATTATCGAGTCAATAACATTTTTTCATCGTTGTGTGCATGCATCTGACTCCGCACCCCCCCCCCCCCTGCTCTGTATGGATCCTCAAACCCGAGAGGAGAAAATGACTGAGCTGGAGTTTTCGACACTTACAGTAAGAACTCAAATCTGGTGTCGAACAAAGAAACAAACTTGTGTGTTTAAATCAAAACAAAATACTTGTTGTTCAGGTCAGAGAGGACAAATCATAAGGCTGGAGAGTATGATTGAGGAAGGAGAGATGGAGGGAGGGAAACGGAAAGAGGTGGAGAACAAGAGGAAAAGTGTTTTTAGTTTAAGTGGGGTGATGAAAAGTGTTGTTTTTTTTTTTTTTTTTCCAGGGGGTTTGGGCTCTGCGGGGGCTCGGCAACCTCCCCGAGTCTGAGTCTGAAACGTTAGCTGACAAGAGCCGTCTATAAACACACACACACACACACACACACGAGGAGAACGATCGCACAAAAAGCAACAACTTTGCGAGTGGAGTGATGCAAATGAGGGTGCGAGTGATGATCACGCTTCATGAATAAACACAGCAGCGGCCTGACTCCACTAGGTGTTGCTCATTCGTCAGTTTTAAAATCAGCTCTTGATCGCTGTCGGGACATCAGTTTAAGTGCATAATAAGCTGCTGTACAAGATATCTTCTTCTTCTTCATCTGTGTGTGTGTGTGCGTCAGCGTGTGTGTGTGTTTGTTACCTGCTGTCCGGGCTTGATTGGTGACAGCGTGATTCCCTGGGTGTTGATGACAGGCAGGATCTGATTGCCGATCACCGTGGCGATGATCTGGCCTTGAGCGTTGGTCAGAAGCTGAGGTGTAATTGGCTGTACCTGCAGTGCTGGGTTGCCACCCCCTGATTGGCTGGAGGGCCCTGCAGAGTTGGGCATCAGTGGGATTGTTCCAATTATCTACAAAGGGGGTAGAGAGGAGACGAAATCAGCTGGGTGGTTTTAAAAAAGAAGATGGAGCAGAGAGGGTAAACGCTACTGGAGGTACCAATCTTAATGATCGCTGCCGCTGTGACGCCCTTTTTTTGTTTGGCTTGAACAAAGCAGGAGACGTCATATTGCAGGGGTGACGAGGCTAATCAGAGCGCTAAGCTTTTGGAGTCGTGTGATTTAAGAAGGAAACATGCACAAGTGTCCACTGATCATCTGTCTCTGAGGTGGTTTTACAGCCTGGAACAAGTGAAGCTAAAGCAGACTGCTGGGAGCGCCCTGCAAAGGTCAACTCCGAATACCTGTGTGTGTGATGGTGCACACCACTGACTGTATTATCCATCAACCAGGCCAAGACCGGGGATAAGAGTGTGTGTGTATGCGTGACTGTGTGTGTCGAAGTGTGTTTGTGCTTAAGTGTCTTTGTCTGTCTCTGGTGAGCAGGAGTGAGGCAGCTGAGAGACAGAGACCCCCGTTTCACCCTCTCACTCCCTCTCTCTCTCTCTCTCTCTCTCTCTCTCTCTCTCGCACACACAGAGCGGCAGAAGTGGGAAGAAAGAGCCAGAGAAGAAACAATAAGAGGGAGAAAAGAGGAGCATCAGAGAGTGAGACAGGACCCTGTGCTTCTAATTCTACTCTCATGGTCCCAGGGGTACTTCACCCGCTCCCCAGCACCCCCCCCCTCCCTTCAGCCCCTGCTTTCCTCTCCTCTGTGGCTGTAATCAGGAAGGGCAGATCAAAGGGGGCGGCAGAGTGTCACTGCAGCGTTTTAGCTCTCAGAGCTGCCAGAGTGTGGCCAGGAGTGGCGCTTTAGGGGGGTCTTAGCGCCTCTTCACCATGATGAAGGTTAATGTCATCTGGGGACTGGTTCTGAGCAGCCGTTGCCTCGACCCCCCTGCTGACATCCCTCCTCCACCAAGGCTCATTACACCAGAGAGCAGCTCGACATAGATGAGATGTCCGTCACTCTGAATTCTGTTATTTGGGTTATTTTTTGAAGAATTACTCTCTTCTTCTTCTTCTTTTTTAAATTTACATTTCAGCACCAAAATCTTAACGCAAATCAGGAAAAAGCAGCTTCTTCAGAGGATTATTCAGCCTTTACTGTCCCTCTGTTCCTCCCTATCGCCACCACCGCTGATGTGCTCCAGCGTGCGCCCTGCTCCCCCTCCCCTCTCCCCTCTCTCTTTGACATAATAGGGAGGGATCAGTGAGAGAAAGGTGGGCCGATGATCTGTAATTCATCCTTGCCACGGCTCATTTGCTTACGTTGCTTCGCATTAGGGGAGAGATAATTTATCTCTCTCTCAGCGCCGGCTTTACAAATTCCCTGTAATGCTCTCCTGCCACTTAGCATATTTTATTGCCCTGCCTGACGCTCTCGTCTCCCGAGTCCCACTGATCCCGCTTTGCATGCCACTGTGGCAGGGAACTTGTTCCGCTCAATTATTCATCGTCATTGGACTAAGTGGTTGTTCTATAAGCATAATAAAAGAGCGGGCAACTGACAGCTTAGCTCTCGTCCCTGTCCCACCGTGCAATACTTCTCCATCTGAGCATCTCCAGCAGATGTTTCATGGCAGTGACTCCGAGCTCTTCGGAGCTGGAAGGACTTCGGAGAGGAGTCTGGTGTTGGAGCAGGAGCTCAAAGAGAAGGGAGGACTTTGTTTTATGTTTGATAGGGGATAAAAACTCATGCTGGGGTTTACCTTTAAGCAAAACTGAGCTCATAGAAGAGCCTTTTTAGATGTTAAAATAAATTTACCTGAAAGCTGATTCAAGTGTTTTTTAATTAGTTGTTGCTACTTATTGTTTTTTACTGAAAGTGTGGACCCAAATAAATCAGCAAAAATCATTTTAAAGTGATTTGAGTTTTCTTTTTTTATTATAATGAATGAATCGTTACAAACATGAACAGGGCTCTCATCAACTAGGGATTCATCGATACGATATTGAGATCAGATATTGGCTCCATGACGCTGATCCAGTCTTTTTTTTCTCTTTTATTTAATTTTCTTTTAATACATGGAAGTCTTACTTCTTTTGGCTAATGTGCAATTTGTTATTTTTTCATAAATGATATTAAGTAAATTTATATCTGTGTTAATTTGTTACCGTTTTATCAACAAGGCTTATGTCAAGCCTGATGCCTTCACTCACAGGGTAAGGTATACAGTTCATTCATTCAACAATAGTATTGAATCGATATTGGATATCGGCCGATACAATCATCCCAGGTATCGGTATCAGGAAAAATGGATCAGTATATCTCTACATTCAACTCTAACCTTAAAGTGGGTGAATACATGAGGACATATCTAACTAAACGGCATTAAATTGATGCAAAACAACAACCACACAACATATTGATTACTGTAATCTAAGGATGACAAATTATTTGATAATAGACTAGACTTAAAAAAAAAAACTGAGTCTGAACTCATCTGAAATGTCTGTGCATCACAAGATAAAAAGTAAGAATCAAACCTGATTCTTCTTAGAGCAAACAAAATTACATCTGCAGCTGACTTATTCTTTAAGACAAAATTCCAGATGTGCCAAAAACAAAAGTTGGATTTGTACGGTAGACGGCAGCAATATGTTTTTAATCATCACAACAAATTAATCTGAAGAAGTACTGTCAGCCATGTTTCAGAACCTGTCCTTGAGCAATATAAAATTAATGCTGCTTTCCCTAATGTTTGTAATGTCTGCCATGGGTGCTTATGTGTCTCCACCCCATCAGGGATGCTGGCTTTTAAACTGTGCTCTGATGTTTTGACAGTTTTCCACAGTCCAACTCAAATGAGCTTATAGGCCCAGATAACTCTCTGAATCATGTCTGTGAGTGATTTTATCTTTGCATGGAAAAAGTTTTAACTTGCATTAGTGGATGCAGCAATAAACTGTATATACAAACAGGAGTATATGGTAGTAAGTGGCTCTGAGCTCATGCACTGATTTCTTTTACTGAGTCATGTCTGTTTTCAAAACAGTACCGCCTGAGGGCGTTTAGATCACGGCAGCTTTTGGCGTTGTTTTGTCTTGTGCAGAGATTCCTCAGGATTCTCCAGATGAAAAGTAATGTGTTGTAGCTGATGAAAAAACGTCAAATTATTTGCAAATTTACATTGAGGAAAATTCTTAAAAATTTCGAACTATTTGCTCATGTGTGATGTTACTCACCTGCTGAAACCTAGTTGGGATATATGTCATTTTTTTTAAGTAATACAAAACTTTTTCTGTTTCATGGACAAACTTTTTGAAACTTGTTGCCGGCATTGGATTTAAAATGAGAATAACAGTATTTTATAAATATGAGATTTGAATTTTTTGTGAACACTGAATCTGATAAATCTGAAATTTGCAGTACCTCAAACTGACCAGCAGAAAATTTAGCATCCTTGTGACTCCCACAAGTTTGACATGGAACGATTTCAGCTGCTTTATACGGAAGCCCTAAGCGGACATGTTATTTTATTTGATTTTTTTAGCTTTGTTTCATGGGAAAACTATATTGTGATCTCGATCTTCGTTTTCTCGAGATCACGGCGTTGTCTCACATGCCACAATTCATCTGCATGTACCAAGAAGCACCGGAGCAACAGCCCAATAGTTATGACTATGAATAATTTTAGGATGATCTGTCCCTGTAAAGTTCAGAGAGTGTGCATCTTACCCGTGTATTTCGTCCTGTAGCAGGAGGCAGACACCGCGGACACTGCACTACGTAGTCCACTGCAAAATTAATTCTTGATTTCCAGAAAACGGGGGTAAAAAAGTAAATAAATCATATCCGCTTAGGGCTTCCGTAGCTTAAGAAACAATATTATAGTTTTTTTTACTCATAACACCCTTTTGGTCTCCACTAACACCCTCTCCTTAGCTCTACTTCAGTTTCTTCTTTATTTGTCTTTCTGTGTTTGCTTCCCGCTCTAGTTCGTATGACATGTGAGTATCCTGCTTCTCTCCACCCAGCAGAACTCATTAAGATTATGCTGCTCTTGTTTCCACAGAAATGTCATCTCATCTCTCCAGCCAGGGCAATCTGTGTCTTTAGCCATGGTCGCCAGGCAATATCTCTGCCCATTTTCTCTCCTCCACTGTTCATGCAGTGAATTTAGACCCCGAGAGGGAAAAAATGTTGGGGAAGTTTGGTCCAAACTCCAGAAGAGAAAGTGAAAATTCAGAGCAAATCAAAGCCTTAAACAGCAGCAGACACATGTTGGTGCACTGGACAGAAGAGAAGTTTCCTGGGTAGTGTGACCATTAAGTTTTCTTTTCTTCTAACATAAAAAAAAGTGTTCACAAACTGCAGAGGGGTGCAGCAATTATAAAAGGCTCAGAAGAAACTCCATGACAACCATTTCAAGTATTTGACAACTGCCATTTCTTGGTTGGAAATTAACTTTTTAATGGTTTTGTAATTTGCTACTTTACTAAATTTGTGTCATTTAAGTGTAATCTGTGTAAAGACTGCTTTTCTTCAACAAAAGGCCGCTGGAGTTTAGGTGCGCTTACATCCGCGACTCATTAATTCAACAGTCCGGTTGAGTGTTAAAGGTGATTTATTGCTCAAAAAGGGAAAGAAAACTTATCCAGGTCCAAACTTTTGCCTTCAAATGAACAGTGATGTGATGAAATGAGGGTAAAAAAGGATAAGTGAAAAATGGTCAACAGAAAATAATCAGAGCTTACCAGAACCCATTGTCTCTGACTACACTAGTGTTTTTAAAATAACATCCCAAAACCAAACCCCTCCGTGTCGATCCCCGGAAGTGACGTACCTAGTAGAAATCATACCCTAAACAAATATATATTTTGGCTCTTACGATCTGTTTGTTTTATTAGAGTGCTGTCCCGAAGAGCCATCTGTAAATTTGTAGGGAATCAACAGATTAATTGATGGTGAAAATAATCATTAGTAGCAGCTCAGGAGTAGATTTACAACTGCAAGGCCAACAGTGGTTTACACAGAGATTACCGGTGATGTAAAGCCTCCATCATGCACAGCACACACTTGTACTCTGGTTCAGCTTTCTTCGCTTCACAGGCTGACTTTCTTTGCAGGTAAATGTGCAACTTTGCTCTCTGCATGAGCTGCAACTGCATCCAGATTCAGGAACATAGCCATGGCACTGATGGCTGAAAATACTACGGGTACAAAAGGGCCGGTGGTGCTCTGACAGCCAAATTCTAGGCTACACAATGCTTCCTTCCACTCAGCTAATGCATACGTTTGAGAAACTGGATTTTTCCACAAACACTCAACAGTTCGCTGTTGTCTGAACTTCAGTGTGAACGGTAGGAAACAATCCCTAATGTTCTTCCACGATTTTACGCTCATATTTTAGCAGCTTCAAATGCGAGAATGTGTCCTGAATAGAAGATGTTGACTAAATGCCATAGATTCCAAAGGAGAAAAACATATCAGGAGTGAGATTGACTTAACAATATTCTGGCTTTTATCCACAGCAATAATCACTGTTGTAGAGGCGGCCAGGATAAAGGAGCCTCATTGATTCTCCTTGGAGAATAAAAAGGCTGGGTCCAATATAATTAAGCTTTAAAAACATATTGAACTGCAAACGTTGATCAAACCAGGAGCTTTTCAAGGTCCCATAGCTCTTGCTTATGAAAAGGGCCTTTTAGACGGAGTTGAGGCAGAAATTAAGAGGTCAAAATACATAAAACTCTGTGTTAAAATCAAAAAAGGCTCTTTTTTTTTTTTTGCTCATAGACCAGAGCAGCGGTACAAAGGGGCCAGAAAATTCTGATTGTTAAACAATCAATCTGCAGTGAATTCAATCCAAAAATCTAAAAAGCTCTTCCACTGCCTCCTGTGTTTGGGCTTTCTGTGCAGACACAAGTTCTCAGTGCACGTTTGGTGGACCTTCAGCCTTTTTCGCTGTTTGTATTAGCCTGTATAATGTCCTGCATGTTAGGGGGGAAGGGGGGCGGGACCTTCTGATAGGGTAGTTCATGTTTCAGAGCTCTCTGTCTGAATAATGTTGCGGAATAATGAGGTGGGGAGCAAAGGCTGTAGCCCAGGGCTTTGACCGTCTCTGTGACCTGATTATGTCAGGGGCTGTCAGCCGCCAAGACACTACAAAAGCACAGAGCAGCCCATCAAGTCCATATCCACAGTGATCTGTCCCTAGCGCTCCAGGCACCTTGTGAGCCAGGGAAGTCCATACTGTCTCATTAGTGACGTTTAGCATCAAGAGGTTGTGCACGGACAACACTTAACTCTAAACAATGAGGCCTGCTCACGCTGGTGGACCTGAAACTTTCCTCTGGTGGGCTGAACGTTTACATGTTAAAGAGGTGTCACCTACTGCTTTTGTTCACCATGATTCTGTTCAGTTCACAGTTTGGACAGTGTGAGTGTTAAAGATGACACAGAGGTTAAGGTAAATAACACAGAGTGGCATGAAAGGGCACATTGTCCGTACAATTTTCCTCTAATATGTGCCGTGTGCACCCGCGATAAGATGATTCATTAGATAGGGTCCCGCAATGACAAGCATCATCGTTCAAGCCTCTGGCTACTGATGGAACAATTCTGCAGCCACCCTGTAAATATGACAAGGTCAGCGTTTTACTGCGACAGGCGCATGCGGATAAGAGTAAGAAGGGCTTTGTTTATTCCCAAAAAGCTTAATATATGGCGGGGTGGCGACTAGAGATGACACACAGACCCACCAGTGGAAATCTATGAGCAAAGATCAGGAATACTATACAAATGTTTGTGATAAACCGCAGCCTCACGCAGGATAGATGATCTGGTGCTGTTTTCTCACTGCAGTTTCTAATTAGCTATTGGTATGACTGATCATTTTTTTTAGCAAAGCCAATTCCCAAACAATGTAATACCAGCAACATGTTTTAAAAAAGTTGGAACACGAACAACAAAACACAGGAAAGTTTTTGTATTGTATTAAAAAAAATAATAAAGGCTGGAAGAGCGTTTCACAAATGATGAGGTTAATTTGAAAAAGATGAGTAGCATGAGTGGACATAAAGGGCTGAGTGTGAAGACGTAGAGAGTCACCTCTCTGAGTGGGTGGAGAAAAAGTTCAACAATTCAAGAATATGTTCTTCAATGTCAAGTTACAGATATTTGTGAATTTTATCATCTTTGTATCTACTTTATATCAGTAAAAGATTCAGAGAATCTGGAGAAATCTCTTTAACAAAGGTCCAAAAGAGAAAATAGATGCTCTGTATTAAAAGGAGCGACTATATTTAATTGGAAATAGTGCAAATACAACACATCAAATGTTGAAACTGAAAAGTTTTATTGTTTTATTTGAAATATATGCTCATTTTCAATTTAATGCCAGCAACATGTTGGAACAGGAACAACAAAACACAGAAAAAGTTTTTGTATCGAAAAAAAAAGTAATGAGATTAAGTTGAAATAATGAGTAACATGAGTGGACATATGAAGGCTAAGTGTCTTAGAAGTGAAGAAGTAGAGAGTCACCTCTCTGACTGGGTGGAGAAAAAGTAAAACAATTAAAGAATAATGTTTTTCAACGTAAATTATAGATATTTGTTGAATTTTATTATCTTTATATCAGTAAAAGATTCAGAGAATCTGGAGAAATCTCTTTACAACATGCCCCCAAAGAGATACCAGGTGGCTGTGATCTTCAAGCCCTCAGGCAGCTCTGTATTATAAAAACAGACATGACTCTGTAGTGGATATCACTGCATGAACTCAAAATCACAACTAAGGGCCACTGTCTCTGTAAATAGATTGATTCTTCCTCTGATAAACGAAGGTTTAAACTGAAACATGGTTCACAAACACAGAGGGACTCCTCAGTAAACACGCCCCTGTCACAACTTTGGCATCAAATTTAAAAACTGAGCAGAAAAACTTAAAACAAATCTAACGTTTCCAGTTTCAACATGTGATCCAGATTACTCACCTGGCCTTGTGCATTTGTGACCAGCTGTCCGGTAGCTCCTTGAAGGTTTGACAAGGTGTTCCCAAACACCTGTGAACCGGCGATGGATCCCATGGCTGCTGCTGCTGCGACTGCTGCCTGGCTGGCCAGTGGATTCAGCTGGAGAGAGCAAAGAAATCATTTATCAAGACTCTATCCCTCTCTGGCGCTCTTGCAGATGTTTCCTAGTTAAATGCAAAAAGGAAAGCGAGTTCAGGTGAGCTCGATGTGTGGGGGGGTTTCCACTAGCTTTTCTTTGTTGCTGAGGCCACAATAGGCTAACTGTGATGGGGTTTGTACAGTCCAGCAGAGAGGGCTGCGCAGTCCATCATAAGGCTCCCAGAGGCCTGTGCTCCTGAACCCAGTGGGAGGCTCCAGGGTAGGGAGGAGCAGCGAGATCAGGAGGGTGGCTGTGAATAAGTGGCCATTTTACCACTCTAAGTGCTTCCTCTGGCCCCCGGGGCTCCCCGCGGGGCCATGCAGAGTCTCTCCACCCGCAGCATCGGCCCTACACCATCCCTGCTCTCACAATAGAGCCGAGCAGCGTGGCCATGCATCACTGTATCGTTGCTCCCTTCAATATGCTTCGACTGAGAATTCCTCCTGCGTCATAATGCTCTAGCACAGTTACTCGCAAAGGAGAGAGGAGGGTTGAAATGACCATCTTTACCCTCGCTGTAATGGACTCATCTGGTCTGGCCTGTGCTTGTGAAAAGAGGCTCCTTGCGTCGGGGAGAGGCTGTAGAGCCCCGCCACATCCACGAGATTACCCATATAAATCAAGCTAACCACTTATTAGGGGGCTGAAAATGCACTGCTGATTTGGTTGTAGTGCAGCAGAGCAAAGTCTTATTAGGTTGAGTAAGTAGATCAAAGACCAAGAAGAGATAGGAGACCTCCCAATTACTCAACAGAATAGAGAAATAATAGAAACACTGCTGCCTGCTCCCTGCTGCTAATATCGGCTGGCTGCATATTCACATACAGCATCAGAAATTAAAAGTAGAGTTCATATAACAGCTCTAACTCTGTGTTCTCTATATTGTAAAGTTCAGGTGAGATACGCTGTAAAAGTCTTCTTTTACTGAAGGCATCTTTCCACACTCTCTCTACACTGCGGGGAATTCAGCTTTGTTCATCTGAGATCATTGAGTTGCCATTCATCTTTTATCTTACCCCACCACCATATATTATTACACTTTCTGAAATCAAATGATGAAAAAATGCCACCGAGCGATCAATACTTTTTCATTGACAGTAAAGGTTAAGCACATTAAGAATGACACCGCATTTGTCTTATGAAATCATATTTCATGTTGGTGGCCTCAAATTGGCCGTGATTGATATTGCCTCCCCTCGTCTGAAAGTCATCCACTTTTTTCCTCGATAATCGCAAGATTGTCTTTTATGTGTCCAGCGGCTGTCCTTCGGAAATCTTCACTTCTCGAATGTTAGAAAAGGCCGATTCTGACCTTAAAATGAAAAAGTAACAGGGTAACAAAACCTCAGTCAAGCTGCAATTAACCTGCGATATTTGAAAATAACACCCGAGCTGTTATGTACTGCAGGATAAAATGTAATCTGGTTCTCTCACTATTAAAAGAGAAAAAAGCTTTTACCTCTGCTTAAAGTTTATTACTTTATATTCTACAAGAATCAGCTGCAGATCAGTTCAATTTCATTACAGTCATCTATTTATTGCACTTTGTTTTCTTGCTCTTATTCTCACAACAATATACAGAGCTAGTTAGTCTTTGTGTTTTATATTTATTGCGAGGATTTTTTGTAACTGCTTGTGAAACCCGTAGAAATTAATACTATTGACTCTAGATGGTCCACAGAAGGAGACGAGACCATCGGCATTAAAATTGACTGTTTCTATACAAACTCTTACAAAGAGGAGGGTAACAGATGTTATTCACAGCCTGCTGCAGACACTTTTCTCTCTTCTGTTCAATGAATTTACAAAAATAAAAGTACATTACTTATATACGCTAAGAGGAAAGTTACCGCTTTTACCATACGTTCCTCACAGAAGCGCAAACTGCAATAAATTTAAGTTTGAAATAGATGAGTTTATTTTTATTTTATCCTAAGCTGTTAGGAAACCACAGGGAAATAAAACTACTGCACCTCTGCGTGGCACATTTCACTAAATCAAAATATCACTCAGCCACCATGTACGAGGGAAGCATACAGGTGCAACCAGTCAGAGTGATACCTGCATCATATAACCTGGCTCAGTTCAGTGGAAGAGTTGGTAAGAAGCTAAATTTAAGAAGTCTATAGCAACATTTTTCCACGTCCTATCCCTTACTGCTGCGGGGAACATCAGTTTCACCTTTACAAGGTCCTTATGAGACAGAAAAATCAACTTAACGGAAACACTCCTTAGATTAACCAGGAATTATTGGACATCAGAACAGAATCAAATGATCTTAGAATAACCGTGAACCACATTGATACTGATTGGATATGTTGTAAATGAAATTCTTAATACTTCTTGATGCATAAAAATGTTATCCTTGGAAAAATAAATACAAAAAAAAAAATGCTGTATTTTACAGAATGAGCACTTTCACATTGCCTCTAACCTCTAAATTATGGTTTTAGACCACAGTGGTAAGGCAGTGCAGTGTCCATCCATATAATAAATCTAAAATCATTGATTCACAACAAAATACTAGGGAAAAAAGCTTCACAATATGGACTTGAAAACTGTTATAAAAAGAAGTTTCAAACTTGCAGATGTGATCTAAAGTAATTCTATGTCCAATTTCTGATCAAGACTTAAATTGTGTGACAACTTCAGCTCAAACTGCTGCTTTTTACCAAACTTGAAGAGTTTGGTTCTGCAGGATGTATCACCATGAGACAGCTCAACTTACTAAAAATGATTTGGATAACTTTACTTAATATAAATTGTAAATACATTTGTGTTAATGAGCATCAACTAAGACAGCTAAATATCTTCATATGATTGTTTCATAGGTTTTACTTTGTGCTCGTCAGAAAAAAGAGCAAGAAATACAAACATCTGAGACAAATGTGCATCCGCTGGCTAATAACAAGAGCAACAATTCATTGGACCAGGAAAAAAGGCACATTGCATCCTCTCTTTTTCTCCTCTCAGAGACAAAACTGAATTGATCTTGTTGTGAACAACTTGTAGTATCAGAAGAAAACATTTCAAAAGAGCAGGAGCCACAAGCAGTATCAAAATAAAAGCTGTCACATCTTCAGAATCAGAGAATGCAAGAGCAAATCTTCCGACAATCATCGTATAAGAAAAGGTTTTGGTGAGAAGAGTTTTCAGTCACTCAAAGAGCAATGTCATTTCTAAATGAACAATTCTTTATGGTCAAAACTTAAGATGCGTATGAAAACACGGTTAATATGATTTGACCAGTTTGTGGTAGCAGAGGGCGGGGTTTCTTGTTACAAACAGAACTTAATGTTGAGCGCATTTCCTTTTACCTCATTTATAGCAATAGTTGCGAAAGAAGAAATAGAAGTTGTAGTTATGTTTGTGAATACAAAACATCATGTTTGGTGTCAATAAAAGGGAGTCTTCAATCTGTATTTGTGAAAAGTATTATGTGTTGTGTTGTGATACTGGATGTGGACACAGAGAAAAGCCAACACGGTCAGTTAAACAGAGTTAAACAGAGGCTACAGATCAACTCACAGATAATGTGATCCGCTCAGGCGAGCACACCCAGAGTCTCCCTGAAAATCTGCTGTGCTCGGCATCATTGTGTGAGTGATAGGTTGTTGGAGGAGCTTTCAGATTTATTTGAAATATTATCATTGTGTTTCATTCGATGATAGCCCTTCCAGATGCTATGTTATTCGGGTAAATCTAGGTGAAAAGAGAGCAGGCTTTATTGCTACATCTCCTGCCACTGGGTAATATGGATAGCAGCTGAAAGGAGAGCCAGGAATAAGGAGAGGCGAGGCTGTGTTCAACACCTAAACAGGTGATTTTCCGCCACGGTGACTCCTCTCAACACCTCGGCGGGAGGCACAAAATGACAGAGCCGGCCTAGCATTTGTGCTGATTGCATGTGTTGCAGGAGATAAACAGTGATCTTCCAGTTTGCAGAGGCTGCATGTTAACCATTGTGTTTGATTCTTTTCATTCGCCGTGGAAAAAAGGGGGGATGACCGCTCTGGTCAGCTGCACAAGTGTTGTGATAACTCTGATGCAGCAATGAAGTCGAGAGTGTTCGGTTAAAGAAATGTTTGTGGTGTTTAAGTCCAATTTAAAGCAAAATGGAGAAGTATTTGACAGAGCTATTCAGGATGTGTTGAAGTGACACCTTAGCGCTGCTGCAGCCCGCATTAAATCATGTCACATCAACTTGTCATCTCTAAGTCACTATAACTACTGTCACTCTTGACAACATCACTGTTTAATACGGCAAATATACAAGGCTGCACAAGGATCAACGTGTCTCAGAGAGGAAAAAATAACCCTGCAAATTGTTAAAAATGCATCTTTTCTCTGTATGCTATGCAGGAGAGGGAATAAAAACTCAGCCAGGCTCGCCGTCGCCCGTTTGACCATGAGGGTCACCTGGTGCAGCAACCCGTGTAATCTCAGGAATAGAGGGAAAATAGCGTCCCCTGCAAACCGTGGAAAGACCCCTGGAAGCCCAAAATTGTCTGACACAAACTAACTGGAGTTTATTCTTGGGGTTTTTGCTCTTTTCATGTGGCCGTTTTAAATTTAATTGCTTTTTTTTCGGGGGGCCCTGCACAGTAAAAAAAAAGAAAAAGAAAAAAAGCAAAGATAAATGGGCAAAGTGGTGCAGACACCAAGAGCAGACAAGCAGATTTTGTGTCTGCTTGGGCTTCAGTGGTGTGTAAAAACTTATTTTCTGCTCATCTATGATTCAACAACAGAATCAAACATTTATCTAATATATCAGAGGGACTAAAAGAGAATAAAAGAGCAGGAGGATTGATTTAGCAAATTAGTGGTCAGTAATTTTTTAAATCGACAACAAAAGCAGGTTTATGTTGTCTTTTGTTTTTCTGCAGTATGAAACATCAGATTCTTTGGGAGATGTTTAAGGTTTTTAGGTCTAAAACAAACATGAAAATTAAATAGTGGTATTGTTTCTGAGAATAATGCACTTCATCTCTGGAACAACCTGAAAGTTTCCCTCGTTGATCCGTCCCCTCCTGCTCTTTTCCCACTCCGGAGTGAATGTAATCAGCTGTGACATGAGAAAACACGTTCTCTGTCTGTCAGGACTCTGCAAGTCTTCCTCTGACAGACCTCTCCTGACTCCCCTCCTCCTCTTCCCCCAAAACGGCCCCTCTCCCACCTCTCTGTCTCCCCCTCCCCTCACATCTGCAGTGCTTATGAACATCAAAATGCCATTAGGCCCTCCAAAACACCTCTGGTCCCTTGGTTAGCCCGGCCTCGCACTCTGGTCGTGCACTTTGAGCCCTCCGAGCCAGGACTATTGCTCACCGCTGGGCCTCTGCTGCGGCCGTTGTGAAAAATAAACCCCAAAAAGAGACATTCTTGGGGAAAAATATTGGGAAGTGAAAGACAGATAGAACAACTGGGGCAGATAACGCCCGGCAAAAACACAATAACGCTGCATCCGGTGACAGTGGGACATTGTAATTGCTTAAGGCAGAGGAGGGACAGTGGCGGTGGTGGCGGCTGAGGTGGCATGGCGGGTGCTAATGGAGTGATGTCATATGAAACGCCAGAATGACAGCTAGTTAACCGAGGGGGTTTGGCTGATCAAATAAAATGCATTAACTCCAGGAAATGGATATCGCGGGTGGCCTCAGAAATGGCCAATATCTAATGAGGCAAAATGCAAATGAAGGAGAAAAAGAGTCGTGAAAACGTTTAAACTAACTATAAAGGGATGATGGAGTACCGGACAGTGGCCGTCAATCTCCCCGCTCATTACCTTCATGTGAAATTAACAGCAGCTTTAATCATTACATAAAATCTGCTCCAGCCCATTTGTTGATAATTGTGAAGCGCAGAGGTTCAGAGTGGGTTCTTTGTCATCAATCACAGCCGCAGTGTATTTCCTCTGCTAAGGGGACACTCTGTGAGTAAAAATATAAGTTATACTACATTCCTCTTGCACTATTTCTCTTCCTGAGGAATGATCTATAATATTTAGCTGTTTCCAGATGTATTAAATTTGAAACTACTTGGTGATTAAGTATCTGCAGGAAAGTGCTGACCATTTCAGCTCATGATGTGACATATTTGGTGCAGTTATTTCTGTGCCGTACAAGTGTTGGGTTGGAAATCACAGCAGCGTAAAACTGGTGTTGCAGTAAATCCAGAGCTGCTCTGGCTTTGGGTGTAAAGTGGATACCTGGCTACGCTTATGGTTGCTGTGAGAAAATGAAAAATAAAAATCATTAGAGTCAGGAGATCAGACTATAAAGAAATTAGGAAGAGTATTATTCCGCTGTATTATCAGAGACTCTCTCTGGCCTTTTGAGAAAAAAATTACCTCAAATGTTCAATATGTAATAAAGCATATTTCTTGAGTTTGGTACTTCTGTTCCTCCTTCTGCAAACCATTCATTTTCGTCTAGGCGGAGATGGCGTCTCTTTTCACTCTGCTGTTGTTTGACATATAAATATAGCATTTGAATGACTTTAATATCCTCCTAATCAATGTCCAGTGATCTTTTGATGTCTTCAATTCAATATAGGAAGGGTCATCCATGCCGCAGCTTTATAAACACAATAAAGGTAAATGATTACTCTCCACTGTGGTGTCCAAAAATACGGTCAGTAATGAAGAGAAATGGAGGAGTTTGAGGGGGAGACCTGTCATGTGTCGTTGGCCAACTCTAAGCCCAAAGATTAATCACAAGAGAGGGGCTCTGTGGCTAAGATGTGGTCACCCTTGATCGATAAATCCGCCCTCCTCCCTCCCCTTCCTCCCTCCACGTCTCTCTTTTTCACCCTGTATCTCTCTCTTTTTCTCCAAAATATACACAAAGGTTGTCAGAAGCTAAATCTGTATAAGGGGAGGGATAAATTGATGACATTTATGGCTGTATTTATATTGATTACAGGATTGTTATCTTTTGAGGCTGGCATCTGTGAAGGGTTGATTTCAGAAAAATGCATAAAAGTTGAGTCTATTTGCAAAACAGGTTGATTTTACATTTAAAGTCTTGATGAAAAGTGTGTAGAATGAGCCTGGAGAAGAAAAGGCAGAGTTCAAAGTGCTCTTCATAGACTTCAGGGCAGCAGGACACAGTTTGAAGGTATTTCACTATAGATTGCAAAATATAGAGCAAATCAAGCCTCGCCTTGCCTGTCTCTGTGGAGAGAATTTCTGATAATATTCTGCAGGGACCACAAATGGGACTTTTGACTCGGTCTATGAGGAGGGCATAATGCAATAACATTGCATTAGAAGGGTCTTTTTACAGCGTGGCAGCGCTGCGCGGCTGTATTCCTTGTGTGTGAACCTGGTGCTCTGTTTGCGGTCACTAATGGGCATCAGAAATTACAGGCAGTGGAATCGCGCCCCGCGGGGGGACTGGCCTCCTCAGCGGAGCGGAGCACTTAGACAGTGTCTGGAAGCCTGCTGGAGGAGGAAGGGGGGAACTCAATGTCATAGCCCTGCCTCATAATTAAAGAAACCCTATTCCTTATCCACTGTTAGGTGAGCCCTAGCTTGGTGCTCCATCTGAGGGCTCCCCTGTGGGCGTCTAATGCGTGTTGCCCCCAATGTGCATGTGGGCTGATCGGGGGGAGCGGTGCCTTTCTGCTGGGTGTCTGAGCTGGAAGCCCTCTGCCCACCAGCAGATTAACAGGGGCAGGTTTTAGAAGAATCGCAGACCTCAAAAAGTGAGAAAAATATACACTTGGTGAGGCCTGAAAACCAGAAGAGCCAAAGAGGAGGCGCAGGCAGGGTGTAGGTGTAATTTTAAAAGTGAAAGCACCGCCACAGTTTTCCAAAAGATCCTCCTGAAATATGATAAATTTAACTTTCTCCCTATTTATAAATTCAGGGCTCATCGTTGGTCCTTAAGTCTGTAGATTCCCTTCCTGCCTAATCCCTCATTTGAAGTAAATAAAAGTAGTAGAGCTGTCATGGTCAGGTTGTTTTCCTCATCTAGCTCCCATGCTTTATAATTATTCATATGAAATGTGCTTCTGTTGATGGGCAACAGTCTTATTTTCTGCTTCAGTCAACAGTGCACATTTGTATTTCTAAATTGTGGAGCGCTTGTTATGTAAGGCAATTTTCTGCCTTCTTAAGAGCCGGATCTCCTGTGCATTAATAAGAGGCCGGGCTGAGCTGCAGGAGAGCTGAGGGGGCCGTTCATGCTCTGAACCACACAGCCTCAAACCAGCACCACTGCCATTTACACACACACACACAGCCACAGTCTGCCTCCACATGCCATTCATACATATTTAAAAGTTTTATGAGGATGTTGTCAATTTAAAACAGGTGTTGTCATGAATTATTGTCAGATATGAAAATGCTTGCAGTATAGGTGTATTCAGATTTTTGCAGCTTCACCTGAAGATAACCGTTTAATACGAGAAAATGAGTTCACAGCTTGGTAGACACAAAAAACTGAGTCCAGCTTACCCGAGCAAAACCCCGCCCTCCGAAGAGTTTTCAAAAACTTTTGCCACTATATTTTTGTATTTTTTTCAACAGAGTATTATTATTTCTGATCATTTATCTGATAAAAATAGATTAACATAGTTTTTTAAAAGGCTGAGGAAAACATAATCTGTGAATTTAGTGATATTTTTGCTGAGTTAAGTTTGAGTAGAAGGTTGTAAGATCACACCCACATTTATTCAGATATTATCATTGCTTTAACTCGTATTTTAAACGGTACAAGACATACACTCATTTACTTTTTTTAAACTTATCTAAAAAATGTAATTCTGACTAAAATGAAGTTGTGTGCTATTTTTCAAAAAACAGTAAAAACATCTTAAAACATTTCAAATCTTAGTTTTAGTTGAAGTTGTCATGATATCAGACTTCCTGCTCATGATCATTGTTACCAAAAAGATTTCACAATTATAATTTTATCTTGGTATTTAAAAAAAAAATCTGAGTAAATAAAAAAGCAAACATTCAATCAATTTAAGGAAGGCAAGAAAACAATGAAGCTGCACCTGAAAAACTTCACTAATAAGCTTAATTGACTTAATTATGTCATTATCTATTTCTAATGTTCAAAGTTCTGTTTTTTAGTATTATGATGGAAAACTTCTAATTAAAAGAAAACCCACTGTCCTCCTATGCCTGCGATTCTGCAACACACATTACACACCAGCTTTACCTTAGAAATCCAAAACTACCCAAATCTCACGATGACATTTTTTTAGGTGGAGTTGGATTACTTCACTTTTCATCAGTCATCTCCTCGGACATCATTTGCGCTGCAGTAGAAGCCACCCACTGAGGGGGAAACAAGTGTAACCTGATGTGATAACCTTGAGAGAACAGACTGAATCATAAAACAATCTTCTCTCTATTTTTTTTTTTATTATGTCCTTGTGTTTGCTTTCTTTTCTGTATTGTAAAACATGCTTTTATTTTGAAATGACATGCATGCTACGTCTGGTAGATCACAAGATATGGACCTGACTAAAAGCAGCTGAAAATGGCTTGAAAGTTTATATACTTATTGTATAAGCCCCATCTGAAGAAGCACAGGCTCTTGAAACATCATTTTTTTAGAGGATCTGACCATCTTTGGGAGAGTTCCCACATCTAACTAGCTGGCTGCTTCTTTTTGTCTTCTCTCCATTAGAAATCAGTGGAATAAGCCACTACAGACCCTCCCTGAATACATTTGTAAAACAGTAGTAATGCAGTATTACCTTATACTTATTTCTAGTGCACTATCTATATTTTCATTTTTGTTGAAAGACGGCTATCTTCAATACCGGCAAATTGTGGCAGTCTACTGTCAGATCAAACGAAAACAAAACCTTTCCAACCATTTTCTTAACACAAACCTTGGGATCTTCCTCTGATCCACAGACACCACAGCTGACTTATGAGATGTGTTAGATATAATGGACTCTATCCTCAACTTAAGTGTTGCCGGTTCCATCGACAAGCCCCGGTATGAGCCATTGGCTCTACATTTGAGCATGTCATTTTAATTTTGATTTAATACCCCGCTGAATGGCAGCAGCCCGTTTTGCTAAATTGAATAGACGTGGGGCTGATCTGGAAAATCAATTAATCGATGTGCAAGGCTCATTTCATACACATGTTAATATAATGGGAGAGACGCCCACCGCCCATAAAAAAAGAGAGACATTTGGAGCAAATTGGACAGTGGTGATTTTAACAGCGGCTGACATAAGTAAAAGTGCACTGCAGCGGAAAACAGTGACATGAGTGTCTGAAGGGGCCTCAGCTGGAGACAAAAGCAGCAGAGATGGACCCGAGACTTGAGGAGGATGGTGGAGCGAATAGGAGGGGGAGGAGAAGGAGGAGGAGGAGGAGGAAGAGGGAAGAACAGCAAGGAGGTGAGGAGAGATGGAGAGTGCAGACAGCCAGGCCTCTGAAAGGCCGTTGTGGTTGGCAGCCGCTGACCTTGGTGACGATGGGTTTTCACCAGAGGCTTCTAATGAAGGCTGATTGCCGGGGAATAGTGAGGGAGCCAAGGGGGAGAGAGGGGAGCAATGGGGGTGTGGGGGGGGAGTCAGAGAGTGAGAAGAGAGAGAGAGAGAAAAGGATAGAGGAGAGGCTCAGGTAATTGCAGCACTTGTGGGTCTGAGGCCCTGCGGTCCTGTGATGTCGGGGTGCAGTGGGGAAGAAGAGAGATGTCTGTGGACGCTTTGGTGGTAAATTGTGGAGCACGGGGATAGGAGGCAGGCCCCTAGGCTGTAATTACCCCTATGAGTGTGCGGATGGAGAGTGGACAGGCCCAGTGTGGGGCTCTGACAGCGATCAAGGAGACGACTGCAGAGGGGGAGTAGAGACAGACACACAGACAGACGGCAGGAGTCTGGCTGAGGAGGAAGACAGGACGCCTCCGTCTCCGCCAGACCCCCTGAAAACCAGCCAGCCAGCCAGACACTGGACCAAGGTCAGAGGCTATTAGCTTACACACAACATGCTGGTGACAAGACAGCCGTGACAAGAACAGCGGAGAGGCAGGGCGGTATTGTTGAGGATGCAGCTCTGGATGGAGAAAGACATGATGTGAGAGGAACGAGTAAAAATAAGGGGATGAAGTGATTAATTAGCTCGAAGAATCACAGAGGGAGAGGTGAGGGGGCTCCGCTGGGTGGCGCAGCTGGGACAGGGGGGTTCTGGGGCACGACAATCTGGAATAAGAGTGTTGATAGGCTGGCCTAAGCTTCCCTCTGCCACGGATCAGTATGTGCTGCCTCTCCTCTCCCTGCCTGGGCTGATGTAACTCACTGGAGTGGCAAATTACACCAGACCTACAGCTGTAGCCCGACATTATGATTAATTTGATCAGTAATTTCTCCTGTTTTTCATTTTAATCGCCGCGACCATTCTGCTGTGGCAGGTCTTTCAGATCTAATTAAGATCAATTCCGGTGTAACAGACTTGGCGAGCGCCTTTACCCCGTCAAATCCCTGAGCTCTCCGGGCGTGGAGAAAACCCGCAGCTCTAATCAATCAACTTCCAGCAAAATCCAAGCGGGCTCCTGCAATCAGCCCATTAACACACTTAAGCAAATTTTATAATCTCCCTCCGTCTATTTGTCATCACTGTGGTGGCTATTTCAGGCAGCCAGAGGCCACATCTCACTGTACTGCGCGTGTTAGGGAGCAGAGAGGATGTGGGCGGGGTGGAAAGGTAAACTCACTCTATTTAAGCACATTAGCTACAGCTATCTGAGTTCAGACCATTGACTCAAGGGGGGACATAGTGTGCTGGGGTGTGCTTTGTATTTTAATCTGGATATTAATGAGCCCATTAATGAATTTTGTCTACCAAATTAAAAGCACCAAAACACAAAAACACTGGGGATGTAATGAATGCTGAGGATTTTCTCTCGAAGAATATCACAGCACCTCCCACGAGAGGAGAATTACAATGGGACATTAATTGGAACATAATGAGTGTTTGTCTCTACAGCTCCGCTCGGTGTTTTCAGCAAATAGCTGAATGGCTGGGTGATTCTGCGTGTCTCAATAATGACAGGAGGAAATAAGGGTGTTATCTGCGTAATGCTGATTGTATTATGGTAATTATGACTTGACTTTTCCCGCACAGAGCGGCTCCTGTGGGTGAGACGCCAAAAATGCCCTTTTGTGTCTTCAATTAAAGCAGACAAAAGGCCGATCAGGGCGATGGTGCTTTGTGTGTATCTGAGTGAAATTCTCGGCTCAGGAGTCTCCCCGACTTAAAAACTTATGTGAATTAACCCCTGAGTTGCTCAGCGAGTGTGGCGCTGAAAATCCAATCACTGACCCGGGCTGCGGGGAGAGGCGGAGCTGCTCTTTAAATCCTATTGCAGCCTTGAGTGGGTGCTGAGGCTGCGGCCTGTCCTTGGGAGAGCCCCTCGCTGGGTGACACGCTCTTTAAAAACACCAGCACTGACCCAGAGAAACTAAACCTTTTACGGCCATTCTGCCTCTCTCACACACACAAAGCACACACAAAAACACACGCTCCATAATCCTATTTGATGAGGCAATATCTTAATGATACCTGATGTGGCCCCCTTTGGCCCCCCTCAAGGGAGGTCTGTCCTCAGTCATCATAATCAGCCCTGCTCCTTCTTTTAGAGGAAGACAATCACTATAAAGCTAAGGGTCTCAGTCGAGTCCGAGCAGGGAGCTTGTTCTCGAATAACCCTGCTCTGCTGTCCTTGTGCGTCTCAGAGAAACATATCCACAGACTAACAAAGCAGCTGCTTCCAGCAAAGCACACTTACAGCAGCATCGTGTCGTACTGCCGTCCAAGTTCTCAGTAAGTTGCCTGATGCAAGCCTAATGTGTGGATCTGTTTGCTGGTCAGTAGCTCTTGTATCCACAGTCAGACTGGACAGAGTGTTTGGTGCGATGTAGCGGCTAGCCCTTGGAGCCCATTAAATCCAGAGGCTGTTTTTCCTGCTGAGTCTCACTAGGCCGTGACAGGGCCGGAGAGGGCTGCAAGGGGGGAAACAAATAGCCCAACTCATCCTGGCCATAAAGAAGGTTGCACCACAACCCAATAAGGGTCTGACGCTGATGAATGTGACCGGGGACAGGAAGGCGACCCTGGCCGGTCTCCACCAGAAATGAAACCACAGGGATATAAAATAGGTTATTATCGTCACACAGTGACAGCCAGACGGACAGAAGGGCGGAGATGGATGGACGGACAAAGTGACTAAAAAGGAGGTTGAGTAAGAAGAGCAGCGAAGATTGAGGGACTGATAGCAGGTGGGAAAGCTCAAGGTTAGATAAGCTAACTTGATGCATGCTTCCTTTGGTGTGGTTGTAAGTTTGTGAGGTTTGATGTGTTTCAGCCGCAAGATGCTTATTCTAATATCTCCGCGCGGACAGAAGAGCTGCAGGCCTTTATTCAAATACTTCCACTTGAAGAAGATTGAGCTTTGTGTTTGCATCTAAAAGTCTTCTCAATGATGTGTTGCTAATGTCACCCCGTCATGAATGAAACAAGTCAGAGTTGGACACAATTCATTTTTTTGAGAGCAGAGTTAAAGGAACGATGCGTATAATAAAGTCTGTCTAATGCTGTGTTACATCAGAGGAATATAGAGGTCAATAAGAGAAAGTTTTCTGAGGTTTATTCATTTTAACTAGTGTCCGTGAAAAACCTGAAGATTGAGCTAAAAGTAGAGGTATGTATGTCTTTGGCATCACTGTTTGGATTATGAAAACCCTGTCTTGGTTAAAAGTAGTTAATAGAAAAAACCCAGAAGAAAAATCTTAAGTCTGTTCATTTCATATTAAAATAGTGAAAGATACTTAATTGAATGAAGATATACTTTAGCTTGAATTGAGGATTTGCAGGATTAGATGATAATACTCTACTACCCAGATGTAAACAAGCACAGATGATAGAAAGCATCTCATGCAGCAGCACAGTCAGATCTATGAATTTTACGCATGGTTGCAAGACATGGAAATATTATATGAATTTTTTACCACACATATTTTGCATTCATCATAAAATAAAACTTTAAAATCCAAAACGTTCATCCTTCTTAGTAGGGCTGGGCGATAAACTGAAAATTTACCGATACTGAAATTTATGACAATAACCGACGTCATTTTGCCCATGTCAGTATATTCAATGTCAAATTAATAAATAAATACAAGTTGGTTTTGGATGTGTGTAGGTAGGCTATGGACTCATGTCTTTTTAAGAGGCTGTCCTACGTCAGAGACATGACTCCACCCCATCCAGTCTGTAACAAAGAGGGTGAGACAGTTGAGGAGATGGAGGACGGTTCAAAAGTTGAAGTAGACGAAGTTAATGTGGGAGGGGGTGAGCAGCTTGTGGAGTAGTTATCATCCATTTATCGTTATCGAGGTGAACTGCTCAATATATCCTGATAGTGATTTGAGGCCATATTGCCCAGCCCTACTTCTTTGATCAAAATACTGCTAGTTTGACTGTCATAATCTGGATCCTTAGGTTTTTGAGCGTGATGAGACTCACCGGCAGTGGCATGGGCGGCGTGACTGGCGAAGGTAAGCTTCGGGCAGGAGACTGGTTCTGCCGGTGTGGCGGGGACTGCTGTGGCTGTCCAGAGGTGGAGGAGCAGGCCGAACCGGGAGACGGGACGGATGTCTGCTGCTGGTTGGGCGGGGTTATGTGATGCTGGGGCGGCAGCTGGTTCTGGACATGGGGGTGTGTCTGTTGGTGATGATGGTGGTGTTGCTGCTGCTGTTGCTGCTGATGTTGCTGTTGCTGCTGCTGCTGGTGGTGCTGCTGCATCTGTTGGAGCTGCTGCAGGTGTTGGAGCTGGGAGTTCAGGGATGAGGTAGCTGTTGATGAAAGGACAGCAAAGTTGTTAGGCTTGGGAACCTTAATCCTCCGTGTAGATGCGTCAAACACAAATGAGTCGAGAACTGACATCGTGTATTTGAGCACATGAAAAGGTAGCCATTATTTGAGGAATATGCTCACACCTTAGATAAAAACATACAAACATGTGTGGCGGTGTGAGATGCAAAGCCTGTATAGTGAGAGACATGTAAATAGCATAGAGCCACAAGAAGGGCCTTCAGGGTCTTTAGCCTGCATGATGGAGAATTTAATTTCAGCTGGTTGGAGGACAAAGCTATCAAGCCTGACTGATATAATTGCTCTCTCCGGAGCCAAAAGTCTTCATTGTCAATTGGAGAATGTCAGAATCTTTGGTTTAATGGCTTAAAATCTCACAGGAAAGAGACATCCATCTTCACTGGAAGACCTCAGAAATAAACCCATTAACTAATTGGATCCAATAATGGAGCACCATTAGATCCTAATTTCAACATTTTAATGCTTATAAATTTTTATGCTTTTAAAAAGTTAACACTCTGAGGAGGACTGAGGGAAAAGTAGGGCCCAAATACTTAAATGGACTCAGAATGTCCACCTGAAACATGATGTTGAGGCTGTTTTGTACCGAAGACCACTAAAAAAATGTATAGAATTAGCTGTATTCTCCATCAATTGATACTTAGATTTGTATTGAATGAGAGAAGAAAAACAATCCCTTATACAGACAACAAATAATAAATAAAGGAAAACATCAAAGCTAACCTTTATAGTGTAAAGAAAAGGGGCAAATAGACTTAATATACTGAACGTGCTAAATGCTAAAGGTTGTCTACTCTTAGTTTTCAAATATATGCTTCTCTGATAAATGGACATAGGAGTGAGCTGCTGTTGACTCTGTAATGACACAAAATGACGTAAGAACAAAAAGCTGATCCAATATAATTCTGTGGATTCAAACATGATACAAACTTGTGTACACAATGTGATAATCTTGTTTGCACAAGTTATTGTCCTTAAGGGAACAAGGAAGAATCTTGGGCTCAAATAATGTAGATTTAGTGGAAATAAAATTACAGTTTTATCTCGTATAAAAATATCTTCTAGAAGCAAGTTTTTTTTTCCTTGTGCACAAAATGTAAAACCTTTTGCACAGAATTTTATATCATGTGTGCATGAAATGAATATTTTACAAGAACAAAAGTCCTTATCTTTTGTATTCTATATAAATATCTTGGTGGAATAAGTTCAAATCTTAGTTACAGAAGATATCTTGTGCAGACCAAATTATTATCTTGCATGCACAAGATATCTTAAAGGTCTTATTATGATCTCGAAGGGTCTTCAAAGTGTCATGCCTTTTCTTTATGCCGATGACAACTTGTGTTCACGAGTTTACTCTCTGCACAGATTTACAACTAGCGTGAACAAGACAATATTTTTTTGCACGCAAGATAAAATATTTCACTTTTTAAAGACTTTACTGGCTCCATAAAAAACAGATAGTGTGTACTGTGTTTATAAACTTAAAGATCTGTTTCTTCTAGCTTACATTTCTAGAACGAGAGAAAACGTCGACACAGTTTAATATTCAAACAGCCCCAAACAAAGGAGTGAATAACCAAACAGCGGGTGAAAAGAGCGATTGTGATTATCTTTTGATAATGCGGCAGAACAATCATAGACACAGGCGTAGACAAGCTTGTATACATACAGAATCAATGCACTTAAATAATTTACGTATGGTTGCCTCATAAAAGATGAATAAAACATCAGGGCAGACAAGCCTTTGATTAGTGCGGTCACTACCACTGCAGGACGGGCACAGATGAACATTTGATGAAGATCAGATCATCCTCCTCTTTCCTCTCCCTGCAGAAGAGCCGCATAAGAAAGCCGGCGTCTCTCGGCCAGTAAACAGTGCACTTTTTAGATTTCTTCTACCTCCTGACACATTGACACCTCTCTCACACCCCCACCATGAATTATATATCATCTGTGCAAACGGCGAGAGTCCAATCCTCACTTGAAATGTTGGGGCAAGTTGTCTTGGCGAGCTCTGAGCCCCTGACAGGACCCGCTCTTTTCCTTTGCAACTTTCACAACGACAAAATGTTGAGCCCTATTTAAAGACGGAGTAAAAGGGAACAAAGACGGAGAAAACAAAAGGGGAGTAAAATGAGATTTCTGTCAAAAAATTATCGAAACTGGGCGAAGATCAAAGAGGATCGGAGAATTTCCTCCAGCGCCGACCATTACGCCGAGGAACAAGAGGTACAACAAAAAATATGAGGCAAAGAAAACAAATACAGAGGGAATATGGAAGAAGCCCCATGTGGCCTTATTATAAGGGCTACACCGCAGGTACTATATTCTTTAACAGCAGTGCTTTATAAATTCTGTCATCTTGTTAAGACTGTCAGGACCACTGACCCTCCCTTCCCCTCTAACGGGCCAACTGGCATTTTGAAGCTCATTCTTTTAACCACAGCTGTCTGATTGCTTTGGTTGAGCACATAATCCAAACGGCTTGTCTCAGCTAATTGTTTGTGCTCCTTCCTCCAGCAGACTCAAGGCTGAGGATGAGAGCGGGAGCTTCACTTATGATGGAGAGAGGGCAAAAGGGTGCCGAGATCCTACAGTGCTCATTATATCTCCCTCTGTCTCTTTGTTGTGTTTCATATTCACTGGTTCTATGAACAAGAAGCAAGCAGCGCTCCCACTTAGTCATGACGCCTAAGGGGTGGAAGAAGAGCATGGGTCCCACTTTCTCTGCTGTCACAACTCGCCTATGTTAATGTTTGTAATGAGAGCTGAGCCTGATCATAGATGAGAGTCATGCAGGCTAAATGACCTGATACAAACCGAGCGCTCGCATTTTGTGCTCCATTTAAACAGTTAAGTACAACCATGTGGGAGTTTGAAACACCAGTACGGAGAAGTAGACGTAGGCCTCCAACCTCAGGGCTTTGAAGAACTGTCTGCCATCTCTCTCTTAGAGCATTTTTACTTTAGTGCCACAGAAGAAATCAACTGTTATCTTTGACTGTCCCAGCCCTGGCTTCTGAAGTACTGGAGGACGGAGCGAGACTGATTGTCAGAGGTCGAAAGGCTAGGTCAAAGCCGACTCATTCGTCAGACAAAATGCTATTTTTGTTTCCTGTGCAGTTCAGGAGTGAAGCGGGGGGGGAGAGGAGAAGCAGCCAGCTCTCTCATTACCAGCGCTATCTCAGTAGTCACTGCCAACCCTCCTATTACGGTACTTTTCTCTCTGAGGCTGATTTGAGCTTGACTCCTTGTTTTCCTCTTGATGCACAACAGCTAGGTTTACAACTGTTCCCTATGTGTTATCTTATGTATCATTTGTGTGTGTGTGTGTTTTTGTGTGTTTGTGCACAAGTGAAGTCAGGGCTGAAGCCAAATTCTTACTTTTACTTCCAGGTTCTTTTAACGTTGCAACTAAAGCTGCATTTAAGGAAAATGCAGTCATTTTAGTGTGTTTACAGTTTTTTTCTTTAACTCAACAGATAAATTAGTTGACTGATATCACCAGGCTAAATGAATTTTTATGTATAAGAGTGATTAAAACTTTGATTCCCTGACAGTCTTATTTGATAATGCAAAATTATCTGACATAGATTATTTCTCTAATTACCTTTAAATGAAGATAATACTACACAATCCACAAGGGAAACATCTATTTTCATTTCTTCTCAAAAATTCAAAACATTGGTCACCATTAGGGTTCCTCATGTTTCACCATGGAACTTTTAGTAACACTTTATATGACGCCCATCTCTATAATGCATTATAAATTTATTAACGTGTTATAATCATGTTATAGCACTGTATAACTATAGTTATAAACACTCATAAATGATCATAATGCTTTATAGCGATAATAATAACACATTATAAAGCATTTTATCATGACTTACAAGGTCAGGTATTATAATGTGTTATAACTGTTAACAACTCACCGACAATGCCCATATAGATAATGCATTATACATATATCTATGATGTGTTATAATTTGCTTATAAACTTGTATAACTATCATTATAAACACTCATTATCAGAAGGCTTTATAACAATAAGAATAACACATTATAACACCTGACCTTGTAAATCATGATAAAATACTTTATAATGTGTTATGATTATTGCTATAAAGCATTATTATCATTTATGTGTTTATAACTATAGTTATACAGTGCTATAATGTGATTATAACACATTATACATATATTTATAATGCGTTATAGAGAGAGACAACAAGTAAAGTGTTACTGAATTTTTATGTATATTAGGGAGTGAAACTTTGATTCCCTGACAGTCTTATTTGATAACACAAAATTATCTGACATAGACTGACTCATTAATTACCTTAGAGAACAGCCATTTAATGAAGATAATACGACACAATCCACGAGGGAAACATCTATTTTCATTTCTACCCAAAATTTCAAAATATCAGTCCCCATATTAGTTCCTCGTGTTTCAACATCGAACTTTCTACAACAGGACACTTGATGAAGAAAAACTTGCTTGGCATGATTAAAGTCACCATTGTCCCAGCACTGTTTGCAGAACTTGAAGTACATAATCACAGCTCAGCAGACAGTTATAAGCATAGGAATTGGCTGAAAGTTTTATAACATATTTTCTTGAATAGAGGAAATAGCTGTCTGAGCGTTTTGCAAAGCAATAAGAGTCTAAAACCTTATAAAGCCTGCAATCATTACAGTGAAATAGATCGTATAGCTACTTCCTAACTGGTGTTTGAAACTATTCTGAATCTATTCTTCCCACTTACTTTTATTGCATTGAAACCGAAAACACACACTACACTAACTCACCGATTCTCTACAAACTAACTGCAACTGTAAATCTAATGTATTTAACAATCACAAAACCTTTATTGATTTATTCAGGCTATCAAGAAAGCATTATGTGACTCAGTGTTCATCATATTACAGCCCTTAGAAAAAGGCCCAGCCAAGACCAATATGAAGAATGACAGCAGAGTAACTTTAATCACATCTGCACAAAAGGACTTTGACTGTCTTTCACTGTATCAAACTGTGTTTTTCACACTGCATTAAAACGGTCAGATGAAGGGCGATATCTCATCTAATCTGAAGCAATTCAAGTTTTCTGGGCAATAAGAAAAGTAAAAATCAGATTTCTTGAGAGGAATGTGTCGAGTTTCAGAAGACTGTATGAAATCTAAACAAGCTTTGTGTAAATCGTTGGATTATGGGGATGTGCACACTGTGTTTCCTGCCATTGAGGTAGTTTTCTTAGTTGGAATAAGTGAATCACCTCGAGGACTCGGTGCAGATAAATGGTTTAATTAAAGAGCAGAAATGCCCTCTTTAGTCATCTACAGAGCTGTGGTTTATATGCTTTAAATATCATTTAGAAAAGCAGTACATCAAGAGCTAATCAGACCTTTTAGAGGATCCTGTCCGGAGTTAATGAAATCATCCAATGTGACATACCTTGGACTTTTAGGGACTGCTCTCATCTAAACACAACTGTCGTTTTCTAACAAGAGGAGAGAGAGAGAGAGAGAGCGCGGACAAACAAGCTCCCCATTACTGCTCTGCCTCACGTTCCACTATAGAGTCCATAAACCACTGTCTCAATTGCCTTTTCAGTGAGTCACACTGATAATTACTCCACTGGAGGTAAGGAGATTTAGACTCTATGAGATGTTGTAATTACAAAGGTGGTCAAAGGAAGGTCATTTTTACTCTGTGGATTAGATTGGAGCACTTGTACTTGAATGAAGTGGATAAAATCACTGTTTCTGCACTTCACAGTTAACTTTTATCACCTTTGGTCACATTGAAAACACTTGTCAAGGCAACCAACCATTGATTAATTTCAATAAGGATAAAACTGTCAGTTATGTTGTGTTCATGCAGTAACTCTTAATGATCAAGCCGCCAAACCTTAAAGGGATCTTCAATAATAAACACAAAGAAAGGAAAAAATGTGTTAAAATTCAGGTATTTGCTTCCAAAGTTCATGTTTGGTTAATTAAATTTGCTCCATTAACATGTGAAGTGTTGAAAATATCGCTTTATGGTACAGTTTATCCATCTACAGTATACATATGATGGGGTTGTTAGATTCTACTGAGCATTTGGTACAGTAAAATGATGAAGTCAAGCTGGGTTTTCCTGTAAATATGCAATTAAACCCAAAGGTACTGAGCAGATATGAACAAACTGATGGCCAGCCTTCTTGGTGCATGCACAATTCATAAACGACTGCCATGCACAGGTGAAGGAATGGTTCAATGAGATGGCCAAGATTGCTTCCTACGAACGACTTAGTTATAGGTTGCAAGACAAGGAAGACTTACATATGAAAATATGGGGCTCTTCTACCACAGCATCTTGATACAATGGTGGGTTGCACCTTTAGGCTAACTTCTGTCGCCAGTCTGCACTTGTATGCATATGTTTATATTGGTGTAATACTGTCTCTGTTGGACTCCCTCTGTGCGTTTGTTTGTCTTTTTTTTTTGTTTTTATCAAGGCTCTGTTTGGCCTTTGTTTGACTTGTGTTGTGGTGTATATGTATCATTTTTTTCCTGTTGAAAGCCAATAAAAAGTGAATTACAAAAAATAAATAAATAAACAACTGGCAAGCATAAGTTACGGCGATTTGTGTCCCAAAACCTTTACTTTGAAAGCAGTTTTCTAAACCTCAGCTTTAATGATGAACAAATCTATGTTTTCGAAATATATACAAAAATAAAAATCACCATAGTACTTCAAGTTTGAACTATCATCCACAAGCAAAACACAGAGGTGCAGCAAATCAGACTAATGTCAGTGAGAAACGGCATCACTAAGGCCAGCAGAGCATTGTTTTGGATGACACTAAGTGATTGAAGTGACAGTTACTAAAGAGATGGAAACTGACCAGACAACTGTGGGCCCAGGTGTGGGCCCAGGTGCAGTCAAGTCACACTCTTTTATTTACTGCTGGGAAGTTCAACCAACAACAGAGTCAATGTGTTAGTTGTGTAAATTGTAACGTAAAAAAACAATTAGTTTTAAAAGAAATGCAGTGGACTGGAAAAGGAACCATCCCCCTCTGAGATGTAAAGAAGTCTTCTATAGCTGGAAATAAGTCACAGTATGGATAGATTGGTGCACTCTTTGTGTAAATGTACTCAATCATATTCCACGGCTGCATACCGCTCTGGTATGAGCTATAACCACGCGCAGCAACTGTCTGTATGTTAGTAAGAAAACAAAGTCAAGATTTCATTGTCTACAGACAAAGCAGAAAAAAACAAACATTTTTCTCTTAACACAAACCAAACACAATAAGTGTCACATTCCTTTTACCAGCGGCTCCACTGTCAGTAATCACGTTGAAGGAATGGAAAACAGACCCCTGCCTTTGTAATGTCTGGAATAAACATGGAGAAAAACCAAGTGTTAAAGGAACAAGTGAGCTACTGAATAAAAACATTACTCAGAGCCGCAGCAGGCAATATCACTGTCTCAGTCCTGCAGTAGGAGAAACTCAGCCACTCCAGAAAGAAAAAAAATAATAAAATAAATATAGGCAGTTAAGATTTGAGCGGAGTCGCGGAGCCACAGGATTTTAGAGTAAACCACATCGCTTGTAGGGATCCAGAGATAATGCTTTCACTTTGTGATGCAAGGCAATATCAAGCTGTGTTGTAGAATTCTCACTCTGGGGGAAGCATTTCAAAGAATCAAATCCTCTCCATGGAGATGTTACACATACAAGAAAATCCCTGTGTGCTCGATAATGCTGCCCTTTTGTGTGATGCTAACGCTAGTTTATTGATTTCCAAAGTGTGGTCTAGGGACTTCTTGGGGGCCTAAGGAGAGTTCCAGGGGGTCGGAAGGAAAGTAAGACCCAGTTTAGTTTCCTGAATCTCCTCCCTGAGTGAAAATATATAAATGATTTTTTTAATACAAAGAGTTTACAGACTAGATAAATTCATTTCTCATGTTATTTTTACCCTGTGTTTTTTCATGCAGATTTATCGGTTAAATCAGCCGTTTAGTGTCAGATTTAAAGAAAAAACATCCAAATGATGGCCCTTTAAGGCAAAGGTCTGCTGTTTTCTCTGTTTTCTGTTAAGTTCTCAAACAATAAATGTCCTTTAACTTAGTTTATCAGGACAAAACTCAATTAAATGGCACTTTGTTACAATTTAATGAAACATTTACGTTTACAGGAGAAAAAGTCCTTCACTATCAAACTCCACACATTATTGGAAATTATTTTTATGGTCAGAAGTTAAAATGCTTAGAAATTTGGGGGAATGAAGGATGTACTTATGTGGGTCTCAATAAGGGGTCTCTTGCTTTTGTCCTTCAGAGTCCACAAGGTGCTGGACCCCCCGCGCCCTTGTATGAAAAAAAAAAAAAAAAACACAGAGGCTGTCTGCCTGGCAGGACAGACTGGGTTATTACAGCGTGTTCATGGTCCCATCATGTGTCGTCAGACCAAAGCGGAGGCCGCGAGTAAAAGCCTCATGCAAAATTTATGTTCATGCGGCTGTTTCAGTGGGTGGAAAAATCAATATTGCGGGCCTGATGCACGGAGATGACTGAGTGCTCTCTGACTGACAGTAAAAGCAGAGAGAGATTGAGGGGCTGCATTTACTGCTCTAGAAATGGAGTGGAGTAGAGTTGCTCTAATAGTCTAGTTCACCTTAGATTTGAATTTAATTGTGGATTATTTTGGTAACAACTTGGATATTGAAGGCTTGAAGAAATCATCGGAGAAAAGGAGAACAAATCAAGAATAAGCATTGCATTGTGGTTTCTGAGCAGCTAAAGTATCGAATATTATGGGATTATTAAGCCTTCCCTTCCTTTTCCAACTTACGCAGATATAAAGTGATTGTAGAATAATCAAAAGACAATGTGGGTATGAGGAGGACATCATAGGGCTTTTGTTCTGCGCTGCTTCGCTAACATATGCTTTTGATAGTGCGCCACATACCCACAGTGCATTTGGAGAGGAATGCGAGAAGAGAGCGAAAGAAAGTGAGAGAAAGAAATTCAGTGGGATGAAATAAGCCCAAACAATGGGATTTGCTTTCCATTCTTCTGCCTCCATCTTCTGTCTTTAATTATTCCCTTTGGTTGTCTGAGGGAGCGTGTAAGCACTTTCACACAGCACAACATGCCCAGCAGCACAACACTGTCTGCCTTAGTGATGTGGAGACTTCTGAGTGACACTGAGCCTCTTGTGATTATTAATGCTGTTTAATACAACACAGAGCAGCCACTATGATTGAGGGAAAAAACAGATTTCAAAATGCATGCATTCAAAAATGTGCAATGTGAATGGAATTATGTACAACACCAGCTCTGCACTTGAGATACATTTCCCCCCTCTGCTACATAAACAACATGTACAGCATGAGATGCAGGCTAATGTTTTGTAGATGCAACACCAGAAAATGTGTGTTTGATAATAACACAGTGTGCTCTGTTTTGTACACACTGTTAAATGGAACCTCAGCTGATCCTGGTGGGATCCTTTGTGCCGGTTTAGTAGTTTCTTCCTGAATCGCATATGAGATATTTGAGAGCCCAGAACGATGTATGATGAATGAAGTAGCATGCTACTTATACGCTTATCGTGCTCACTGACTAGCAACAGGTTCAGCAAAGGGCAGCAGCAGTAAATGAAATTCCGCACCGGGACAATATATCATCAAAAGAAATGTATGCACCCGAAACTTACAAGCCTTCCCCACATGCGGACAAGGTGCCTGACGGGGCTGGGGGGAGGGGGTGAGGATGGGCTGGTGTGGAGGAAAAAAAAAAGTGGAAGAATAGTGGGGGAGGTTTTTTTTTTTTTCCTTGCCAGATGGGTGAGGAGCGAGCAAAAGGGGGAAGCAGCAGATTTTGTTGAATCAGTTCTATTTTCATACTGGCTGATCTGTGTCTTTTAACCATTTCACTGCAGCTGGAAAATGAGAAGTACCAGGGCTAATTTCACAGTGAGAGCTCACTGAACAAAACCCCCCACGGTCTGTGGAAAAAGGTGCTAAGTCTACTTTGTCATCGTGAATTACGGCGGTGTAATTCAGGAAATGGGCTCCTGTGTATGAGGGAGAAAAGTAGAAAATACATCCAGAAAGGAAAGGAAAGAAGAGCACAATTTCCCTCTCTAGGATGGGATGTAGTTTGTGAGGTTAACTTGTGATATGTAAGTAACAGATATCTCTCTCTCTCTCTCTCTCTAAACAAGCAGCCCTGTTCTGATGCCACAGGATCCATCTGTGATGTGTCTGCAGTTAGTCCAGGAATAGCACCCACGGGACCTACACACTCCTCTGGCCTCCTATGGGACCTTTTAAGCTGCACTGATACTGATAAAAGCCCCCACAAATCTGGCCCCCAGATACCTTTGCCATTAATTAAGGTAATTAGGCCCTGGTCAGCAATTAGTAACCACAGATAGCTTTTAGCAGCGGCTAAGACGTCCCCGCTGCTGTGGGGTTTGGTTCCACACCATCTGCTGACAAATGTGACCGCGGACTCTTTGGTTTCACACTCAGGGAACTGGAGAAGGCGTGTTTAAAAATGACCTCTGTGTGATCCAGGCTGGCTCCCAGACTCCCACAGCTTCTCCTCTTCCTCCTCTAGCTGCTGCTGCTGCTGGATCACTCTGTTTTGTTCTTTCTTTTGGTTTCTTTTCTCTTTCAAACATGGACGAGCGAGTTGTATGAAAATCCATACGTGCAGCGCATGGGCCGGAGAGGGAACAGGAAACATTCAGTGCACAATGTATCGATCAAAATTAGAACATCTGGTCCGAGTGTAAGAAGTATTGATCAGGGTGTAATGCTACATTGATTTGCTTGTATTATTAAGTCCATAAGAGATCTATATTGAGAATATGTTGGTTTAAATTATAATGTTCTGTACAGTTATATTAAAAGCGAGCATGCATCAAAACCAAGCCTTATACTCTCTACTCTTTATATCTCTCTGAACATAAAAATGAGCCGTAACAAATCATGCTGGCTGATTTGAATCCCTCTTTTACGTACCAAGAATAAACAAAAGCAGAGTGACTGTAAACATGTGAGAAATGTTCATATCAAAATGTGACATTCGTAGTTATATGAGAATAAACCAGTTTGTGTATTTCATCCTGTGGCAAAGGTGTGCAATATATGGTGCTCTGAGTTAAACAGACAGATAAAAACAGGCTGAATACACACATTCAACCTCAGAGAACACACCGCGCAATAATTCACATTACCCAGGAATGGGAAATAAAGGATGCAGCTGTGCTACTATACACAATTCCACATTTGAAGCAATCGGTGATAACACCATTTTCATTCCGGTTCAGTCCCATAAAATTACCATTAACATTACAGCTCATGCAGAACACAGATAAATGTAAAATGTCACCCAGTTCTACCAGGCGGGAATTCCAGTTCCACAAGATTACCATCTTCTGTGTGCTCTCTCCCACTGCACCTTGTCTAATATTTCATTTACAACATTTCATAAGTTCATTTTCCCCTCACTGACCATGTAAATCACAAATCAATTTTCATTTAAAATGCTTGACTACAGATTGTTGCTGAAAGCTTCTGGATGGCGCCTCAGCATTATGGCAGACCTTTAGCAAGTCTTTCGGAAACAGTGTGGAGGAAAAAAGTGAGATGTAATTTCCACAAAACAACTCCAGGGCCAAGTGGTCAAGGCTTTTACTGCGAGCATTTTACAAGTGTGGGAATATCATGAAAACAACAGGCTATTATGTATTGTGATTTATATCAGCCCAGAAGTCTCTCGGAGTTGTGATCGACTGATCTACTCAACAGGAACAAGAGGCTGATTATCTGAGTATGAAATATGAACTTGATCGACTGTGCATAATTGCTGAGGTTATTCAATCAATGTGTGCAACAAAATTAGACATTATTAAAGAGGACCGAGCATATTAAGACATGCTTGCCATATTCAATTAGCATTTGTCTCTTTAATATGAATGTAGTCCAAAGACATTTTGAGGGAATTTAAAATAACATACATGTAGGTCGCCATTGTCTTTCTGTTTGTGTCCATCTTGTTTAACATTCACAGTATATTGTCCTTATTGTCCTCCCACTGAGCAATATATGGCTATTAGACATCTAGTTTTTTTTTTTTAGCCCTAATTTCAAACGGCCAGATCCTGTATATTTTTAGACAGAATTTAGACGTTGCACTTTAACCCATTGTTCGATAACTATTTATTTAAAAAAGCAACTCTGAGTTGCATAACGGATCTCCAAGTACTTAACCAAAATAGTTATGATAGCTGGAGAGCAGTATACAGTGTAGTATAGCCAAGATTTAGACTTGGTCTAAATTTAGATGTGTAAAAAACTTTCATTTTTAGACCTGTAGTAGCCTGATTTTAGACCAGTCGTCTAGGCTACATTTAGACGTCTACTGGACCTCTTTTGGACCAAAAAATGCTCAGTGGGCTCTTTACTAAAACTAGAACTTAAAAGGCTTCAAGGACAGCAGTTCATAGGAAAAGAAACCATGTGACTACATAACTTTGATATCACTAACCAGGGAATAGAAGCAGCCTGAGGGTGAATGTATTTCTTAAAAATCCCCAAAATGTACATGTCTTGTGTTTTTTTTTGAACAAATAACATACAGAAGACACTCGTGCCACTCCATCAAAGTGTATGTGTAATTACATGCAGGGTCCCTCCGAGAAAAAAAAAAAAAAACATGCAATAAAATTTTGTGGAAGGTTGGGACAGATATGACCTTACTGACAATACTTGTGTATTTTTTTCTATTGTATTTTTTTCTATGAAAGACTTAATCTGGTTGATTGGATTGACCGAGTGTATGTTCTTGATCTCAAACTGTCATGTTTTCATTACTTTCTTGTGACTTTAACTAAAGAGGGAAAAAAATCCATAAAGATGTAGGGAAAAATAAGAGTACAATGGACTTTGATGTGAGCATATTTTTAGGATAACCTCCAAAAAGCACAGGAATAGGAATATAATGTCTAGTGGTCCAATGGAGACCTTGCTCATCCTTCCCATCAATGAAGCTACAGTGGCCTTTGAGGACACGAAGCTTTTGTGATAAATGATAATTATGATCCTATATTTTTCAAGTTTTTACCATCGAAAACATCTATCAGGGACTCACTAAACACAAAAACATGCATGTAACTAGTTTGTCTCTTCTGTGCCACTGTAGAAACATGATGGTGCATGATGGCGGGACTCACTCCTATGTCGACATCAATGGCTTCTTAGTTGATAGAAACAAAACCATATTCATGTTCAGGTGATTATACACTAACTTGAACATTCATGTAAATATTATCTTTCATTTCGACTGAGTCTGTTCTGATAAATTTTACGGTTTGTACCTTTAAAGACTCTGACGCTAGTACAGAAGACAGTTGCATTCAGTTGCAACATGTCTGTATGTTTTAATCTTTCATGTAAGTGGAAGCTGATTTGAAAATTTGTCGTGTTAAGTTTTGGATACTTGACTGAGAAATCTTCCTCGTCTACATCTCCACAACAGAATGCATTTTAATGAGAGGATCACAGTCTCTGAATACATAGTGCAGTCAGAGTGTAATGTAGAGAGACTGACTTGTGTTAAAGGGAGAAGGTTTGCAAAAAGCCTCCCTCGGTGTTTACCAGAGAGGGCAGATGTCAGGGTTTGCTGTGGAGGAGCAGACGCAGCCACATCTGATTAACAATATTATTGTCCGCCTCCACACCACCATAAAGACGAGATGACCCCCCTCCCCCCTGTCTTTTTCTTTTCTTTCGTTCTATTTCAGGCTCTGGCAGCGTCCTGTCCTGTGGCATGGCTGAGCCGGAGTGACACTGCCACCATCTATAGAAACTAAACACAAGTCAAGAGCCAGGAGGTTAAAACAAACAGCTCTACTGTATCTCACAGAGAGGAGGTTTAAGAATATCCTGGGATACAGACAATAAAATATCATACTTCATATTCAAATGCACTGTGCATCATTGTTTTCACTTTGGCACAATTATGAAAACGTGTCTCTTGAATTCAGAGCAAATCTGCAACAAGTGAAATGCCAGGGGGGCAAATTTACTTACATCCCTGCTTCAAAAAAGACATCAGAGTATAAATCATGAGTCTCTCGGGAGAGGCTTGTGTGTTCATTTGTGGATGTACAGTCAACCAGCGCATCATCCTGAGTGTAAATTCATATGTTTGATTCCCACCCTCCCATCACTCCTCTGTACATTCTGATTGGTGATTTTTTCCCCCTTCTCTTCTGCCGCCAAAACTGTCACAAAGGCGGTAACCCTGCGCATTTCCAAGCTGCTTATTGAAGACAAACAATAAACCACTGGCAGATATCAATGGCAGAGATGAGAACCCGGGTGCCATATCTGCTGGGACTGCCTGGCGAAAACCTGCCTCTGCCTGCGCTTCATCTCCGCCAGCACCTCTCACTCTCAATTATTTGGCTGCTGTCACAACAAATCAATCAAATTACCGCTCCAGGACTGTGTGCAGCTGCTCCTATTGCACCGCTAGTTGCATTAGCTTTGAAATGTATGAGGTCTACATTTTATCACTGTTATTTATTTAATGCAGCTCTCTCCCCTGCGAGTCATCCTACAACCACAGCAAAGTTAAATCATTAAAGGACGACGTGGAATACATACTGCTTGAGAACACCTCAAATTAAACAGCGATGAGGGAGAAGGGATGGGCCTGGCCTCTATTGTGTTAAGATGGCAGATGTTGATGTGAGGAAATGTGGTCTGCTCGCACCAGGTCCCTTTTTAATGTACTCCTCTGCTACAACAACGGCGGCTCATTTCTTTTCTTATCCCTGAATGATTCCCCAAATATACACCCGAGAGGAAAAAAACCCACAATGAGCAACCAGTGTGGTTCTAACAAGTCCATAAAGGGTGTTTGAAATTCTCCAGCTCTGCTAATATAACGGGGTAAAGGGACACAGAGGCATTCCCACAGCAGACAGAGGTTAAGTCAGTGGCCCGGCCCGGTGATCTAACCTCTTAAAGGAGCAGCAGTCAGCTGAGGCAGAAGAGATGCAGTCTGACATGTCTAACTAGTGTGGAAACATTTGGCTCTTCCCCCAGGAGCCCACCCTTTGGTGCTGTAATGAGCAGAGTGATTTCCCTAATTTGTATCGCGCCAGCAACGGCAACCTGCGAACGACACCGCAGAGCGTTTTCATCAAAACGGCAGACGCGCCTTTGATTGGCGTTGACACCGGGTCTCATTACCGCAGGTGAGTGGGATGTCGACCTTTATCAGGGAGCTTGAGTGCTGTTTTGTGTTTCCTGCGGACGAGTACAGAGGAACAATGCTCGCACCTCGCCATTAGAACTCGCTCCTCTGATGTGATGCGCTGCCTGCCTTTCTGCTGAGAGCAAATAAGATGGGATGTGCTTATTAATATGAAAGAGCTCCAGTAAACTAGCTTCTTGCATTACCTTTGAGTGAGTCATAGAGAAGAGGAGTAGACAGACGAGACTTTGTTCTACTTCCTCCCATTGGGCATTACATGTACAGTGCTTTGATACAACTAGTTTTACAAGTATGGTAATCATGCTTTGCTTGTTATAAAATCATGAGAAATCTAAACCTATTAAAAATGCAGCAGAAAGTTAGCATCAATTCTGACAACAGAAAACTGCAGAGGCTTTCTACGGTCTTACATTTAACACTGAGAAATTCACATATGATGTTTTTTTATTCCTATGAACCGTCATATTTACAGACCTCTAGCATGACCCAACCTACTTTTTTGCCTCTGTGAAGTCAGCTAGAATTGTGTGCACTCTGTCACAAAAGATAACTTTCTCCCTTGTTTAGTTTCATTGGGAATTTGTTTTTACTGCATGTTCGCGGGCATAAATCATTCTGACAAATAACCAGTTACACTGCTGCTTGTGTTTACTGAGTCTGCCACAAGATGCTGCTCAGTTTTATTTAAGCAACCGCTCCAACTTTATAGCACAACCCCATTACAGTGATAGTTATTCATCACAGTCTGAGAGAGCTACCCTCCACAGCTCAGCAGCAGCATTCGTTCTCATAGAGCGAGCTTTGATTAGCATGATCAAAACACGGGATCAAAGATACTGTTGTTTCTGTTTGTTCTCATTTTTGCCTCTTCATTTAATTTCCCTCATTAAAACGCAAGGGCAACATGGAGTAAAAAAGCCCAAACTTGATCAAATGTCTTGTTAAACATTGCAGTTTTACACCACCATGACTGTAAGACTACATGTTGGCCGTTTCTCATGTGAAGAATACAATTCCTCCACCCTCAGCCCCCCAGTCCCCAAGACAAACAGCCTTATTAGATGGTCATTAGCCGCCTCATTACGTTTAAATACAGCTATTGGCTAGGCTCCTCCTGGAGTCTCATTACTGTGCCTCACAGTTGTCTTGTGTCTGATCTGACGCTAATTAGCTAGCAGCGTGAGTGCTGTAAAACACACTCGCTCCTGAGGTCGTGAAATGAGCTGACTGCTCCCCGGCGACAGCGCGGCGCTGTATTATATCTGTGATTAATCAGGCCTGGGAACCCGCAGGGGCTGGGAGGGGACGCGAGGGGGACGTGGGGGCAGAGGCTAGAGCTGCAGTTGTCTGACAGAGGTGCTGTGCCAGCAGGCCTCATTCAGTAGAGCTGTGATGAACTCAGACAGGGGAGAGTGGAGGAGCGTCGCGTGGCCAGAGGGCCCTGGACACAGTCAAGACATTTAGCTTCACTCGTGACTTGTGTCACTTTCTCTCCACGGAGGTCCCTTCAATGCATCCCCTTCAGATAAGAGGACGTGCGAACAGGCAGTCTGTCAGTCCACACACTTAAAAAAAGATCTGCCACAGAGGCATTTCTACACTACAGTTTTTCTCTGCTATCTCCTCTGGATGGAGGATTTTATCAGGAAGTTGAATTCAAGAATGTCTGTCGGTTTGTTCGGCAGGGAAAAATGAGGCCGACTGAAAGGTGTTTGTGTTGGCGTTCTGACATCCTGACAATAAGTTTGTTGATCAGTTCATCGAAACACTGAGGCCTCTGGGTCCATCCTTCTGTACTAGGAGGAAGGTCTGTTGAAGTGTGAGTCACTCGGGCCTGCTGGGCCCATTATCGTCCACTACTGATGGATACATTGAAGAGCTGACTGGATAGATGCGGGTTTATTAAAAGCTCTGCCCACAGCGATGGCTGCTGTTATTTATGCATGTTTGTGTCCATTAGGCTTCTACCTCCACATTTCCTCACTCAGGGCATCTGTCCATCCATTTTCCCACACGAACGGAGCCTTCCCTGCACTTTGTGCTGCACGGGCATTATTGTAATCTCCATCCTAAAAACACACTGCTTTACATGTAGCCTGGCATCTTTTTACATTAGTGCTGCTCTCTCATCCAAGATTTATGACTGACGGTTTCCCCATCCATCCTTCAATCTAATGGTATAAAAGAGACAATGTTTTAAACATTAAAATGAAAACCATTTACAACTATGATCAAAAGAGAACACTTGGGCATTAAAGTTTAAAAGGCAAGGATAAGTACAGCCATGTGGATGGACAGATGAGGTGGAAAGAGATAAAAAAGTGAAGTACAGTGCACTCTTATACACAGGAAAGAGGCATAAAGTGCTTTTGCGCTGCACTGCAAAACGTTGACCTGTAATTAATACGGCGGTTCCTCTGGGCAAGTTGAGGATGGGGGCTTTTTGGGATACAAACCCCTGAAGGATTCTTACCTGGTCAGAAGCTTGGTAAAGCATTTTCATCAGAGAAAAACAAAGTGTTCCGTGTCATGAAAGGGATGTTTACATACGGGTGTCTCATGTTTTAAGAATCATGTATAATATGTAAAACAGAAAAACCTTCGATATCTTTAACACAAGCCAGCTGAAGATTTTTTCAGAATGTGAACCCATTTCCCTGAAACATATTCTGCCCTTTTCCTAAAATACCGCCCTGAAACAGATCTGTCGTAGGAACAAGCTCTTTCAGCTGCTTTTCTCTTTCTTACCTTGCAGGTTCTGGAGAGGGAGCGTCATGATGCCCCCTGCGGCAGCAGCAGCCACCAGACTCTGGATGTTGGCTGTTGGCAGGGAGAGGACGAGGCCCTGCTGCCCTCCAAGGTGTCCTCCTGCATTGAAGGGGATGAGGATGGGCTGGTTCATGCCTGGCGCTGCCCCGGACATCACGCCGCCTACTGCGTTGGCCAGCTGCTGGGCAACCAGGAGAGACTGCGGCACACAAACAAACCCACATGTTAAAACTGATAAAATTATAAATGGGTCATTTTTCTCTCAAAATGACTCTCAAAAATTATCAGTAGAAAACAGGGTTTCCTACAGGATGACACTGTACCTGCATCTATTATGGGGTTTATGTACTTCACATCAACTGTGTTTTTTTCTCTCAAACTTATATAAGCCTGTTTATAAACGACTTTAAATTGTCCAACTTTTTTTATTTTTTCCAGTTTTGTGATCACTAACACACATGCTACACAGACAGCTTTCCTCCCTTTATTCACTCAATGGCATGTACCAGCCCGGAAGTTGCAATATCAGTATTTCCCACATACCAACTCTTACTAGCTGTGACGGTAAAGGTGGAGACTAGTATTGAAATAGAGCTGGGCGATGAACTGAAAATTTACCAATACCAAAATTCATGACAATAACCAACGTCATTTTGCCCATATCAAAATATTTGTTGTCAAAAAATAAATAAATAAAAGTTGGTTTTGGATGTGTGTAGGTAGGCTATGGTTTCATGTCCCTTTAAGACGTTTAAGAAGTTAATGTGGGAGGGGGTGAGCAGCTTATAGAGTAGTTATCGTCCATTTATCGTTATTGAGGTGAACTACTCAATATATCATGATACTGATTTGGGGCCATATCACCCAGCCCTATATTGAAATATAACATACCTTACTTGTATCAAGTTTTGTACTTTACATTTTTTTTCACGAACAACCTTCATTTGCTCATCTTACTTGTACCCACTTATATTATTCAAGCACACGCACACAAACAGCATCATGTCCCACATCACCTTATATCATGACCATCTTCTGACAATACCCAGCACCTTTTCTACAGTCACCATAATGACGCATCTCACCTTCCGACACGTTTCACTTAATATCCTGTTATTACAACAAGTGATCTAGGCTTATCGGAAAGGTAAGGTGTAAGAAGAATTATCCTGCCAAATGTTGCGAAGACAAATGAGATTCATGTGCGAGCCCACGCGATTCACTCAAGAGGATGCTGGAGAACTGCGCAGGCGTATATTCTTATATACAATCCTTGTTTGCATTATTACCAACTTCAGCAACAAGAGGAAAAGTTTTCTTTAAACTCTGACCTTGCTACTTTCGAGGTGTTTGAGGTGAGTGTTAACAGCCACAGCCGTGCCCCTGAATATGGTTGGGCACAGTAATAAATGAGATGTCCCAACTCAATCAATGCATCAGCAGGAGGGAAGTAAAATGTTTAGGCAGTCCGCACAGGTTACTGTCCTTGTGTGGGAAACACTGAAAACGTATGTTTTAGGTTTTTGTAGAGAATTACACTCATCTTTATTTTTTTAAGTGTTCAAAGTTTAAATGACAAAATTTACAGATATCACACTGAGTAATCAAATCAAGAGCAATGAACAGACCAAACTCTTTCTTGTAGCTGGTAGTTCTAACAGCTAATTTTGCATCATCAACAGCAATCTAAAACAAAGATTCACTCTCTGTACTTGCTGGAGAAAACTTGTTCTGCAGAAGTAAAATTAAGTGCAACAGTAATACATTGAGTTGGATATAGTCTATCCACTATGTTATATTCTGGGATGCTTAATTGAGACAGGTAAATCAATAGAGCAGATGTCACCAAAGTGACTATCATTAATCAGTGTGTTTTGATGAATGCAGTTGTTTTACAGATAAATCCTGTGCTGCAACGATACACACACACAGAGAGAGTCAAAAAACACACTGCTGTTGGTACTGACAGACATCAAATCCAATCTTTGCCAGAGAGCTGAGGATTTTTCTTTCCCAGAGATGCAGAGTGATTTGTGTTTCATCCCATTGAACAAATCCCTGGTACCACAGAAATGTGCCTGAAACACACAGTGCTTTTCAAAATAAAAAAAGAGAAAGTAGCAGCACTTCACCCTTTTGATGAGGGATATAACACATCACTCTCGACTCTTCATGTATCCATTCATTCACATTAGTTAAAGTAGAAGCCGTGAAGTCATACCCATAGAGGAAAAGATATGTTATCAGAAGTATCGCTCCGAGATATTTTGCACAGCAGAAGATCTCTTCAAATGTATTTTCCGAGGGAAGAGGGTTTGGAAATACACCAACACATTTTTCATCGAGAGCTTTGAGCCACAAGTGGGGAGAGGTTTGTACCATGGCTGAATCTCTGCAAATACACAAGGAGTGACATCTCAAATTTCATTCATCCTGATAAAACTGTTTTCAAATTATGTCAGAGTCCGAGCACGCCAGAGTGGATTTAGTCAGGAGCTCTCAGACACTGAAGATGCTGCAAAATCCAAGAAAATTACTCTTTAACAGTAGAATTGAATTGTTTGGAATAAAATAATCAGAGCACATTGTCAGCTTGTGTTGTGTCCACAGTGAAGAAGCCTTTAGACATCGCTAGGTGAGCCTGGCTGCACTGTGTTGACTCCTCCACTGTGACTCATGTTCACAAGCCTTTAACTCCAATTGTCAGCTATCTGCTTCTGTTTTGCATGGCGTGTGTGTGTGTGCAGCTTGCACAGGATGCACAGCGGGCCGACTGGTGCGAAGACCCCACCGTGCTCCCTAGCACTGGTGCTCCTGGGTGACAGCCGTGTCACTGCGATAACACTGCATGGTGCACAACGCCTGCACCCGCTCCGACATACATGCGATCACAGTTTAAGAGGGACGAGGTCAGGCGGGTTTAGAGCCACAAAGCACAAAAGATCTGAGGGTGAAATCTCTGCACTGAGAGACAAATGAATACCTGTTCATGCTCCTAAGCTGTTAAAAGAATAAAAAAGAAACACAAAGGGGTGATTGTGTTTGGCAGGAGTAATCACAAACAGGCTTTAAGACGCCTCTGCGCTTTGATACACAACAGCCGCGCATAACAAACGACAATATCTGACGCTTCTAAGAGCATTCGAAATGACATTTGCCATTAACTTTAAAAAATGAATTAATAATTGGGGAGCTCAAAGGAGCCTCAAAGGACAATAACAAAGGCAACGCGTTTGTAAGCTGCAAGTGACATACGTTTAATCTCACATTTTAAACTCAATGTAATCTTGAATCGAAGCAGCACATAATCAAAGACGCTCTTTGAACATTTCATCTTGGAGTCAAACAAAATGAGATTGCCAGGCTTGACAGCACAGACAGCCTCACATAGAAAGGGAATAACATTAAAAGACAATTCTGCAATTATCAGATGTAGCCCTGATTTATTTATCATAACAGGCAGCTTTGGAGAAAGAGGCAGCTGTTAGGCACATAGGCAGCTGCAGAGAGGAAGAACTGTGGGGATTTTTTTCCCCCGAACATCCAAGAGATCTTAGTCTTACGGCTGTTTGTTGTGCCAGTTTAAGACTGATTATGATGTTTATCTGAGGTGAGAACTCTGTATCTGCAAACATCAAAATAAGAGATTAGAATACATTTAGCGTCAACATAATTAGCTCAACTCTGCAGCCACACAACACGCTTCAACTGCGAGAAGCCTCGGCATCAATCATCTTGATTTAACAGTTCAGCTTCTGCCTTTTCGCCAGATTTCGCCGCTCCTCCTCGCGATAGGTGCTGTTGGAAAACTGCTGCCTCGTGCTTGGCAGGCCTGACAGCTGCGTGTTGAGGAGCGGTCTCCTAGGGGCCACGCAGACACACAGACTGGGTGTGTGTTGACTCTGGATGGGGAAGCAGCCCCGCTCAGGACTGGATGTGGTACCCAGCCTCTCTGCCCATCAGGGGAGAATAGGCCTTTCTGTCTGCTTGGCAGCTTTGGCACTGAGAAATTGCCCATAATCACCCAGATAGCAGACTTTTGTCATCCTAACTGCGAGTGGGAAAGAGAGGGAAGGTGGATTCATGTTGGGTAAACTACCATCGGATAATGGTTGTTCGAACAATATCCGGCTCTGGAGCGAGAATCTATCAAAACATATTGATCCTGGAACAAGAGAATTGGGTATGGCGTGCGGAGCGCCTTTGTTTCTGAAAAGTGTTAGCTTCACAGAGACTGTACTGACAGCATTAATATATTAGATGGTGACTGTTGAGAGCCGCCTGCTGAGGCTCACACTAACTGCTGCCTGCTCGAGATGCTTTTTTTCTTATCTATTACTGAAACACTGGCTTTGACCTGTGAAGGTATCTGTAATCAGAAAAGTGCCGTTAATTAAGCTCATTCTTTATCTCCACCTGCAGCAGATTGACTCTTTCACTGGGGATTTCTCACCCTGCAAACCTGCCCTGACAAACCTGAATGGCTCTCCTGCTCTCGTGTTTCCTCTTTTGTTTATCCTGATGAGGACTGACTGTCATTGAGTAACACTGAGTGCAGGGTGAATGGCCTTATTAAAGAGGGTGGAGGGAACCTGATGCTGTGAGCGCGTGTGTGTCTGTGTCTGTGTGTGTGTGTCGAGCGGTGACATTGAGCAACACTAATGAGATAGATGTTCATTAAACAGCGCCGAGCCACCGGGCCAATAAATCCAATCAGATAGGACAATGCCTGATTGAGCTATTAACGGGGCTGCAGGCTCGGCCTCTTTGCTCCCCTGCTTGTTTTGACAAGGCCGTTACTGTCAGCTCATTAGAGTCACGACTCAATTACATGTGAAGATGATGTGTGAGGACAAAATGCTTTATGAGTCCATAGTTTAGCTGAGATCATTCACTGTGTCGCTTTCTGTACGGCAGCTTTAGAGTTTCTGGTTCACCCAGAGACTCTAGTGAAACTAACAGGACTATAAATGTAGGGATTTAATTGTATGTATTCACAAGCATATCAAAATGCAGTTTTATTTTTCCACTTTTCAGGGTGGCAATGTCTGATGAACCTTTTTCAAATCAATATCATGATAACGATAAACGGGTGATAACTACTCCACAAGCTGCTCACCCCCTCCCACATTAACTTCGTCTACTTCAGCCGCTACACTTTTTGAACCGACCTCCATCTCCTCACCTGTCTTTCCCTCTTAGTTAAGGACTGGATGGGGTGGAGTCACGTCTCTAACGTAGGACAGCGTCTTAAAAGGACATGAGACCATAGCCTACCTGCACACATCCAAAACCAACTTTTATTGATTTATTTTTTTGACACCAAATATATTGACATGGGCAAAATGACGTTGGTTATTGTCTTAAATTTCGGTATCGGTAAATTTTTGTTTTATGGCCCAGCCCTTCCATTTATTGTAATCAAGAGAGAACCTCTTTTTTCTATTTTGTTAGATATTCTCTAAATAGTCAGTAAAAAGTAAACACTTTTGTTTGTGTGGATTTCCATTCTCTGTTGTCTCGGTTACACAAGGATGCTCACATTAAAGCTTCATTCTATTAATACACCATCTGCACTGACCAGCAACTACATTATGAAAACCAAGGCAGTCTACGTAGACCCAATTCAACAGCTTTAACATAGATTATACTTTCAAGAAGCTTAAAAACGTTCAGTTCAGACAGGTTATGATCGTTCTTCCTGTTTATTATTGAAGCTGTAGTAGGTAGCAGTGCCGTATACTGAAATGTGTTCCTTTTTTTGGGTTTACTTTGTCTATAATCATGAGGGAAGCATCTTTCAATATAACGCAGTGCGCCACACTACCAACACACACACTACGACTTTAAGAATTAACCTTGAGAACACTACTCAACTGTCGGACCACGTCAACAACAACTGGAAATGGTAAGGTTTGGTGGAAGTACAATTAAGAGGAAGACAACAAGATGTAAAGGAGCTCACACTGAGTATGATGATGATGGGTACACTGAGGATGGTGTTGAAGCTCTAATTATCAAAAACAAAAGGATGCTTGAACCAAACCACTCTGTACCATTAACCATCCTTATCGTAGTTTTTACAAGCAGGCTGGCCTTTTGCGACCCTAACAGGCTGGAAAGTGTTCAAGAGAAAAAAATATTGACTTCATAAATTCCACATGAAGTCTTCATTACGAGAAAATACTTTCAATTTGAATGTCAGCTAAGAGAGATAATTGAGGGCATTTGACAACCTTGAAGTCAAACGGTTTTGTCAGTGGAGCTGATGAAAAAAGATAAGCACTACAGCTGGTGTCAACTCTACATCATTCCTCTAATCTTTTTAAGAGGTCAGAAGTGAGTCACATTCACACTGTTTGTACGGTTTTTATACTTTTACTGAAATCTCTGTTGGGATAACCACTCTCATTAGTCAAGCATTTCCAAATTCATAATCAACAGCTGACCCAGGAAAAAGAGCGGACCTCTAAACTCAAAATTACACAGAACTGTTAGGATAGTGACTGCATGAAAACATAATTTCACAATTTGCCTCCAAAAATGATAAACAGGAAAGCCAAAGTTTGTTACAGTTTGTAAGTTGTGATTTCTTTGACCTTTTCATTGTCTGTGTCTCTTTTGCGTTCAAGTGGAAAAGATGACGCATCATCTTTATGTTTGGTTAAGAGGGTGGATAACCCCTCTTTCATGTTACAGCACAGGCATGATAACTTCTGTTTTCTGTAATTGAAGGAGTTGCAAACTTCTTCAGAACTTCATGAAAATTTAAGCTTCTTTGTCTGAATATCATCACCGATTTTGCTTGCAATGTTTTTATCCTGAGTTCGGTTTGTTGCGGACTCACCTGTGGACCCAAAGGGTATCCTGGGTGGGACTGGCCCAGCTGACTTTGCTCTGAGGGACTGCTGCTGGCGTCAGACTGGACTGAACCGTCTCGAGCTCCTGGGAGAGCAACAGGCAAGAAAAGAAGAAAGAGAGAAAAAGGATAAGTCAACCTTCGATCAACACAAACAAAGAGAGAAGATAAACACACAAAACACAGGCCACGTTGGGATATTAGAACACAGATTGTCGCTCGGTGAGAAGAGGGCAGTTGGGAGAAGAGGGGAATTTGTATTTAAGTGCTTTATCAATAACCACTGTAGCGCTGAATAAATTACCAACCAGCAGAGAGGCTCGTTGATGGTGGATGATGCATACTGACGGGTCCCTGATGGCCTAGATTACCGCTGAGAGATAGAGCTCCAGCACAAACGCTGGGGCCATATTATACACCCATTTACATCACTGAGTATCACTCAACTAAACCCACCTCGCCCCTCCCCTCCCTCCAATCTGAGCCTGTAGCTACGAGACAACATTAAGCCTGTTTGCTACGAGGGCAGAGAGGAACAGAACAGACAGGGACATGATAATTAGCTTGCTGATGGCTGCAGGGGAAATAAAGGACACCAACGGTTTGGTATCATAGCAATCCCTTTCGCACAAGATCTCAGAGCAGTGCAGCGAGTGGTGGCAGCTCTCAAAGGTACAAGAAGTTACTTTGACCCTCATGCTTTGAGCCTGGAGGATGCCTGAATGTTGACACAAAGGTCCATGGAGAAAATCTTGAAGAGAAAAAACTGCAGTGCTGGTTTGGCTCAGCTGGTAAAGAAGGTGCCGCATAAAGGGATACAACAGCCACAGGTTGCAGTTTTGACGTTCAGTCCACAACCGTCTTTGAAAATGAAACATGATAAAGCTTCTTCTAAATGTTTTCACAAAAAAATGCAGTACAGAAGAAAATTAGAGCGCCACCTGACTGGAAGATTCTGATTCAATCTTCACCCAAAGTATCCTGATTAGAGAAAACTTCAAGATTCATGGCATAATTCACAGAATAATCAGGAGTTCAAACAGTCTGATATTGTCCACTCCATGCATCCAATCTACGCAACTGCACAGATATTTGTTATTTTAGAAGCTGCTTTTCACGTGCTGTCTTGTAGAAGTGTCTTAACATAAACTGGGAGATCATAAATCAACTCCATTATGAGTTATGACCTTTGTGCCATCAGAAGGAGAGTGCACAGTGCAGCTGTGTGCAGAAAAGGGTGACAATCCTGATACCTGAACACAGTCGCAAGAATACACCAGACTGATGCAAACTGCACAGGGCTGCAAAACTTCAGGGTCATTTTTGCACTCAAATTTCAATAAAACGTACACTATGATTTTTGGACCTCCAGATGGGGCAGACAGCCGAGGAAAGACAGGTACGATTCTTGGTGCAATTACAGACCACAATCTACGCGTAATGAATTCCTCCTCAATGTCAAGAGAAGGTACATTTTGTTGGAGAAAAACAAATTCAAAAACTTCTGTAAAAATAGTTTTTGTAGACATGAGGCTACAGGAACATTTGAATTGTGATCCTTGAGATTTTATAACATTTCAAACTGCCAATATCAAAGAAAAGACATCTGAAATGGGTATTTATGGAAAAAACTTTGTGAAACTAGATGGTGGTAAGAGGGGCCGAAAGCCTACTCTATCAGTTTGTTAAGATGATGGTGGCAAAGAGACCAGGTGTGGTCAAACTGGTACAAACAAAACCTCTGTTCCCTCTGTGACAGGCTGTAAATACTGTGGATTACACCTTCTCTCTGTAGGACCATTAACAACTTCAGGTCATTTATTGAGGCAAACTAGCAATAAAATATTCTCCTCCTTTAGAAACTTTCCAGCACGCTCTGATATAGTTGTGTTGCGTTTACTTTGACAATGTGCTACATCTAGGAGGCAAAGTGTGAAGTCATGATCACTATCTTATTTTTTCCTCTTCTGTTTTTTTGCTATAATTGTAAATCCACAATGGCGTCTTTGTGTGTAACATTTTAGAAGACTGCACAACATGCACTGAATGAAGATATTATATGTGGTTTTTGACAAAAGCAGAGCACAGAAGGCTTTCTAATATTTTTAACTCCTATTATTCATAGTTTTTAAGTCAATTTACAAGTACAATAAGGTTGGCTCACTTGTTTTAAAAAACAGCTTTGTGAATATTCTGCAAAAGGTTATGTGCCAGGTGTAATTTAATAACAAAGACCCAGCTTTGAAAGTCTGATCAAAAAACCTTCACAAGCATGAATAAAATATCGTTTTTAACGGCACTGTCTTCTTACAACAGCTTGTCCCCCGAAAAAGGTGAATTTTGTAGATAAAGTCAAACCATCCATGTGGAAATGCATTTGAAGGCCACACAACCTTGTTAAACCACACATTGTTGGCAATGAATTTAAGAAAACCTTTAATCACATTTCCTCTACCGGATCGATTTTCCTAAATGGAATATCACGTCGTTTAAACGAAGAATAAAGCTGTGCTGTATTGTATCTTTTAAGGATGAATAGGCTTTTTCTTGTTAAACATAGATGGCATGCAGTGGGTCTCCAGACCTTTTATAAAAGCCTCATACAAAATCCTCTATTGAAAGGCCTCGCTGTAAGATCTCATTGCCTGTCAAGTATATTTACGCATTAGGTTTAAACTCCCCTCCGCCATCTGAAATCATTTCATCTTTACATAAAATCCAAATAATTGGTGAATGGCATGACCTAAGCAACCTCGAGCGTTTGATGGCTGATGTGAAAGCCCAAGGGGAAGCCTGCTTTTTTTTTCTGCTGGTTTCTACCTCTGGCTGGCTGGCTGGCCCTGCTTCTGGATGAAGGTCCACATCCTCTCGCTTATCAGCCTCGAAACGCAGTGGATATTTTGACAGGCCAGTCTCTTTTCAGCAATTATTTCACCCATAATGGATCGCGTTGCGCACGGCCCCACCCTGTGCACTCAGTATCTGGAATTAAGATCAATCTGAGGACACAGGAAGAGACTTTGAGGCTGTATTAGAGCTGATGTGAAGCTACAGATAAAGTAAAATATCATCATAATCTGCTGTGTAATTTGACATTTATTTTGTGAATTGGGAATAATATGGTCATATATTTTCTTTTTTCACTGGCTTTCATGAGAAGTAATGTCTCCTAGCAACATGGATGCACCAATTAAAAAAACAGAGCTTAAGTCAATTCCCATGCTAAGAAGAACAGTTTTATTTGACAGGCAGTGTCTTTAAACTTCATACATTCATCTTATTGATAATACCATAAGTGAATGTTTGCTGGCTCTGTTTTCATTGCCCTATCTTTAAGGAGGCACCAACTGACCAAAGTAACTTTAATTTTGAACTCTTCTTAACATAATAGATCGATGCTGTAGGAAACAAGTTGTTCTAAAGCTTCTCAAGCTGCTTTAAGTTTAAAACCTTGGAAAGTTGCCATTTTCCCTCTATTACTTTTTTGGGCCATTTTGCTTTCACAGCTGGAAAGAGACAGAAAATATCAGACCCACAGCCACTGCGACAAAAACTACAGCCTCTGTATGTGAGGTGTGCGCTAAAAAACCTCAGCTAAACCGACGTGCCAAGAATCAGTTTTAAGGATGTTAATACGAAAGTTCTTTTTTAACAAATAAATACTATTATTAAGGAGAAACATCAAATACAGATTTTTTTTTTTTTTGAGACAGATTTTACAGACTGTCAATCTGTCGTCTTGAAAAAGTCTTTGGTTATTCTGAGGGGTATCAGAAATGTCCCAACACTACAAGGTTCATTTATTTCCTCAGTGGTAACAAAACCTTGCTGCTTGGTTCTTCTTCGATAGTCAAGCTAAGGCCCCTCTGTGAGAATGACAACAGAAATACTTGGTTACATAAGCATGATATTTACACGATTAATTGTAAAAGCAGGCAATTGCAGCATCTCTAGTTTCTATTAGCAAAAAGCAAACTCAAACATGGGACTTGCTAAGATGTAGATAGGCTAATTTGTATCAACAAGGTTGATATTGGCAAATTTTGATACATCTGATACATTGGTAAAACCCAACAGAACTCAGAACTCAGAAGGGGTTTTATTGCCATTATCAATGAACAGAATTCACAGACTAGGAATTTGTTTCGGCATGACGGTGAAACATTAAACAGAAAGTAATATAAAATACTTGAATAAAAAACTAATAAGAGCATGCAAGAAAAATATGAAGTACAGAGTATAAAAGGCTATGTACTATGCAATGTACAATAAAGTATAAAAGGCTATGTACAACTACACAATACAGAACAACAGTGCAATGGGAGAAGTGCAATTAAAAATCCAAGGTACATTAAACTCAAGTGACCAGACTAACAACAGCTGTGAATCAATACTTTCAGATTCATTTCTTCAATCCTAAATTAACAATTATCAAAATTGTGTACAGTGACATAAACTTTGCGCTGTCTCAAAGAAAAATCTCTAAACTCAGCTGCCCTGCCATGATGAAAATAAAAGTACAAGTAGTACTCAACAACCTTTACACCAGTGAGTTATCTGGTTATCAGCATAAAAACACCCCCTATCACTTTGATCGAAATATTCAGCTCCAATGAAGAAACAGGTGACCTTAAGTCTTCATTAAAAAGCTGCAAACCTTGTGACTATATTTAAGATATTGGTTGTGAATAATGTCTCATTTATAGAGCGGGAGACTTTCAGAGTAATGATTCTTTGATGCCTTTCATTGCATCACTTCACAATAACTTAGAAAGCTTCATCCCCTTGCAAATATCTGTAACGATAACACGTTTATCGCAAGAGGAGAGATCGATAATAAATAAATACACATGCACATCTTTCCCCACAGGCTTTCTGTAATTTCTTTAACTAAATTAAATAGCTGACAGGAGAAATATCCAGGGAGTCAATCTTCAATTCTTTTTTATTACTCGAATCTTTGTACATGTTTTGATTTTCTTTAAAAAAATGAACTTATCCAATGTGAATGATTCTTAAATGGATTTCCTGATGAAGATAAACTCAATACAAAGAGGGGGAGGAGAAAAGCCTTATGATAAAGAAAGTCTTCTGATTCTGTGATTATGCTCAGGTTACACACAAAAATGCGATGAATGGACGTATTGATGTGAGGAGAGATGAAAGAAGAGGCCAAACGCATGAAAGAGCAGGCCATTTACCTTCAGTGTAGCTTTACATTTATCTACGACAGGCAGGCTTCGACTCTCTTTTGGATTTTCTGAGCAGTTTAATTGCTGTTACATCTTTACTATGAATAACAAAAAACACTCAACCCCATGAAAGACAGTAAACATTAGATATTCATAACCTTTCCTGACATAGAGGGGATGAATATAATGAGGTGAAATTAATTCCACATTCATACTAACACTCATATTATGGTATTTCTGTGAAAACATTTTTTTTGAAAGCGAAATTATCAGATTTATTACAGGGCACAGAGTGCAATTTGATGTGACTTATGTCATGGAAATATTGCCAATATCCACCACTATATAAATTGTCTTTCATTGATCACCAAAGTGGCCACTGGAGAGCGACTTTCAATGCCACACATGGCAGAAGGTCTGTGTGTGTGTGCGTGAGTGTGTGTGTGTGTGCTGCTGTGTGGTTGGGGGGCAAAGAGCTATATTTATTTGACTTCATTCGGCCTGTCTTAATGCAGGGTGCCCCAAGGACTACACCACAAAACAATTAGCCTGGATTTCATAAAGCAATCAGCATGCCACCTTGTCTAATGCAACCGCTTCATACATTGACAGTCTGAATAAAATGGGTGTTATTGAAAGCTTTGTGTTCATGTTAGCTTTCGCCTCGCTGCATTCATGAATCAATTTCTGCCCATAAAAGAAGCTTTAACACTTAAGCTATTTTAGTGGAAATGCATTATGTAAGTTGTCAGACGTGCGAGAGAGGCCTGGTAACGATTCAGGCTTTTCACAATGAACAGCCAACCCCCATTTTTATAATAGTGCTTTTGAAAATGTCTGGCTGAGTGCATGTGTTTGCTATTAAGATGTTGTCAATCATTTTGCCTCTGAAATCTAATCTATGGAAAATAATTTCACATGCGATCACATTAAGAACGACTCAAGATTAGAAGTAATTACATTCTTAATTGCGAGAATAAATTGGATTTTTGAAGTAGAAAGAATTATGGAATGCAGAGTAGCGCGGTTTTCGTCGTTCGACACAGAGTGCGGAGCGTTTGTCGGACAGTGATCTGTGAGCTGTTGAAGCGTAAAGGATGGGTACGGATAAACAACAGGCCACATCATACAGGAGGTTTAATTCCATCAATACACAACCAATTGTCCCAGATTGTTTGACCATTGATTGTGTTAATACCGCTTGGAAAGTTGATGTGACATTAAAGGGATGCGGAGTGGCAGATCATTTCTGTTTCATCTGTTGTTCTAAAGCCAAAAAGTTCTGTTACAAACAAAACATAAGGTAGTATGGAAGCGAGCAGCCTGTTATATGTAGCAAGGGGCTTTCTAGTGATTTACTTAACTCCTTGTAGAATGCAAGTGAGCCAAAATCACCGGTGATTTAGCTCAGTGTTTCATTACTCCCACCAAAGCCCTCAACAATAACACAGGGCATAATCTGCTGCCAATAACTCCAGGTGCTCTTAGTCAGATGGCTCCCTCCGGGCCGGCAGGGAAGTAATACTCTGTTTAGAGGCTGGGGCGGAGAAGCTGCTAAGGATAGCTCGATAGCGTTCCTGCGGATAGAAAATCACCAGAGACTGACTTTTGAGTGGCTGCCTGTAACACTATTAGCCACATTATGGCTCCTGCTGCTGCTAGGAGAGCTGTCATTTCCTTAATTAAGAGCCCAGCGCGGGGCAAGAGGGAGAAGAGGCCGCGGCAATCTCTGCGGGCCCCTCGACATTAAAGCCTGATTCCTCATCGTGCGAGGGCGTAGACCTTACAGGGGGAGGGAAAAAAAAATCCATCTCATTTATTATTCGGGCGCAAAGTGGAATTATGGAGTTAAGGAATTACATCGGAGGTGGTGCTGAACAGAAAGGATTTTACACCTCAGCAGTTCTGTGACTATTTTTGAGGTGATTGTTAAGCCAAGAGCAGAGAGGGGAAGACACAGAGGACAGGGAGAGATGAAGAAGAGGAAGAAGGGTGAGCAGAAGAGGGAAAGGATGCTGCAGAGTTGTTAAATGTAAACAAAAGAAAATAGTACACTTGAGTTTGAAGATGTAAATCTCGGGTTTCTGATGAACGGGTGGAGAATCTGCATGCAAACAATGCTTAAAGTAAAGAGGACCCCGTGCTCCCACACTTATGCTCTCACTCATGGCTACAGGTCTTCACCAAAAGGCTCTCTGACATGAGAGTGCTCGGCTCCGGCTCTTACCTGTCCCTCTCCCTCGGTGCTGGAGTGGAAGCAGGAAGAAGCAGCACAAGCACAAGAGGGACCAGAGGGAGGTAAATTGGTGAGAAGAGGCAATGCCCGATTCAAAGGTCAAGAAGGAGCGATGGTGTGATGGGGAGAGGAGGATGGAGGAGGAGGAAGAGGAGGGAGGGAGGGGGAAGGAGGGCTTTTGTGATGCATCTTCACAGTGGACTTGGGACACTTTGCACATGAGCACATCTGCTCTGGTGCGTCCTCCTCATTCTCAAAGCAAAGTCAACCTGATTAACTCAGGGTTGAAAGAGGAAAATCACAACACAAATGATTCCTCATCCTTTTATGGCGGGTCGCTGAGATGAAGACTAGCTTTAGAGCGCTGTAAGCCTTTTAGGAGACGCTTGCTTCACTGTGGCTCCTCCTCCTAAATTACTTAAATGATATTTGCTGTAAATAGGATTCTGCTGCCGGCAGCCTGCAACCCTGCGCCGAATAAAGGCCTCCCTCTCATACTTTGTGTTGATACCTAAGGCTCCTAGAACAAAAGCTGGAATGATTATCAATCAGTTGGGTGATCAAAAGAAACAGACTTCATTTTAAAGCAAAAACAGGCAATTAATGATTCCAGCTTTTGCAGTAACAGTAGCTGCTAATTTTCCATGTTGGTTCTCGATTGTTAAGTCAAATTAAACATCGAGAGATACCTGGTTGGCTCAGTCAAGCAATACAATTAAGTATCTAAAGAAAAAGAGTAATGTCAGAGTATAAACGACAGACTGAAAATAAACAAGCATTAAAAATTAATAAAAATAATCTGTAGTTGAAGGCTTAATCGTGTGTTTTTTCATGATTCGGGGTAAAAAATATAAAAAATAAAAAAAGATGAAGAAAGCCAAAAAAAATGCTTTGGATTGATTTGAAATGCTTTTGTCATGGAAAAATCACTCCAAGTTTCATTCAGCCTGAATGTCAAATAATCACTGATTCATGCTTCGGAGTTATTTTCCTCTTTAAAAATCTGTTCTACATGAACTTCATCTGAGTGTAAATGAATTCTTAAAAAAAAAAAATCAAACAGATTGGCTCTGGGAGGTGAAAAAGACACTTTTGACTCCCATTATTTCACAGAATTAAAGTTTAATTGAAAACACGAAGAGTTCACACGGTCATCAACTTTAAACTGGCACCTTCAATCTCTCAGTAACTTCTTTTAAAAAGCATCTTTTAAACAAATCTATCTTGTGTGGTCAGCTGACAGCCATTCAAAATAGCCAGTGGGCTGTGAGGACAGTCCAGCGCAGTATGAGAGTGTGTGTGTTTGTGTGTAGGAGGGGGGAGGTTAGACACCCACATGTCATGCCTGACACATCAGTCCGAGCCCCCCAGGCTATCTGGCACTAATGCTGCCTATGTCCCACTTTCTACCCCTTTGCCCCCTCAAAGCCCCCCTCCCGCGTCTTCACCCGCTCCTTCTGTCATAGAGGTGTAATAACAATGGATCACACCAGCGGCTGCAGCAGCGGCTCAATCACTGTAGGATAACATCAGGTGATACAAGCTACACAGAGGATATCTTACCTGCACTGAACCTCGGCTAAACACAGCGAGTGCAGAAATGAGTTTATCTGAACAAAGTCCTGTATTAGTTGTTTCTGTATTCCCTCCTTGCTGTGATATTTACAGAGCTGAGTGGGTAAAGGTGGAAACAAGCAAATAATCATGTTGCTAAAAGACACCCACCCCACTCCTCCCTACCCCTCCCAGCGCATTATTCTTGGAGCAGACAAATAGTGGAAGGAGGGACGTCAGGAAATAGTATTGCTTTGAAGCACATAACTCTATTCTGGAGAAAAGAATCATCACAGTGTTATTCCACATCCTCAGATATAAAGGAAAAAAACATAATAACTTCTCGATAGCCTGGATCTCCACTGCCCTATACCGCCCCCCCCCCCCTTCCCTTCTCAGCCCGCCCACACCCCTGCCTCATCCTCCATACACCCACTTCTCCTGCCTCAATCTTTGGTTTCAAAGGAAGCGAATCAGCCAGAAGGACAGAAGGTTATGCATTAGTACTGGTCATTGCTCAAAGAGCGAGCGTTATAAATAATAAAGGCTTGTGAAGGACACAAGGGCTGCTGGATGCATCTCTGGTTCACGCCACACAAGTCAAAGACAAGTCTGTAATTTCTATTCCGAAAATGTGACCCTTGCAGCTTCAATTACATCTCAACAACACCAACCGTGTCGGTGCCAGGAGATGTGATGCCTCTTTGTTAGCTCTACATGAAAGGCTTATTGATATTGGTTATGGAGCGCATGCTACATATCATATAAGGTTTTTTTTTGAAAATGATCCCCCCAACTTAAACAACTTGTGTTGCTAAAATAGAAGCATATTGAAATGCAATTTATTTTCTCCACAGCTCTGCACCTACACAACTTTTAATGTGCTTTTTTTTCTCTGGAATACTTTGACTTTAATAAAAACAAGGCAGGGAGAATTACATTGTCAGTTTTTGAAGTTCCATGTGTTGCTCAAAGTCATTTCTGCATAACCAAGCATTCATGAAACCAGATGACCTTTGCTGCTGTTTACATGGAAAACAAGCCTCGTGCTCATCTTCCCTGTCCTCCGGAGTGATTGTATTGCTGTAGCTGTGGGCACCGTGGGCACATTAGCAAATGTATTACACCTGCTTTATAGGCATGCATTAAGCCTGTTTTCAAGTTTGTGCAGACAGCTGAAATCCCCATAATGAGATCCACCTCCTGGGGAGAGGCTTGTTCTCCTTCGCTCTCCTTTATCCACTCTTATTTACCCAGCGTGGCCCATTCAGCGCTGGGTTTGCGCCACTTTATTACTTAACCTCGGCACACAACATTACGAGGCTCTTTGCATCAGCAAGCAGCCTATCCCACCATGCATCCTGCTCACTAAGCTGATTACACAAAAATAATAAGAACTCATGCCTCCAGCGGTGTGTGTGTGTGCGTGTCTCATTGTGTGTATGAATTGTAGATGCAAAAGAGAGTTTTGCATTAAACACTAAAGCTATGGAGCAGTTTTTCCATAGCTACTCTACATAATACTATGAAGTATGCACGCAAGCAGGTCACTTTACTTAGAGTAATGGCATTTGCAGCTAAGAAAAGGTAACTAAAAATGTAAGGAGTCCAAAGAGTAACAAAATAACTGCTTTCTAGTTTTTTTTTTAAGATGTCAAACTACTGTTTGTTTGGATTTGAATAACTTTCACCTGAGGAAACTCATTCAAATTTAGCATGCAAAGTGGCCTCTTTGGCTTTCAGCGAATAAAAAACTTCAAACTTGTGACAATTCAAGTCAAGCTGTTTATATCGCTCATAGGTGGAACTAGGGTTTCTTTTCAAGTATGCATTTATTATATATATATAATTAAAGTGCAGCACTAAATTAGTTTATGATGCACTTTTGTTGCTAAATATTATCCTGAAACCAAACTATTACACCATTATAAATACATTTTTAAATTTTCATATGTGAGTGTAACAATAATGTCAAATGGAATAAGTCAAAAGAAATGAGCTGAAGACATCTTTTAGTTCATCTAATGACAGATTTTTTTTTTTTCACCAGTGTCCGGTCAGGAATCTGTAACAGTATCAGTAGAAACTTCATGTTTTAAAAAAGTTAGATCAGTGCCAAGAAACTGGTTGGTCTATCCCTTTAAATTAATGAAGCACACAGTCCGGTTGTAAGTAAGGCCTTATAAACCTGTAATACATCAAAATCCAGGTGCAGCATTTAAGCAGACGCAGCACTCGGTGTGGACTTTTTGTTCTGAATGACCTCCAATACCAGGAATCAATGAAAGATTCATTTTAGGAGGGGGGTCTCTAGGTGACCTTTGTGAAAATGTTCCACCATTTTGGCAGAATCCGTATAAGTGCAGACCATTTCATGTAGACAGTAAGTGTGTGAAATGAGTGCTCCTGTCGTTCCAGCCTGGCTCCCTTTGACAGCATGATGATAGAAGCGTCACATCCTTGGGAGAGTAAATGCAAACTGACAAGAGATGAGCCTTTGGTTGCTGAATATAATACGGAATTGTGCTCTGAGTGTCTTATTATCTTGTCTGTTGATGTTTGAAAGGGGGAGATTTGCTTGAGAAGAGAAGACAGAAACTGTACGCATCCAACACCATCTCGTCCTTTGAAAAAAAATTGCTTGCCCTACTAACCACAGCTTTCCCACCTAATGTCCACTTCTACTTGGAATAAATACAAGGCGGCAGGATGTTTGTGGTGCCTCGTAGCCCCTGTTAGCTGAAGTGGAAGACTATTTGCACAGGCAAGCTTTTAGGAGGAGAACGACCCTTTCACCACCACAGTAAGCATGTGGTGGGTGTAGAAGGTGGACAATTTACTGTAGACAAACATGACCGCTACTGTCATTGTCTCCCACTGACTTCTCCTTCTTGTACTGGCGCACACCTCTGCTCAATACTACAGCACTAAAAGTAAAGTCGTACATCAAGTCTGCAAGAAGGAAAAAGTTGGTGAAGGCTCTCGAAATGTTACAAAACACACACCGTGTATGAAACATTCGCAACGCAAGGATGAGGAGCAACACGATTTTGCAGTAATTATAATCGAAATCTGTTTGCTAACTTCAGTCTAAATATGAACCATACGGGGCAATGTTTGGATTCTTAGCGACCTTTTTCACTGCTCTTTTTTTGGAAGAATAATGAACTCTCGACTTACCTAACGAGCTAAATTCACAACTTTTCCAATTATGAATTTGGAAATGCTCAAATTAGCTCGCTGCGTTTTGTCTACACTGCGTGTGAATGCAATAAAACTCGTCTACTTAAGTTTCTTTGCATTGATGAGTTTTTCTGTTGATGCCACAATAAGTTCAGCGCAAATTGAATAGCAGGGAAGCAAATTAAGTTTCAACACGAGTTGTCTTCTCCTGTACTATGTGTATAATTGGAGCGAGATTATGATAAAGTAACACAGCAAAGTTTTTTCCCTTTCTTCTTTCTGAGGCTGAGAAACCGAAAGTTTCTTTTACTCCTTTCTTCTTCAACACGAGAGGAAAAGAGAGGAGTCGAAAGATTGTGCTTCTGCACAGCTCAGAATGAAAACAACTAAATAATGAAAGTCCTTGTTCAAAAAGCCAAATTCAGGTTTGCTTTCTAGTAAGTGGCAATTATTACTTCGGCATTAGAGTGTGGAGAGATTCAAACTTCTACAGCCTTCTACAACAAACCAATAAGCAAATGTGGCTCAAATACAAACAACATAAAATAGCATCCGAACAGGAAATCAAGTCTAAAGATTCATAAGACCATTTAAACTTTTTTTAATGCAATCTCAATTATCTAACTCTATACACTTTGCACAATTACATGACCCAGCACCTCAAAATGTGTAACTTCTCACTGAATAAGTGCAAGATTCACTGCTTCAACTTTTACCATGATTTTGGCCACATGCATTCAGCTTAACTGGCTCAAGTTGGGGTCAATTTAGCTGATTCAACTCCTGGTTTGCAGCGGCTGTTTGCTTAATTTCCTCTAAAACTTCAACCAAAACACCAAACAAAACAGTTGTTGTAACAAGGAGACCAGCAGCTTTGTTTTCGACTGAGTTTAAAAACAGAAGTGACTAGTCACCATGAGCCCACTTTCCCCTTTAGTCTGGGAGCCTTTAAGGAAAAGCACAGAAAGATGCTGAGTCTCTCTTCTTTGACCTCCTCACTCCCCTCATTCTTCCCTCCTATCTCCTCCAGCAGTAGACACTACTGTACCAAGACTCCTTGTCATTCCCTGCCGTTCTCTTTGTCAGGTCATGTGGGCAGCGGTTCCCAAACCAAGCCTGCCGTTGGCACAGCCCAGGGCTCAGCCACGGGGCGGAGAGAAACCATCCTCTCCAAAATTCACAAGTTACACTGGAGCAGCTCAAACCGACCACATGCAGAGCAGAGACAGCGAACAGCAGGACAAACAGGAGGCAAAAAAAATCATACAGCTTTAAAAATGAGCAACATATTCAAAAAAAGTTACTTGTGTGTTTTGACTCATAAATTTCTCATAGAAAATGGTAGATTAGTTCAATTAAAATTAAAACAGCTTCAGCGTAAAGCTCAATCTGTAAAGCATTTATGTGTAAGTCTATGAGAGAAAAAGAGAAGCAAGTACCACAAGCAGAGTCAGGTGAAGACTGATCAGACATGAGGAAAAACTTGATGCTTATTAAACCAAATTGCAACACTTCTGACTCAAACCCTGCTGTACACACTCCTTGTTTAGAAGAATGTAACCTCGGCTTATTAAAAAAATAAGGATTTCAAACACAGCTGAACTCACTCTCTCGCTCTGATACCACGTGAGATTTATAATTGGCAAACCCTCCCCTAAATTCTGATTTTATTTAGTTCACAAATGTTTGGCTAGTCTGGTAAATAGCAAAGGCACTACTCTCCACTCACCGCCACGTCCCAACAAACACACACACACTCAATCACACACACACACTGCCAGCATCATACAGACAGACAGACTCTAGTTTTACTCAAATTATCTTAAAGAAACAAAAACTGTGCTCTGTTTTGTGTAGCAGTCATTCATAAACAGTAGTAAAACAATAAAATGCCCAAATCTCCAAATCATAAGTGACACACACTCGCACAAATTGAACGGTCTGTTTTTTAAAAGTAAAAAATTATCATCCAGCGCAGAGAAGAAAACAAAATATGCACGAAAACTGACAAAACAATTGACTGCTAAAGCCATCAGAAAGAGACTCACGCCTCCTTTACAGAATCATATCAGTGATATAAAAACAAAGGTGAGTAAATGTTAGCTCTCTATAGGAAGTCCTTCACTTGTCTCTCTTTACACTCTCTTGACATAAAAACAGCAAAGTAAAACTTGATTAAATTATCTATTTGTAAAAAAGATGGAACATTTTTAAACCAATGTCTTATCACATTAAATCAAATTAAATCTGAAAATTCAGGTTTCATTTGTTGGTGGTCCTCCTCAAAAGGAGAATCGGTTTAACCTGGGTTTACAAAACTTATTATATAAAAACAAATAGTCAACTGCTGATTACAATTAATATAAAGCTTTAATAAGAACTTCACTGAATTACTCATAAGAATGTTTTACTGGATAAAAGGGGAAAAAAAAGTTAATTGATATAATTATGCTTATTGATACCTAATGAGGCCTGATTATTAAATTAACTCACATGACCGACACAGTGCCTCATAATCAAAACAAAACACAGTGATACTGGCAAAATGCCAAAAAGTCAATTAATGATAAGTGAAAAAAATAATAAATCATGCTCATGTTAAAACAGTGGCTGAAACAGAGGATGCAAAGAGACTAAAAATTATTGAATGAACCAAAAACAAAAAAAAAAATACATCAGTGGAGGAAGAGAAGTCTCTTGAATTATCCAGACAGAATAAACTGTTTATGTGCCGATGATTATCACAGATTATAAAATACAGCAGATGCTTTGATTTCAATTGGAACAGAGTTAATGTCAATTGTCATAGTTTTCTTTTTATTTTGATTTAGTTCTACTAAAAACCTTCATTATGTGAATTAGAAAATTTGGTTAATTACATAAAATAATCAAACAGCAGCAAAGCTATAATGACAAACCTTGTCGATCTTAGACAATTTTGAAGTTCTGAAAAATGTTTGAAAATATTGGAAAAACAGAGAGATGCTGCAAAAGAAACTACACAACAGCAATAACTACACAATTATCCACTTTTAATTAAATATAAGATAGAGAGCCAAATTAGAGAGCACTGCATCTTTACAAGTAGTATCTTCTACTGTCAGTACATTTAAAATGGACTTGACTTACTTTTACAAACAAAATCTTTTTTTATGAATATCTTAAGTCTAAAAGTCTTAAAATTGCAGGAAAAATCTTAAAGCTCAAAAAGCGCAGATTATACTATTTCACTGAAGAGGCATTCAAGCTTTCAAAGAGCCAGCATTGACTTGTGTATTGTACCAAAACTTAGTTTGCAGCCTGACACCGCTGACACCTGTCCCAGCACAGAGACCCTCTCTGTTCACATCACCTCTGTCTATAACAACCCATACAGCTGCTTCAAGGAGCTCTCGGGACAAACTGGAGGCTTCAGCCCACTTACCGTACAGCTTGTTGGGGGTACCGTCTCTGTCCGTGGCCTCAGAGGGCAGGAGCAGGGGCTCGTCGTTCAGATCGCTGTCTGGGCTGGCCGCTTTGTCGTCCGCCCGGAGTTCTGCCGCGCTCATGTCGCTGCGCAAGGAGAGCAGCGGCTTGCTCAGCTGCCCTGTAATCATCGGATCCTGGAGGGAGCTTGGAGCCCAGGTGGGGGAAACAGGGAGGAGAAAAATAAAAAGAGAAAGCACCCCTGGTTAGATGTGCTTCAGCGTCTCAGCCTCACCGGCTCCTTCTTCTCCTTCTATGCCTCTACTCACTCTCTCTACCCAGCTTCTCCTTTCTATTGCTCTCTCATCACTCTCCCTCTCTCTCCTGCTCCCTCCCTCTCCAGCTCTCTCTTTTATCTGAGGCTGGTGCTTCCCCGCTGATACTGCCGGCTGCTGCCTGGTGAAGAACTGTTACGGATCGCGTGGCTTTACCATTATACCCTGCAGTCCTAAAACGGTGATACATCCATCTCCAAGGGCTCATTACTACCTGACATGTGCCTCATCTTCAGCAAACACTAAGCTGACAGCAGCCTACAAAGAGCTCTATGGGCTGTGCGCTGACAAATACATGAAATAAATATAATTCTACATCTGAAGATAGGACCAAAAACACACACCAGTGATTACACCAATTTGCACCTATTTGGGGACACGAAATGAGATCGGTCGTGACATTTGCAGTACAGTGTGACGCAATATCAAGTTGAGGCCTGATTTAAACAAGAGGTGAAGTCCATGATGTTCCCAATTTTTCCTCCCAATTATTTTCATTTTTTTTGGCAGCATTTAAAGACAACAACGAACGGCATCAACATCAGCGTTTCAACCGCCTGAACATGATGCACCGTAATTATTTCAGAAAAGTGAAGAACAGTCAAACACTGATATTTAAATTATGTTTAAGCGTGTTTGAGAATTTCACGAACGCCGTCGGAGGTTCAAACGCTTCCAACTTGAGATTCTGAATGCAAGAAATTCCAAATCAAGTACTTCTAAAGTTTGATGAAGGTTGAAATAAAAGTTGAAAAATAGTCAGAAACCTGCTCTTACCTACACAAAGCTCCAGAGGAAATGATTAAGAAATAGTTTTCAGAAAGTCCAAATGTTGAAGTGAGTCTTAAGAGCGGCTAAAACATGCCACCACCAGCTAGCACATGCTTTCTGCTGAACCACAAGCACCCTCCTCAACCTTTGTGTATCTGAATGGCTGCCGCAGGTTCAAGCCTGAGGTTGCTTCCACGGACAGGCTGCTGGAGATGCCACCTCCTCCTCCTCCTTCTCTTGCTTCTTTCTCTCTCTCTCTCCCCCTCACACACACACACTCACACTCTCCCTCCCTCTTTCTCTCCCTCTGTCTCTTCCCCCTTGTGTCTTCTGACTGGAGAGCTCCTCAGACAGTGTTCACCCCACCTCAGGCTCTGAGCTGCAGACACACAGCAGCAGGACTCTGGCCCTCTTTTTTATTTATGAATCAAGTCCAGCCTAAATATATCCGAGGAAGAGAAAGGACAGGTGAACAGGACATTTGGGACAGAAAATAAAAAAATAAAAAAATAAAAAAAGCCGGGATGAGCCTCATTTTGCCCCCTGCACCCATCAACTTCCACCCCCTGCTTCTATCCGGGTGGTCGATGAGTTCCTGCCCAGAGGGGCCTTTTTAATGTGCTCATCACGGGAGTCAGCCCTCTTTGATATGACACATGATAATCTATGAAAATGTTAATCAATAGAAATAGTTTAAGCTGTCGTTAAAAGTGTGAGCCGGCTGGTCAATACTCATATCCCTGGTAACAATGTCACTAGTCATCAGCGCTTCATTTGTGGAGCACTTAAATGCGGGACACTGCGCATCAATGCACCTCCCTGCCCGCCGAGGTAAACACATTTTCCCCTCTGTCTGAGCTTGGCCGCACTCTGCATGCATTTGGGTCCGCCCCCACCCCCCTGCCCTCTCCTTTGAGTTGCTTGATAGGTCCACTGGAGGGCAAAATTAATACCTAATTGAATCTTGCAGTCATCAAAATAATCAATAGTTTTTTATTATTTATTCTTCACAGTCTGTTGACTGTTTGAAAGCTCAGAGGGACAGGGCAGAGCACAGGCAGCCCTGAAATTTCTACCGTTTCACAATGTAATTTTCACTGGGGCATGAGAGTTTGCAAGACCTTATAAAAAATGAGAGCAGTGGTTTTTGTTACGAGGTGGGGAGAAAAAAAATAAAGGAAAAATGGGAATCTTTGCCCCAGCAGCTATGATGAAAAATAGAATAAACAAGCTACTGACACTTCAGAGAAGGGCAGGGGCCTTTCTGTCCATCCCTCCATCTTTTTCCCTTTCCCCTTTTCTCCTTATTTCATCATATCAGGAGTGTGGCGGTACCTCTCTAATGCTGGCATTTCTCTTCCTGACAGACTCCAAACAAGTGCTGGGAATGAGATCAGAGCTCTAATCTTCCCCTGGCCTCTGAGGCTCCAGGATAAGGGGGCAACTCATCTCTCAGCGTCTCACGCAGCTGTTAATTACTTCATTTCAAAACAGCAAGCCTCGCCTACTTGCAATCATGCTACCAAATTGGGTGTGTTTATTAATTTAAGCCAAAGGAGTAATGCAATTACACATAATGGGATAACTATAATCTTATTGTAAGAATCCCTAATAAAGAGGGATATTTTAAAAATTAGCATAAGAAATTACATTACTGATTCCAAACAGTGGATGTGTGACGGATTAGCTTTATTTTTTTTTAAGTAACCCTCAGACCTCTGGTTAAAGACATAATGTGAGTTTGACGTGTGTCTATGTGTGTGTGGGGGGGAGAGAGAGAAGGTTTGAGGGAGCAGACATGAGGGAGAAGGTTTGCCTTGTTTCTTCCCTGCTCACTCAGTCTGGCCGCAGCTCAGGAACAGGTTGCAGAAACAAGAAAAAGCACTTGATCCCCCCTCCACATCTGCCCTCACCCGCTCACCAAACACCCCCAGTGGCCAAATAATCAGCGGTTTGCAGAGAGTACAGAGCGTCATCAGATAGCCATGCTAATAGCTGGGGGTCTTACCAGTGTTGTCCCAGTGTGAGGGAGATGGGGTTTCAGACAGAGACTGGCACGCTGCGTTCCAACACTCCAGGCTCCTGTGGTTATCAAACAGAGAAAAACATGACAGATACGCACCATTTGTTTTATCCTTTTCAAAATCAACTTCAAGTATAACATTCATGGTGGAAAAACAAACAAGCAAAAAAAATACACTTGTCTCCATAAATGTTGACTTACAGCCTTAAATCCTTTAAACTGTTTAGGAAAATGTTAACAGCAGCGTGATGATCAAATCAATGTATCGTATTGGTGATGCTTAAGTTATATGATGGAGATACCAGCAAGGCCTTCAGTGTGTCAGTAGATCTGCAAGGATGAATCAATGAGCCAACTTGTCAACATATATACGAATGAGGCAGCTGTGTTGGTTCCTTAATCGCCCTTTCAGTTGTAGCAAACAAAATAAATTCTGATTCCATCATTTTTGACATCCATGCTCATAATCTGGACACTTTTTGATCAGGTTTGTGCTAAAAAATTAAGCCTTTTATATTCATCTAATTTTAATCATGATCAGTCTAATATATGAACCCAGTCTGCAGGTTTTATACCCTCAGCTTATTCATCTTATGTTCATTGTCCAGTGCATGTTCTGCACATTGCTGATCTCAACTCAGAAGTGAATGCTTTAAAACTATCCTCAAGTACATCCAGCATTTTCAGGCTTCACATACTCTTTAATCCTCTAAAGTGATGTTTCCTTCTTACATTATGTGCTCACTTCCTCGACAATGAAAGTATTCAAAACACAAAAACTAATATTTCAACAATGATAGTTTTGTGATTCTATTTTAAAAACAGAAATGTCCGTCAAATTTTAGAAGCTCATTATCATTGAACTTGTGTTTTGCAGTATTTGATTTATTTAAGTTTTTTATCACATTCTTCTCAGTCTTTTGTACCCTGTTTTTTTGCCTCTGTCTGTGAAGTAGTGTGGTCAGCTCACACAGTTTTTAATGCGCTATACAAATAAACTTGAGTTGACCTATTTACTGGGGAAGGAAAGTCAAATTCATGAAGTCTTTACCTGATTTCTGCTGGCGGCATTTCTCTAAATGTGAGTGTAATGACTTAAGTAGCGCAGGAAAGTTTCACATAAATTAATGTTCAATAAGAGCATTATGAAGTTTACTTTCAATGCTACTTTATTGAGTTTTTCAGTCTTTCTATAGTGAAGTATTTAAATAATGAGTCCAAATCAAATTAAATCTCTTAAATATGATTTAAAATTTAAATTAAAATTTTAAACATTACTTTTAATGGTAATGTACCAGAAAAGCCAACAATGACAAACACTTGCATGGCACCGATTCTGAATAAATGTAATGCTCTGATACCCTACTGTACTTCAAAGATCCCAGTGTGTAGTGTATGGTATAGTAGGTGATGATTTGTCTCCCCCTTAGGGTTATTAACCAAACTGTTCCTCTCTCATGATAAAAGGGTGTCAGAGTATTTGTGCAGTTAAATGGCATTTTGACCAAAGTGTCTTTCTGCGTGGAACTACAGCTACAAAAAATGTCTACTTTTTAATTTAATTTTGAAAAACATTTGTCTTATCTGTAAGATTACTTACTTAATTTTTCCAACTGTGTACATTTTCAGGACACAAGCACTCACACTTAAACAAGTGGTCAACATTTGAAGTGATTTTTTTTTCCACACTCATTAATATGATCAGCAGTTATCCCTCTCTACTCCACTAAAGCTAAAATGCTCCCCAGTGGATGGTCGGCGGGTCAGTGAAGGCTGAGGGCTATCAAAGCAGTGTATTAAAAGGAGCTCTTTGAAGCTTGTAAACCACAGTGCCCAGCAGGTCCACAACACATAGACGCCTCTGATTGGTCAGGTGTGTATGTGTTTTTTACTGGATCGATCCACGGAGCTGACATTCTGGAGCATCAAAGCTTTCAGCACACTAATCTGACTCCTCCTATGAGGGCAGGGGTTGTTTTTATTATTTTTCTTTTTTTTCCTAAGAACTGCTTATACCTCAGAGGGGCTTCTGCATGCTTATGATATGCCTGTGTGTTTTAAAGGGTTTGAAAGGGACTGAAAACATATTGAAATCCAGCTTGGACACTGTATTTATCAACCAATAAATAATGCAAAACTATAGAGAGCGCAGCAGAGAATCACAGGCCCGTCCACTGGGTATACCACTGGCAGAAGAAGAGTGACACCGCAGAGATTCACACACGGCTGCTCCTCAAAGTCAGTTTCCCCTCACACTGTCTCAGGAGACCTGCGCCACATACACACTCATGAAAGGTGTGAAAATCTGATTTCCCAAAAAGGATCGGTAATTCTCTGTGAGGGTGGAAGCCGCAATCAATAAATCATTGCTAAGTAGATTGTAAAGAAAAAAAAAATTATTCCCCCTTGGTATCAGTGCATTAGGATTCTCCGGAGGATGGATGAGGCGAGATGGGGGTGTGAGACAATCTCAATAAAGAAGAGGCAAATCATACCTTTGGCATTCATCTGGACTCTGGCAAGCAGCTGTCAGCAGGGTGAAGAAAAACCAAGACAGTGGACTCATATCTGAGGAATTCATTTGGTCGCCAAGTCCTGGAATGTCTGGGAATATAAAAAATCGATATGCTAAGTGACCATCCTGATAATATGCAGTAACAGAGTTTTATGCGTGATATTAAAATATGACATCACTGCTCTGTCTAGATATTGTTTGAGTTCAGAATTGCATTTCATGCCATTGCATTTGTTAATGTTAGTAATAGTTACAGAAATCAAAAGTTATTATGAGTGACTACAACAGACAATACGTTTCTCTCTCTACCTGTCTATCTTCCTATCTACCTATCTAGCTATATACATACATACATTTATGCCTTGTAGAGCACACTGATACCTTTGATATATGTTTACAGCAAGAACTTTATTTGTTTTTGTATTTTTTTTACATTTGATCGCACCATATTGTTAGTAATGCTGGAAGAAGTACTCAGAATGTTGTGGTAAAAATAGCATTCAAAAAGATTTACATATATTCATGATCATCTTAAAGGACGGACCTGAGATCATTGAGATTTATACAGTTTGTTGTCCCCAGAGTCCGAAGTGAAATGGGAAAGAAGGTTTTCAGGTTCTCTGTCCTCTCTGCGTGGAATAATCTGCAGACTGAATTTAAGCTGCAAAACTTGGTGTCTTTGACCGTTTTTAAATCTGCAGTTAAAGGGCTGGAGGACAAACTCTCAGAATGTCTCTGTTTTGACCGATATTTCCTCACATTTTAATTGAGTCTGTGTGACTGTCTGTTGTAACCATGTATTGTTGCCATTCTTGGTCAGGTCTCCCTTGCAAATGAGATCCTCAGATCTCAATGGGACAAACCTGGTTAAATAAAGGTTAAAAAAAAATCTATGATTCGCCAAAATTGACCTTTAAGTTTACTTTAACTGTAATAATCTGCTATATCACCACTTTATTATGATTGATTCATTTATTTATAGGGCGTATTCGCAGGGGGGATCATTGGGGGAGCTAGGTTTTGGACTACTCAGTGTACTAATGTATGGTTCATTTCAAAAATTCAATACAACTAACCCAGCAGTTTTATAAAAATAGATGTTAAAGTATCACAGTAGTGCACAATGAACCTCAGAATAAATTAAAATAGCCTCGGATTTTACACAAATACATTTTCCATCACAGCAGCCTTTAACTTCAATACAGTTTTGGAAAATTTTGAGGGCTTGAAGTTTTTAAATTATTTACCGTATTTGACACTTGGTGGAATTAATGAGGGTGGCCAAATGAACCTCCTCGACGAATGAGTTGTGGTTGTTGGGACATCTTTTCCTTAGCAAAGTTTGACACTTTTTGTGCTGCAGCCCACAGTTAAAAACAAAAACAAGGAACAATTCGACATTAAACACGTTTGACTGTCCAAAACTAACTTCCAAATGTCACAAAGAGCTTGTTTTCAATTAAGTTAACACCAAAACATAGGTAAAGTTTTTTAAAAAGTCACCTGCCGTCTACGCCACTTCTCTCAGCGGTTGTCTTCACTCTGTTACAGAGACTACAACCCCCATGATGCTTTGTGGCGTTGCTGAGGTCATGTGATCTAACTCATGACAGCGAGAGCTTCAACAACATACATCATTTTGTTGCCTTGAGGATATTTCTAACATGAAACAACCATAACCTCCATATTTTGAAGTTTTGATATGCATTTTAAAGCACTTATTGAGGTATTACAGTGATTCTTTGCGGATACAATATAGAACAATGGCGGAAGTGGAGGAGCAGGTAAGCACAACATGCTAATATTAGCTTGCTACTGTTGATGTTTATACGTAGATGAGCAGAGGTTGTGTCTAAGAGCAATGCCAATCGTCTTTTACGAGAAATTTTACAGGTGTTGTTAAAGTTCTTTCTAAATGTCTTTTACTTACAGGTTAGAAAACCAAGTGAGGAATTCACAGATGAGTCTGAGGTGAGGAACACATTAACATCACCATGTACTGCTCTTTCATTTCCAACAAAAAGACATAAAATTAAATAAATGTTCATAAAGAAGCGCCTTTTTCATCTGCAGCCACATTGTGCAGATGACAGGGAGGCTGATGATTGAACTCAAACCTTGGAGTCTACTGAAAGGACCCCAACACATAGCCTGCCTTTAAGAATCCTGCCTGATCCCAAAAGGATCTTTGTCAGGTTTTGAGAGGTGTCAAACACTCATGAATTACAGATAGCTCTCCACATCCATCAATATTACGACTGAGCTCGGGCATGTTAGAGTACACTTGTGCTTCTGAGAATTACAAGTAGGCTAAATAAAATATAACTTTACACAAAAGCGTTGCAGGAAAGGAAGGCTTTCTGTATTGGAAGCAGAGAATGAAATATTTGGGAAAGGCTGAAGCGGATGCTTGCGCCTCCCAGAAGAAAACAGTTTAGAGTGGGGTAAAGGAAAAAAGAAAAACTCAAGACTTGTGTTAAAAAGAGCTTCTACATCCTGTTTTCCCTCTTTGTGCAAGGTAGTTCAACACTGCGGGACAAGACCTCTCAGAAAAAAGTTCCTAAGAAGCTACCAACAGCTGATTAATAATTAGTTTGAGCGCTTTTTTGTAATGTAGTTTGCTTTTTGCTGAATGCTGCTGTTACATCGTCCACAGCAGACTTATGTGTGTGTTCTGCTCCTGCAAAATAATGTGTCTTAAAAATGAGTGACATGCTTTCCTTTACTTTAATCATCCAACTCAACCTGGCTGATTTGGTCTGGGAGGTTTTGCTGGGTCTTGTTTTGATGCCTAAACCCTGCTGAACAATCCACATTGTTAGAGTAAGAGGTTTATTTTTTCCTAACTCAGGAAAAGAAAGGATCAAACTCTTTATATGTGCATTTTACACAATAATACTATTGTAACAAACGAAACAAAAACTGAATAAAAACAAACGGTTAGTCTTTGCGATTCCAAACCACAAATTCAGAGAAATGAATCTTTTCAATGTAAGCCCTATTTCATATTATATGTTTTTACTATACTGTGTATTTACTTTATCCATCCATCCATCCATTTTCTATGACTTTCCCCATTGGGGAGCCTGTCCCAGCATCTTGGGGTGATAGCAGGGGACACCCTGGACAAGTCACCAGTTAATCGCAGGACTGACATAAACAACCATCCACATTCACACCTACGGGCAATTTGAAAGTGGCCAATTAACCTAACCCCACTTCTGCATGTCTTTGGGATGTGGGAGGAAACCAGAGTACTCAGAGTAAACCCACACAGACGCAGGGGGATCATGCAAAGTCCACACAGAAACACCCTGACCTGGATTTGAACTCGTGACCTTCTTGCTGTGAGGCGACAGTGCTAACCACTACACCACTGATGCACCTTCATTTAAAGTGAAAAAGGTTGCAGAGATTTTATCCAGTTTGTTCATTAAGCTTGCTTAAAAATGTAACCTTTCTGCAAGCAATTGTAGAAGTGGTGGGGTATGATTTGTTAGTGGGGGGGGGGGGTCCTGATTTTTGATGAAAGATTTGGTCCAGCCTGTCACATGAGACACAGATGGTAACAAAACAAAGACCATTTTTTTGTAGTTGACAAAAGACAACTAACAAGAAATGGCAAAGTTTGAAAAATAGGTAGTTTCTCTGTGGGGATGAAGTTTGCTTTTGTTGTTTGATACACGGTTAAACCCGTGACAAATGCCCTCGCATCAGAAATCTCACAAGCAGAATACACAGGAAATAGCCTCGATATGGCGTTGTTGAGTGGGAAAGGATTGTTTTTGAAAATAACATTTTTTCCACGCTATTGTCCCCCACCTCCAACCCAGCTGCACATAATGGCAGACAATGTTTTGAGTTGATGCACCCTCTGGGCAGCCACAGACTGTGCAGCATTGGTTATAAACTGAATTATGGGTAATATTCAGGCTGTGACTGGCCGCAAATGTTGGCTCACACTGGAAAGAGTGGAATATCTTAAGTTTGCTTTATGAAAAGACAGAATTCTTGTTTGTCACTGGGGATGAAAAATAACTTTAGGCTGGATTTCATGCAAGGCAATGGAGATTTGTCTTTTTGCATTTATTTCCTGGTTCATGCAGGACAAACACAAGTCTTATAGACAAGGCCAGAATACATTTAGGATCAGCTTAACAGGTGTTCCTGCAGAAATTGTGGATATTAAATTAAACCGACAGAATAAATGTGTGATTGGGATTAAAAGAGTTAAAATTTAGAATGATATATTTGGGCATTTTTGCCTTTATTAGATAGGACAGCTGAAGGGAGTCATATACTAGATTGAAATTCATATATGTGCTCTTCTATGATATTTAAAAGCAAATAGGACAATCAGCAGCAAGCTTCAAGGTTTTTATATTAAAATTTTGATTGCCTTAAAATCTAGTGTGGGGGGTAGGTGCCAACCTTGCAACTGTTTTTTTTTTTTACAATGTCTACATTGAATATTCACAATAAATGAAACATTTGATAGCCAAAGGTCAGCAGAATGAGAATGTTTTTGGTCATAAATCACTATTTATGAATGCAGAGAACAAGATAAGCAAAGACTGTCCACAGAGGGCGCCAAACATAACACAAACCCAAAGTTCCTCACTGGAGCTTTAATTTGTTACAGTTTAATATACATAATTCAGATTTCATCAAAATGGGAAGTTTTATATTCTGTTCTTTGAGTGTAAGAAACATCATATCTAATTTTTAACTGATGCAATGAAAGCCTTTAAAAAAGTACTCAAGCAGATCCACTTTACAAGCTTTTTTTTTTCTCTACCAGGAGGAGGACAGCGAGGAGGAGCCAAAGCTGAAGTATGAGCGGCTCTCCAATGGAGTGACAGAAATCCTCCAGAAGGACGCTGCCAGCTGTATGACCGTCCATGACAAGGTAAGGATTATAATCCGACAACCGCAAGGGCATTTCAATCTCAAATCTGTGTTTTAAAAAAAAACAGATTTCAAATTATTTATCTCCACATTTGAGAGATGTCCTCTTCAAAGTTGGTTTTCCTCACCTTTCTTTAACTTGTAAAGGCAGCCCATTCTTTTCTCACCTCCCCCCTGCTTTCCCACTCAGGGAGGTGCATCAAAAGACACCAGGCGCCTTTGTCTTCTCCTCTTTTTATTCTCACTCTTACATATTTTCTCGCTCCTTTCCTCTGTTTGTCCAATCTTGATATTTTTAAGTGGAGCACTCTTCGCGAGATGGTTAATGGTTGTGGCACCAGCAGCACACATGCACGCCTGAGCAGAGCAAAAAGTCATAGCCAGTTATGTCTCCTCACCTGATGTTTTATTAACCGCTATTGATTTTCATTTATTTATTTTTTACTTTGAGGATTTGGTCCCCCTTGTTTTTTTTAACCTCAAAATAGCAGCCGTGCCACAGCGAGACACATCGCTTTGCTGAAATACTAAATTTGATCTGACTGTCTTTCCTTTTGGTATTTCTTCGCTTCTGCCATGCAGCTACCTGTGTGGTCACACCAAACCCCCCCCCCCCTTTCCCCTCCACTGTGGCAAACTCCCACAACCCTTAAATCCAGCGACAGCACACATTGCCTTATGTTGCCTCATATTTTAAGTGTTTGAATCGGAATTTCATTTGAACAATTCCTTTCTGATAAATCCCTTTAAAAGTCGCTCCGCCTCACAAGGTTGAACCCTTTATTTATTTATTTTGGGTTATTTTATTTGGGGAGATTGCAGGGGGCTCTGTCTGACATGCTCAGCTGTGCCTGTAAATATAAGCATTTCATTATAGACTGCACTGAAGCATGGTGGGCTCGCCGCACATCCACATGCTGGTCTAGAAGGGAGGGGGATTAGGAGGAGGGCATGGAGCAGGGGCCGGGGTGGAGGAACACACACTTAATCTAATGCCAAAAGCCCCCAGTTTCTATAATTTTTTTGTCCCAGTGGACTCCTGTACACACACTCACACACTCTCTCTCCCTTTCTCTCTCTCATACACATAAATTCACACATGCACTTTTGTTGCTACACAAACCAGTTGCTGCTCAGGAGAAATAATGGCTCCGTGCTGGGCAGGGAGGTGATTGGGTTGCATTGGGAGCATGGGAAGAAGTCAGATGTACAGTGCATTTATTATGCTTAAGCATTTTAATTTGAAGAGGGAAAAAATGCCATTTCACACTGTATGCTTTAATAAATAGGGCTTTTCCATCCCCTGCAATTTCACAGTTTTGCCTCCAAGCTCACCCAATCCCCACTCTGCCCATGTCGCTTGCTCCAGCTCCAGGAACTATTTTTTTTATCCTCTTCCACAGCCTTCATCAGCACAAGATTTTTTTTTCTTCTGCTTAATCTTGAATTTATTTTAAATGTCTCCTGGTTTAATTCACATTACTTTTTTTTCTCCTCTCAGTTTCTCGCCCTAGGAACACATTTCGGAAAAGTGTTCCTGCTGGATATCCAAGGAAATGTTACCCAGAAGTTTGAAATTGTGAGTAAATGAAAAACACCTGATTACAATCATAGGAACATGAACAACTACTTTTACATGCCATCATCAAACTTAAGCTCACAAATGAATATATATTAATTTACGAGTGATGCTGAAATTTCTTTGGACAACAGAAGCAGGTTAATGTTGTTGTCTTAGTTTTCATAATGCACAGATTTCTCACTAAATACCGTGTTATGACATTTCCATCTGCCTTTGCAGTGTGTTTGTGTTTAATGTAAATTGGCTGAAGTGAGCAGGCTAAAAAGGCTCCACTGATACACTAAACACTCCCTCACTAATCTCTCCCCCCTGCAGAGTGTGTGCCAGGAGCTTAAGGTTAAAAGGACAGAGAGGATGGTGATCTTATATCATTAAAACATTAAAAGACAGAAAAAATGTTGATTTGGTCGGCTATTAACTCGAGTAGCTGAAAGGTTAGAGTTCCCCGGCGTGGAAAACCCTTAACTTTTGTTTTTTGGACAGTTTTCATGACCTTCTGAATGAGCCTGAAAGAGTTGTCAGGATGTTTATATTGAGCTCCTAATACAAATAAGTACATCTTTTAATGTGTTTTGATAGTGATTTCATACTTGTCATGGTTGAGTGTATAGCACATGGATCTGTAAAAGACATTTTGCTCACTATTCAACCCTCCCGTAGTCTTTTCACTGGATCTGATCCAGTTTGACCCAGGCGTCAAAATCATTCAGTAATCAAGTGAACAGTTTTGCATGACTATATCTGCTCACATGCGCCTAAGTGAAGCGTCCCCGCTGAGCACATTGATCCATGTGCTACTTACTTAAAGAACTCACCGCCTGTTATCCATCGTTACCTGAAGGAAACAAAGAAGGCCTTTTAGTAGAAGAGACACAGTTCTGCTGCAACGTAATTTATAAATGAAAACAGTTTTGTTGTCAGTACTGAATAAACCGCAAACATCGAGAAATGAAAAACATGATAAGAAGAAACTTCATGGAAGATGATTCAGGAAAATCTGCTTTAATTTATCCCTTTTCAAATCAAGAGCTCTATTGTATTGTGCCAGCAAGATTTAGAGTTTTCATGTGATAGCAGGAAGACTGGGAGTTGATTTCCTCTCATGTTTTAGTGTCTGTGAAAATAGGACATTAGGAGGGGTAATTTGCATTTATTATATCCAGTATCCCTAAATATAGGAACATTCAAACCAAAATTCCCACACCCTGTCCATCGCCTCTAACATTGCATGGCTGCACTAAGATTGTTACCCTGACATGCCAGGTTATTGTGTCTCGGATGGGAGGAAAAAATCGATACAGCATAGTATCGCGATATTTCGTCTGGTGATATCATATCACCTTATTTACCAAGTATTGATTTTTCAAATTAATCGCTAATATGAAGTCAAATATATGATAATGTAAAATTAAAATCAACTGTTTGTCCAGTGAGGCTGGCAGAGGTGACATCATAGAGCCGGAGAAAGTTAGTGCAACAAATATAATATATTAGGTTTGCAAGATGTGCAACATGGAAATAAAATACAGCGTAAAAAAAAAAACATAAAGAATAGCCATATGCTAAATTAGCCAAACAGTTGAAAACAATGTTAAAAAATCGCTGTATTGTATCGCACTACTAACTACATTGCAAATGTTAAAAATTGCAATGATATCGTATCGTGGCCAAAGTATCGCGATAATATCGTATCGTGGCCCAAGTATCATGATAATATCGTATCGTGGCCCAAGTATCGCGATAATATCGTATCATGGCCCAAGTATCATGATAATATCGTATCGTGGCCCAAGAATCCCGATAATATTGTATCGTGGTCCAAGTATCGCGATAATATCATATTATGGCCTAAGTGTCTTGATAATATTGTATCGTGGCCCAAGTATCGCGATAATATCATATTATGGCCTAAGTGTCTTGATAATGTTGTATCGTGGCCCAGGTATCCCGATAATATTGTATCTTGGCCCAAGTATCGTGATAATATCATATATCATATCATGCATCATTTTGATGCATAATGTCACAAACACACTCTGTAAGTATGGAGTTTTTCCTCCTACCACCATGAGGTTTAATTTTATTCATCATATACACTGAACTGTGCATTCATTACACACTCAAACATTTGCCTCTTGCTTCTTTCTTGCATTTCATTCAGCGGGGGTAAAATGTCAGCATGCAGCATTAACCAGCCACACAGATTCATATTTGCCGGCTTCTATAAAAAGATGCCTTGATATTGTGTCTCCGCAGAGTTCAGTGAAGATCAACCAGATCAGTCTGGATGAAAGTGGAGAGCATGTGGGCATCTGCTCCGAGGATGGGAAGGTGAGATCTCCCCACTCATCACCGCCGGTTACTGATCCCTGGGCCTGCAGAGAGAGAAAAAAATCAACAATCAGTGCTCCTCATCTTCCATAATTCACCCTCAGCTTCATAGAAACTCATCTTATCAAACTTTATGCTAATGCTGTGGAACTCTGGTGAATTTTTAGATGGTGGCGCGAGTATTAACCTGAAGTTTTATCGCCGCCATATCTTCACTTAAACCCATATGTTTTCATGATACAGGAATTTATTAAAAGCTTCCACCAACTTTGAAGAGTAGGGGAGGAAGGTTGCTCTCAGATGCGGCGAGCTGTCAGTCAACCATCAGCCGTCTATCAATACCCTCTCCCTGTTCTCCACCTTACCGTTATCTTGTCTTTTCTCATCATTACCACCATCCTTCATGGATTTCGCAGTCAAGATATGCTCTCCGATATCAGCCCCCTCCTCACTCGCAGCTCTGTGGTGGCAAAAAAAACAAGATCTTGTCACACAAAAAAGTCGAGTACACAATTAAAATCAGTGCGGCAAAAAATGTCGCCCTCAACCATTTCAGTTAGCTGTTAATCCTTTGAAAATTTGACTTAATCCTTCATCGCTGGAGCAGTTAAAAAAAAGAGAGATTGGATCAGAGTTTGCCTACTTTTTTGGCCTCAGATAAAGAAGAGCTGGGTGTCATGTGCTCTAATGGCACATTAGGGTTTGTTGTAGCCAACTGTGGTCAAGTCCAAGAGGAGGACTCTTGTTTCTAAACCCTGCAGGGTTCAAAGAATCAACCTGTCCACTAATTGGTGACCCAGCGGAGATGCAGGGAGCCAATCAAAGTCTTTTTCTGACCACAATTCCCCCTTCTGGCCCCGGATAGTTGCAGAGGCAGCAATTAAAGGAGACATTTTGAGTTATTCACCTTCACTTTGGTGTTCTGCCGCCTCATCTCTGTTTCAGGTTCAAGTGTTCGGGCTCTATACGAGAGAGGGCTTCCATGAAAACTTTGACTGTCCCATTAAAGTAAGTCGCTTTAAGATTAAGCTCTAGTGTCACAAATGTTAAAAAGAACCATACATAATCTAAACCGTCTCTTGTGAATTGTTTTTTTCAGGTGGTGGCTCTGCACCCTCAGTTCACCAGATCAAACTACAAACAGTTTGTCACCGGGGGCAACAAGGTACATTTTAGTAGCTCTTTTCCTCTACCGCCGCAGCCATTATCCTCATTTTTTGACAAATTCACCTGAATGTGTCCGATGAAACCAGAACCTGCAAACCTGTCAACTTTAACCCGGCTGAAGGCGACCCGCAGGCCTTTGTCTGGTGTGAAAGGCTCTTACTTTTCTGTCTCTTTGCTGGAGTGCTCTCGGGAGAGCTGCCCATTTTCACAAAGTGCTGTTCGCTCAACAGTGTTTGAAAGGCGACGCTTCACTAGCGCAGCAAGTAGATGTCATTATCAAGAGGGAACATGGTCTTAAGATTTCCAGGCGCGGTTCTGTTTCCTGAAAGTTATTTTGTCGTAACAGAAGGCGAAAAGTATTTTACACATTTGCTTTATTTATTTGAGGGAAAACCACCTTTCCTGTTACCACACCCCAATTACACATGAAGCATAAACTGCTCAGAGGTGGCGTTATGGATAAAAAGATATCCATAAATAAAGTAAACTGACATTTATACAACTGGGGTGAGGAAAAACAACTTTTTCATGAAACCCCATTGTTAGTGTTACTTTGCCATTTTCTTTCAATTGCCGCTGATTCCTCTCAGTTCCAAGTTGTGAAGGCCTCCACAATGTGCCTGTGATGAAAATCAATAAGCCTCAACGGGAGCCACATCCTGTCAAAGGAAATTCAATTTTGTCTCCACAGTTCTTTTGTCATATCATCTCTTTGTAGAGCAAACTGTTTATTAACATAGCCCAACTGCTGAATTAAAGAGCCTATACAACCTTCTCTCGGCATCCTTGGTAATATGCTCTTTTTTTCTGAATTAGTTTATATAGTAAGGACAGTAACAATGCAGGGAATGTGAATGACATGCTTTGTCCTCTGCAGCACGCACAATACAAGGCCTGAACATTAAAGTGCAATCTATAAAATAGTTCTGCGGCCTCCTTCGTGCCACACTGCATTGTGGTAAAACCTCTTTCTGAGCTTACGCACATTAAGAAGGGACAAGAAAGTCAAATTTGACACGAAGATGCGGGATTTCTAAATGATTTTTTACACTAATTGCACCTTATAAATGGCAAGAATGTCAGAAATTTTGCTTGCAGTGATGTCTTAAACTTTCTGTCTGTGTTTTACATTATGTTTCTATCTTCTTGCAAATCACTTTGAGCACATCAGACTGTAAAATCACTTCTTTCACCTCTGAATGTGACGCTAATGTGCAGCCTTCTCACTCAGATCTATCTTTGTCGTCTTTGTGCCTAAACGCTCTGAAGTGGAATTGAAATACTCATCCAGGAACTAAAATCAGGTTCTACTCCATCAATCTCAGTATGAAAGACAAAGTTTCCAACAATTGAAGCTGAATCTTCAAGGCTGTCTTCACCGGTTCTCCAGATGGAGCTCTTGCATGGATGCTTCATTGCAATGCGCTGTTCATCTACTGCCCTCTGCAGGCGGGACTCTCTGCTCACATCCTTTCTCCTCTCTCTCTCAAAGCTGCTCCTGTATGAAAGGAACTGGCTGAATCGTTGGAAGATGTCAGTTCTGCATGAAGGCGAAGGCTCGATCACAAACATCCAGTGGAGAGCCAACCTCATCGCCTGGGCTAATAATGTGGTGAGTGTTCAGTCATAACGAGGGCGTGGCTTTGGGATGACCTCTTCACGACCTGTCACTACAGTTACTGGTTTGACCTCTGAGTACTACATCTTTAGCTGTTCTGTCTACTAAATGCAAAAACAACGACGCTTAAGTTGGAGTTTTTTTTCCTGATTTGCTCAGGGAGTGAAAATCTACGATATCAGCACGAAACAGCGAATCACAAACGTGCTGCGTGATAATGTGAATCTGAGGCCCGACATGTATCCGTGCAGCCTGTGTTGGAAGGACAGCACCACTCTCATCGTCGGCTGGGGTACTTCCATCAAGGTTGGTGCTTATTCATGCAAATTTATTCATTCATTTATAATTGCAGGTCATCTTTGATTCAGACTTTGCGGGGGGGTTTTTTGTTTCTTTTCAGATTTGTGTCGTGAAAGAGCGAAACCCCACTGAAATGAGGGATCTGCCAAGTCGCTATGTGGAGATTGGTATAAAAAAATTACCCTCCTCTACTTCTTACAGCAAAAATTCAAAGTATTTTACAAAGTAAACTCTGAACAGGCAGCCAGAATAGAGAGGGTTTATCTTTTGCACAGATGCAGGACAAAACAAGTACACTGGAACTAGTTTGTGTTGCCTTTAAAGATAGTTTTATCACATTTAAAAGATAAATGAGCAAAAATAAAAAATATACAAAAAATAAACACTTTCTAGAATACAAAATGGCAAAATTGCACAAAACAGCATAAATTGAAGTTTGAAGTTTTTACAAGATTTGTTGCACATTATGTTTTTGCGCATGTTTGATCATTTTCTATCTCCCACTTTGTGGTTTAATTCCAATTCCAAAAAAAGTTGGGACGTTGTGTTAAAAATAAAGCTTATTTTGAATTTAATACCACCAACATAATTTTGAAAATCTGAAGCAGGTACTGAAAAAATATCTAAAGAACCATCTTTAACTTGATATATTTTCTTTCTTTTTTTTAAAAAACAGATTAGTTCAGGTTAATTTCAGAACAATGTTACATGACAGGAAATAGTTAAAAATATCATCGTATACAGCACAAAATACCAACAAAAGATTCAGAGAAACTGAAACCTCACTGCAAAAGTGAAACAGCGGGACCTCAGGCAGTACTGCATTAAAAACAATTATGACTCTGTAGTGGAAATCACTGCCAAAACCAATTGTCTGTGAACACAGTTTGTCACTGCATCTTCAAATGCAGGTTTAAGATGGACTGAAGTCAAGAGGAAAACTAATATGTGGTGTAAAATTAAAAATTTAACAATCTTTTTGGAAATCATGAACATTGTGTTCGTAAAAGACCTCTTAGCTTTGTCAGTGCACAGTTAAAAGTCATCATCTCTGGTAGAATGAGGACATATAAGTAAGAGTAAGTATTTCTACTTGTCTTAACAGTGTCTGCGTTTGAGACTGAGTTCTTCATCAGTGGCCTGGCCCCGCTGGCAGATCAGCTCGTCACCTTGTACTTTGTGAAGGAGAACTCTGATCACATGGTAAGGATGACGTCTTTTACATCACATAACACCGTGATGCATGTTTTCAAGCCGTACTATTCGTGTGTTGATAATCAGGATGAGGAGTTCCGCGCTCGGCCTCGCCTCGACATCATCCAGCCTCTGCCCGAGGGTTGCGAGGAAATCTCCTCAGATGCGCTGACCGTACGCAACTTCCAAGACAATGAGTGCAGAGACTACCGCCTCGGTGAGACTATAAAATCCAACCTTAGAGAAATGTCAACGCGCCTTTATTATCCTCTGATTTCATTATGCAGCGAGCATCAAATGTCAGCTGAAAGAGGCATAAATGTATTTTCATTAACAGAGCATTCTGAGGGAGAGTCGCTCTTCTACATCATCAGTCCCAAAGACATCGTTGTGGCCAAAGAGCGAGACCAAGACGACCACATCGATTGGCTGCTTGAAAAGAAGAAATATGAGGTCTGTGCTGTTGGATTTTATGACTGTTGCAAAAGGTTACAGTCTGTGATTATAAATTTAATTGTGAGTCCTGTTACTGCGGTTTAACTGTGACAGGAGGCTCTCATGGCTGCAGAGATCAGCTTCAAAAACATCAAGAGACACGACGTTCAGAAGATAGGGATGGCTTACATCAACCACCTGGTGGAGAAAGGAGACTACGACAGCGCAGCCAGGTGAGCTAGACATGTTAAAGGGAGCTAATGTTTGATTTTTCACCCTCAGGGGTTCATTAAACTGGAGCTGTTAGTTTAAGACACAAGATTCTGCTTGTTTTTTTTTTTGTATTTTTTTAAAGCTATATGTTTTAATTTTGTAACAAGACAGAAATCGTTCTAAAGCTCCACTAAGAAAAGAAAAATCTCTGTTTTTAAAATGTTCTTATAAAATATGTATTTGTCCATCCCAAGTCAGCAGGATGAGAATATTTGTTTGAAGACAGTATCATGCATATGAAAGGCAAAGAGCAAAGGCTGTTTTGACCACAGTGGGGCGCCAAATCTGACACAAACTCAAAGTTCCTCATAGAAGCTTTACTATAGCCCAACATATCTTTATCAAATTTCAGCGGATTCTGAGGACATCAGATGATTTTTTTTTTGTCTCTAATGCAAAGAAAATTTGGTGCTGCAATTGGCTGGGTGACATTTTTTGCATAAAATTAGTTTTTCTAGAGATATAAGTGGTGAGTTGGTCTAGAGTTCCAGTTTTAAAACTAGCATTTTTGAGAAAAAGACAGAAATTTGAGATTTTTTTTCCTATATAAGAACAAGAATAAGAATAACTTTATTGATCCCCGAAGGGAAATTCAATTGTCAGTTGTCTCATTTGTCTATAGTTCACATACTGTGTCTTTATTTACAAATATGACTCTACAGCATCAGTCAAAAGACCAAATCTTCTCTTTTCCTCTGACTGAAATGATTGTTTTTTTCTTACAGGAAATGTCAAAAAGTTCTTGGTAAAAACATGGAACTCTGGGAAAATGAAGTTTACCGATTCAAGACCATTGGACAGTTAAAGGTACATCTCTGATTCAGAATTTTGGGACTTAGTTAAGATTTTTAAAGATTATGAACTGATTTTATATATTTTTTGTATTCACTTATGTATTTTTTTTCTGTTATAATTTACCCTGCCATCTTTCTCTTTCTTGTTTCAGGCCATCAGTCAGTATTTGCCCAGAGGAGATCTGCGTCTCAGGCCGGCCATCTATGAGATGATCCTGCATGAGTTTCTCAAAACTGACTATGAGGTACATTCTCCTCCTGATGGTGCTGATATCAAGTGATAATCAAAGGGTAAATCTGTGCGTTTAATGGTCACTTAATGGTATATTCTGCTTCCTTTGCTGTCCATGAAGGGTTTCGCCACTCTGATCCGGGAATGGCCTGGAGAGCTTTACAACAACATGGCGATAGTTCAGGCGGTCACTGATCACCTCAAGAAAGACCCGACTAACAGAACGCTGCTCACCACTCTGGCTGAACTGTGAGTGTTCCCATAAGTACTAACATAAACACTGATATTAATGCAAGAAACGCTGATTAGTAATTGTTTGTGATCGACTGCAGGTACACATACGACCAGAGGTACGACAGAGCGTTAGAGATCTACCTGAGACTGAGGCATAAAGATGTTTACCAGCTGATCCACAAACACAACCTGTTCGCCTCCATAGAAGACAAGATTGTGCTCCTCATGGACTTTGACAAAGAGGTAACAGCGTGATAAGCATGACTTAAAACATACTTAGTTTATGGTTAATTGTCTCATTTTGTAGTTACATTTAATATGAATGTATAAAAAGACGTTTTAGTGATATATTTTCTAAATGTGCACTCTCAGAAAGCTGTTGACATGCTTCTGGACAACGAGGACAAGATATCAGTAAGTGCACCTTCCTTCTCTCAGCCTTTAATAAAGCGTCTGTTATGAATCTGCTGCCTGCTGAGGATGTGTCTTCTCTCTCTTTAACAGACGGACAGGGTGGTGGAGGAACTCGCAGACAGGCCAGAGCTTCTTCATGTGGTGAGTCAACACTACTTTGAATGCAATCGACTTAACTCAAAAGCGATTCCAAGCTAATCTGACTCCTTTTTCCTCGCAGTACCTTCACAAACTGTTCAAGCGGGACCACCACAAAGGCCAGAAATACCACGAGAGACAGATCAGTCTGTACGCTGAATATGACCGTCCAAATCTGCTGCCTTTTCTGAGAGACAGCACACACTGTCCGCTTGAAAAGGTAAAACTAATCCCATGGCAAATTTCCAGAAAGATAAAACCATGAATAAAGTCATGAATGAAGCCTTTTTCTCTCAGGCTCTGGAGGTTTGTCAGGAGAGGAACTTTGTAGAGGAGACTGTCTTCCTGCTCAGTAAGTATTAATTAAAGACGTACTCTATAACTTCTTGGCTGAAAAAATGAGTGGTTTTATTCAAGGTAACTGTTATAGTCTACTGTCTAATCCAGCTTTTTGCTCTCAGGCAGGATGGGTAACTGCAGACGGGCGCTGCAGATGATCATGGAGGAGCTGGAGGACGTGGACAAAGCCATCGAGTTTGCCAAAGAGCAGGATGACGCAGAGCTGTGGGAAGACCTCATCTCTTACTCTATCGACAAACCACGTATGAGACCGTCTCCTATTGATTTGCTATTCGAATCTTCTGCCGGTCATTTTTTTCCTGTTATTGTTTTATTTCCCTCTTCCCTGTCTTCTGTCCTCTCCCCAGCGTTCATCACCGGCCTCCTTAATAACATCGGCACTCATGTAGATCCCATCCTGCTCATCCATCGCATAAAGGAAGGCATGGAAATCCCAAATCTCAGAGATTCACTCGTAAAAATCCTCCAGGACTACAATCTGCAGGTTAGACTCCCACATAAGTCTTCGGGTAATCTTCTGAAATTGTTTGGATGGTGAAGGAAATTTGGTTTTTACGGTTTTTCTATTTGGCTTCATGTTGATTAACTAATAAAGAAAAGTAATACACCACTGCAGCTGCTGTGCTAGGTATTCAGTGGAGAATCACTTTAAAAATATGGTCATGACCTGTTTGTCACAGTGTTTTTGTTTTCTCATAGATTCTCCTGAGAGAGGGCTGTAAGAAGATCCTGGTGGCAGACTCCCTCTCTTTGCTCCAGAAGATGCACCGCACACAGATGAGAGGAGTCAGAGTCGATGGTGGGTGCAGTTTTTTAACATTAATGAAACTGAATCAGACTTGAATTAAGTTTCCTTATTTTACTGTATTCATGCTTCTCTTTTCAGAGGAGAATATCTGTGAATCGTGCCATGCTACAATATTACCGTCAGGTGGGTTTTTATGTGATGTGTTTCAATTATTTTAATGTTATGTTGCGTTTGAGAGCGAGTCATTGCTAATTTGCTGCATCACACCTGTGTTTCAGACATGGCCAAAGCCTTTAATGTGGTAGTTTTTCACTGCAGACACATGTTTCATAAGGAATGTTTACCGTCTGCAGGAACAGTGAGTATCATCCCTTGTGTGTCCAACTCTTTGCATGAAACAGAGGATTATTTCTCATCCAGTATTTTCCCCTCCATCTCAGTTTGTTTGAGATGCTTTAACTGAACTTGGCTCACTGGTTTTGAATTATCTGCACATTACAGATTCCAGGAGTGCAGTTTTGCAACATCTGCAGTGCAAAGAGGCGTGGGCCAGGAAGTGGAATCCTGGAGATGAAAAAATAATATCTATTTATGCACTAACAGTCTCATTCTTCGTGCTTTTATCGCTCTCCACTCCTCTCCGGGGATTTCCCTTTACTAACAGTTATTACTGCATTCATCTGTGATTATGACTTTCCCTCAGTCCCTTAACCGAACACTGGCAAAACATTCTAAATATTTATATTGGATTGTTTCTGTATATTTGCATAAAAAACTGTAAAGCACTGCTCTTGTTCTGCTTGTCTGTAATGTGATATGTCTGCAAAATCTGTAAAATAAAAAGACTTAATTAACTGTTGGCTTCACTTTGGGTCTGGTAATAAGTCATTTCCAAAACTTGATTGAAGACTATTGACAAAAAGTGGAATATATAATTTCTTTGTATGGCGACATGCTGTCTAGTCTGTCATAACACATGGTTTTTGGTAGCTTGATTTGACTGCACTTTAACATTTTAAAAAAGATATCATGATGGAGACTTGGCATTTCATTGAATTACAAGTGTAAACTGTGTATTGTAGAAATGCTGTAATAAATACACTTCAGTGCTGAGAATGAAAAGATACTTTATGTCTCAGAGTCTGTGACCAAGTTTTGTCTGGAAAAAGCTTTTTTGTTTGTGCAGAGCTTGTGCAGAACAGCTGGCAAGAAAAGGTTTGTTCTACACATGAGCATTCAACAGACTTTTAAAACGTGACATCAGATTATTATTTGGCTATACCAACTGAAAAAATTAACGACAATAATAATAAAATAATAATAAAAATAACATTAATAATAATAATTAGTTTATCAATTAATAAGTAAGATATTTTTCAATTTGTTTATTCGAACAGGTTTAAAGAAAAACAAAATAGATAAGATATACAATGTGCTTTGGCAGAAAAACAATCAAAAAGACAGCTCTGTAGCAACATAGATTATCATACTTTGTTCGAAAGGGTGTAGGATGAAGTTGATAAAACTTATTTAGTCCTATCCCTTTTTTGTTGTGTTACTGTAATTTAATCAGTCAGAGCATGAGTAGAAAGAACAGCACAGAGGAAAGAAAATATATCAGAAAAAAGGCACGTTCCCCATTGTTATAAATTCATATCTTTTCTTAAATATCTTATTTTCTTACACACAGTTCTGAGGAGAGAAAAAAAACGTTCACTTCAGTAACCTGGTTAAAAAATTAAAACATTTATTACACACCTTTGTTTATTGATTGACTTGTTAGACCCTGGTAAGTAAAATAAGACTTTAAAATAATTAAACACATCAAAATTTCCACTCTCTCTCGACTTTCCGCGTCCCCGGGGGAAATCTACGTCACATCCGCAGTTCCTTCCGGAAGTACAGTTAATTTTTATTCACAGGGAAAAAAAACAGCTGTTGTTGAAAAAGAAAACATCAAAGTGAGTTACACCAGCGCATGCCCTGCCTTTATCTCTCCGCGGACACAAGTACCGTAAGAAGTCCTCCTCACACGCTCCTCTCTGTCTGTCTGGATGCTGTTTTGAGCTGAGTCGAGCAGCGAGTCTCGTTTGGCTCATTTGTTGCGAGTTAGCCGCTGCTGCTAAAGGTTAGCTTTCCTCCGTTGTGGACTGAAGTTAGCAGCGTAGCTTCTGTCTGCGAGCTTTCTCACCATTTCTGCTCTTGTCACAAACTCTCAATGACACTAACTTTACCGCCTGTTACACACGAACTAACATGATTAATATTAATGGCGAAAACGGGAAGAGACGTGGTTCGGACATTGTGTGACTCGCTAGCCATCTTTTTACCTGCGATATGTGTAATATATCTGTTTATATCACACATTAGCCTCTCTACTTGTCATATTAAAACGTCCTGTTGTTAACCTGGTTGAAATTATTGTATTCTCATAATAGTATGCACCTGGACCCACACTCTAGATTGAGAGAAGATGCCTCTAAACATCAGGATCATCACATTTAATAACTCTAAACTAAACTAGCAGGAAGGGTCACTCTTATACATTTGTAATTACTAACATATAAAGCCATACCTGCTCTGTTTATCATACTTTGTTGTGCTTTTGTGTATGTTTCTAATCTGTTTTTGTTGGACATTTCAACAGCATGCCAGCCCCAGAAGGAGGACCAGCCCCTCATGACTCTCCGCCTTCGGTGAAGAAGCTGGATGAGGATGGGGAGACTCTGCCGTCTAATAACAGCGGTCCCCTCAAAACAGGAGAAAAGACAGCAGCCCCCCGGGCGAAGAAAAAACGGTCCGCCTCAGCTGAAAGAGGAATCAAACCTGCCAAGTCATCCAGACAGAGTTCGCCTCCGAAGGATCCCAGCAAAACCACCTCTGATCCGCCCGTTAAAAAAGCCAAGCTCCTAAAAGCCACAAGTGCCTCCTGCGGAGAAACTCCTTCACAGAAAGCGAACTCCAAAGCTTCCCTAAAGCGAACGGCCTCTACAGAGTCTGAGGATGAGTACAGCAGCGATAGTAGTAAGACTGATCTCTTCAGAGAGAGGGGTGAAGGAGACAAAGCCCGCTGTATCCGGAAATATTCAAATCGAGTCAAAGCTAAGCGCAAAGTTGAAGAGCCCCTGTCTGACCCTCAGGACGCGAGCCAAGGGTCCCCAGATGAACCAGCCGGCACTATTCAGATGGACCACAATTATGGTAGATTCTCTGATTCATCAAGTTTGGGCGAGAGTCTTCAAGATGAGAAAAAAGAATCGGTTACTCAAAGTGAGGGTCAAGAAAATTTACCTCATGCAACACAAGCAGAATCGAAGGAAACTTTGCTTTGTGCCGTTAAAAGTAAACACGAGGAGTATACAAATCGAGCGCACCAGACGCTCACAGATAATGAAGCACCAGCACCATGTGGAGAAATAATTGACTGTGCCCCTGCAATAGTCCCGGATACACCTGGCATCATGCCTGAGGCAGGAGAACGGGAAAGGAAGGACACAGAGGATTACATCAAATGTCAAAAGGGCTCAGGTGAAACACGTGCAACTCCAGAGGAAAAACTGTATTCCAGTGCTGAAGAGGTAAATCAGGCATCTGTTGGTAACCCAGTGACTCAAACAGACCTCAGTTTTAAAATTCAAGTGACTTTCAAAGCTGATTCAAAATCTGAGCATCTGCAGGATGGAGTAAACCTTCAAGTGTCGGATACAAATACCAACTCTTGTGACGTGAACAAGACGGTGCTAAAATCTGACGAGAAGGTCGAAGACGGTGAAAAGAAAGATGTAAAGTTGCTGTCAAGTCAGACTTTTGATGGACCGTGTTCATTAAGTGATCAACAGTTAAGCCAAGAGGAGGTAAATGACACTGAAAGCTGTGCTGAAACACTGAAACCAGATTGTGTCACAGTCTCAGAGGGTCAGATAGACTTTGACACCCAGACTAAAATAACATCAGAGGGGAGGTCTGACTCAGCAGAGAGACACGAGAACCACAGGGTGACTCAGAAAACTACAGAAATACCTGTTGAAGTCGGAGTAAATTCAACGAGTGTAGAGGAAGAAAAGAAGATCGGAGAGGCTTTAGAAACATCGCAACATAAAATGTGTTATCAAGCCGCTACAGTGGAAGCAGAAAGCCAAAAGAGCGAGGAAGTCATTGAACAGGGCACAGACGTTTCTACCAGATTTAATCAGGATTATGTGGTCAACTCCGAAACAATGGCAAATGAAGATAAAGTGACCTTTGACCTGGCTGCTGGACCTGCGAGTCAAGTCGAAATAGAAACCCAGACAGCATTGACACCCATGGTTTCTAATCCTGCACCTAAAGTTGGAGTAAAAAACCAGGAGGTCAGTGAATGCACCACAGACAACTCAATTCAGAATCAACAAGAGGTTATAATTGACAATTCTGAAATGTTTGGAAAAGATAACATGGTTAAGGACGGCGTTGAGAGTGCGACTTCAGTGACGTCTGTGATTTATACGATGGAAGTACAAAGTCAGGAGGATTCACAAGCAAGTGGAGAAACCGTGGATGAGTCTGATGAAAGAAAGAGACTTCCTGTTGAAAACTGCCAGAGCAATGAAGCTGAAACCAGGGTTTATGCTGAAAGAGTCAATGCTGCTGAGAGTCAGATAGAAGTGGACTTACAGACACCAGCAACATCATCAGAGGTCTGTTACACACGGACAACAGAAACACAAGAAGCTCCTGAACCCGCAACAGGTGCATCTGAAAAAGTCCAAACTACTGAGAGTAACAGAAATCAAGAGAAAGATGTTACAGAATGTGTCGGTTCAACTGAGAATGAAAGACAAGTGGATTTGCAGACAGCATCAGTGCAAGTGGAGGTCGAAACAAAGGTCCACCGCCAAGAAGCTGCTCCACCAACAAGAGACATATCTGAAAAAGTAGACAAAGAACTCACGATCCAAACCTCTCAGACTAATGAAAATAACAATAGGGTAATCACAGAGTCCGTCAGTGCAACTGAGAGTCACAGAGAAATTGATCTGCAGACAACGCCAACACCAGGGGAGTTTTCTGCTCAAACACAAAGGCAGAGAGATCAGGAAGTCAGTAAAGTTACTACAGACATTCAACTACAGAGTGATTTTATTATTGCCAAAAGTGAGAGTGAAGGACACAAGGAAAACATTATCGTAGAATCTGTGGATGCAACTGAGAGTCAAACAGCAGAGGAAATGTGTGTCCCGATATCACCAGAAGTGCCTCAAAGCCAGGAGGTCGACACGAAAGATCAAGTGACTCCAGGTTTTGAGATTGGAGACAAAGTTACTACTCAATGTGCTGATGTGCCAGATGTTCCCAATATTGGAACACCAGTAATGACGGAGGAGATTTCTAATGCTGGAGAGCCCAGAGTGGCCTTAGAAAATGGTATCCCAAAACCTCTTCCTCTGATAGCAGCAGAGAGCACAGAAAGTCAAGACAGTCAGCCAAATTCAGGAGCAGAGAACATCCAAGTAGATATGGACTTGATTGGCGGACAAATGGAGAGTGTGGATTCTTCGTCAGCAGAGGAAATGGGTCGGCAAGTGGTCAGAGAGGCCAAAGAAGTGGCGTCTGTTATTTCCTCTGATAAAGCTGAAAAAACAGTCTGCTATATTGAAGGACACAGAGAAGGAACTGGAAGCAATGAAGTAATAGTTTTTGTTTGCGACCAACCAGATGACACTGATGTGGTAATTCAGGCACCAGAGGAGCAGATGAAGACGTATAATCAGTCAGAGGACAGGATCCATGAAAACCAGGTGGTGTATGAGCCTATCAGCAGTCCAGAAAGTAATGATGGAAGAGAGATTCCTGCATTATCAGAGAACCATGATGGGATGTCATTACTGGATATACAGATCCCTGAGACCCAACAGATCGAAGGAGATTCCTCTACAAATGAAGAAAACAGGGAGATTTGTCACAAACAGCTGGACGCTGCTGAGCACCAGATTAGTGCCTCTGACAGCCAAGACGTTGAAATGGAAGTACCCACTATCAGTGTGTCAGAGAGTTGTGTGTCTGCGCAGTTCGAGCAGGGTGAGACGAATGTGGATGTGAAACAAGTTGCCGTGATCAGCTCGAGTGATGACATCAGCACGCCAGATGGCCAGTCTGAAGTTGCAACAGAGAAAAGCGAGAGGAACGGGTATCCAGACTGCTTAGATGTCGCAGAGGTTTCTGAACAGGTGCAGGGGGATGCTGGACTTCAAGAGGTTACAGACGTCACCGTGACGACAACTACGGCCGCCGCTGAAATTGAAATAGCAGATAGCACATCGGAGGAATTCGTGGTATTGGAGCCAGTCCCCGAGAGTGGAATCCACCTCGATATTGTCACTCAAGCAGCTGCGGAATCAGGGTTGTCAGTCTCACTCACAGAGCAGATGAATCCTCACGTTGTTTTGGTGGGAAATGAGGAAAATAAAAGGCTGTTGAATGGTTCCCAGGAAGCCTTAACACTTTCTGAGGTGGAAGTTTCGCAATGTCAAACAACTGGTGATGCAAAAGATTCAACAGTTTTCAGTTCAGGGGAGGTTTTTGAGCAGGAGATCAAGCCTGGAGCGGAAATTTCCTCTGAGATGGGCATTGTTGAAGTTACTCCAAACTCTGGCCACACTCAGCTGCCCTCATCTGAGGTCATGGATCATGATGTCCCAGAGATTGAAACAAACAGTCAAGTCTTAAATGAAGATAGTAATGCACTGGTCTTGGAGAATTCTGAAAGTAATTTGGTTTTACAGGAATTTCAGATTCTGGAGGACATCGAGATCGGTCGTGAGATTGTAGTAGCAGAGGAAGACAATGAGGAAGATAGTGATATTTCAATAATAGAAAAGCCGCAAGAAACACCCAATGTGGTCCCCGCTAAAACCTCTGAGGTAACGGTCAATGAGACAAAGAAAGATGAAAACTGTACCATCAACACACAGGAGAACAGCACGGCTGAGAAGGCAGACGATGACAAAAAAGAAGTGGTGGCAGAAAAACCCAAGAAACAAGAAATGAACACTCAGGCCAGAACCAAAGCTCGACTGGCGGCTCTGGCTGAACAGAGGGCTGCAGCAGCCAAGAGACCACCGAACAAACAGCAGATGAACCTTTTAGCGTTGTGTCAGGAGATCGCCGAAGACATCGCTACAGACAGCATGCTGTTGAAGAGGATCGAGGAAGAAAAGCAAGCGGCAGCAGCTGCTGCAGCGGCAGCATCAGTATCAGCAGCAGCAGCTGCTGCAGCGGCGGCGGCTTCAGCAGCAGCCAAGAACGAAGCAAACAAAAAGGAAAGTCAACCTGAGAGCAAACAGGATGTAGACACTGATAATGTTGCGACACCTGCTGGACCTAAAGAATGCTCTGCTTCTGCAGTCACTGCTACTGATGAAGCATCTGCGTCCCAGGTCTCTACACCTGCTCCAGAAGAGGCCAAACCTGCTGCAGAGACCACAAAGAGACGTTTCTTCATCTCTCAGGTTTCGGTGCCACTGAAAGCTCATGAGAAAAAGAAGCTAACGAGATACCAGAGGCTGAGGCAGGTTGAACTGCAGAGAGAGAAAATGTCATGGGCACGTGTGAAGAAACTGAAGTCTGACCAAGCTAATCAGATGTTTTCAGACATGGATTGGCAAGGACCCTTGTCTTCATTCTCTGTGACTCCTGTGACCACGGCTCCCCAGCCTGCTGCCAGTCCATCGAAAACTTCTCTCCCAAGTCCCTCCTCAACTAGCAAGCCTGCAACACCCAAGGCAGAAGTTTCCAAGGTTGATGGTCCAAAGGTTGAACCCAATAAAGCTGAACCCAGGAAAGCTGAACCCAGTAAATCTGAACCCAGTAAAGTGGAACCCAGTAAAACAGAAACCTCTAAAACAGACCCTGCCAGCACAGAACCTGCTAAAACCGTGCAGACTAAATCTGAAGCGGGCACAACTGAACCCTCTAAAAATGAAACCCCCGTTACAGAAACCCGTAAATCTTCAAGGCTAATTAAGGCTCAAGCTTCTAAAGCACCCCCGACTCCAGGGCCCGCTCCAAAAACGACCAGAACACCTGTGAAGAGGGCCCTTCCAGCAGTACCACCCCCCATGCCCAATGGGCTTAAAGCCCAAAAACAAAAGCCTGTTGAGTACATTCCATACAAACCCAGACCCAAGTATACCTTTGAGGATTTTGAACTGGATGATGACCCCTTACCTGTGACTCCAGCAAAACCCAACCCCCAAACAAGGCCCACTCAGCCACCACGACCAAACATGCAGGCGAACCCCACAGCTCAAGTTAGAACCACCGTTTCATCACAGCTCGCCAACCAGGCAAAACTCAAAGCTCCAACTACATCTACTGGACAGATCTCAGGTCAGGTAAAACCTTCCGGTTCCCTGAGTCTTCAGTCCAAACCTGCTGTCACATCAACACCCCAGTCAAAGGCCACAGTCACAGCTGCTTCTTCAAAAGGTGTCCTGGCAGTTCAAGCTCAGTCCAAGTCTCCTGTACCGACAACTTCGCAACCAAAAGCTGCTCCCTCTCCTGGTCAGCCCAAGCCTCCTGCTTCTGCCTCCCCTCAGTTAAACCCTGCTGGTAGCAGAGGAACATCCCAGAATAAGCAGTCCACCTCAACAGCGCCTCAACCTGCCGGTGCAACCACACCTGGAACAAAGCCTGCAGCTGCTGAATCCCAGAAACCCCCAAATTCAACGCCACCAGAAGACAGCAAATGCAAGGTAGATCAAGAACAACACACAAGGTGATATATTTCAAATAAAGTACCGGGGATAAGATGTTAACATGTTTTTTTTATATTACACAGGAAACAGCTGATCCACTTCCATCAGCTCCCACCTCTGTGCCAGTGAAAGCAAACTCTGAGTCTGAAGACTTAAAGAAGTGTGAAGAAAAACTCACAGGTTTGTATTTATTTGCACTTGGCATCGTTTCCCAAAATTCCTGTCAATCAGATTCTTTGTGCAGGATTTTTTGTAGACTGGATATCCTAAGTAGAAAAACACACTATAATTACTTTTTCTATCAGGTTCTGCTGTTGATCCGTCTTCTGAGGAGAAACCAGAAACAGACCAGACGTCTGAAAAATCATCTCAAGTGTAAGAACTTTTGCTTTGATCACTTTAAATGTTTTTACCTTGTGGCAAATCAGAGCCTTGAGTAAATATGATTTATGTTTGAATCTCAGCAGAGCGGAGAAGCCAAAAGACGGTGAGACCCCCCTCTCTGACGCTTCTCTGCAAAGAGAGGTGAAGAAACTGAAAGAGGCAGATAAAGATGGCACCCAAACCATTATTGTAAGTGATACAGTTGGTTTTCTCATCTTGTCTAAATTTCTGGACCACACATGATCAATTATTAGAATTATCTCATTGACTGTTGAGGGTTACACTGATTTAAGGTGAAGTTCAACTCAGTGGTTTGTCTGCAGGGACAAATAAGCGCATGGGAGGGAGTTCCAATTCAGAGTTTTATTCAGTTTGCATTCAGCTGGTTTCTCTGAGAAAGGAGTGACAAAAGTAAATTAGATTAAATACAAGCATGATCAATATCATAATTTCAATCAATTATATCAGAGAAAATGAACTAAAATGATTCAAATGTACGCAAACTAAGAAACATCCTTTCTTAACTATAAAATTATTTATAAATCAGGATAATTAATCAAAGATGAGTTGCATAAAAATTTAAACAAAGCAAACTCACAGGGTAAGCACGCAGTGAATGATTCTGGCGTGTTTCTCTCAGTCAGTGAGCTCTATTGTCTCCTGTGTTCCCAGTAAGAGTTAGCAGCAGGTGAGCTCTCTGCCTTTAATGACTCTGGGGCTCCTCCCCTGCAGGGAGCCCCAGAGTCAGGTAGGAGAGTCAGAGAAACTCAGTTTGTTGCTCTAATGAAGGATCCGTTGTTGCCTTTGTCTCGTAGGACGCAGGACAGAAGCATTTTGGAGCGGCGGCCTGCAGTGTGTGTGGGATGCTCTACTCGACTGCCAACCCTGAAGACGAATCTCAACATTTACTCTTCCACAACCAGTTCATCAGCGCTGTCAAATATGTGGTGAGAGGACGTTTCCTCACATGACATGTCTAATATTTGTCACACCTGCTATCTGACAACATTGACTCATAGGGGAGGGGCACTTACAGCATACAGACAATACTGTTTATTAGAGTGTGGGTATTAGAGCAACAAAAATAAAGCACGCATTTCTGATTTTAGTGTGAGTGCTATTTTTGAAGATTTGCTTTAACACTTGACTTTTGAAGGGAAAAAAAAGTGTGATTAAACTATTAAAAAGGCTGACAGCTGATTTTAAGAGCAGGATAAAAGAGCCAGTTATCAACTTAATGGCTTATATTTTTAATTCTTTCCTTCATTTTGATCTTAATAAAACAGTATTCACAGCAGTGAGCTTTAATAATTCACCCGGCTGTTTTACTGCAAGTTTAAAAAAATATAAAAGACCACTTGAAGCAATCAAACCTGTGAAGAGCAGCAAGAGTATCATCAAATAGCTATATGAGAATTTGTGGAGCGCAAAATGTCACTGTGGCAAACAAAGGATGTGAATCAAGATGCAAGAGCCACATGAAAATAACTGTGTGTTTCTGTGACATAAACTCTGATTTTCCTTTTTTTTTCCAGGGATGGAAGAAAGAGAGGATCCTGGCTGTGTTCCCTGATGGCAAGATCATTCTTGTCCTACCAGATGATCCCAAATACGCCCTAAAGAAGGTATAGTATGTTTACAGAGTCTTAATTATTATTATTGAAGAGAAAAAGCTGTGTTTGAAGCACATATCAGCTGAAAGGCAAATCAAATCTGTTTTGTTTTGGACTGCTGTTTCCCGTTGGATGATAGGATGGTTAAAGATGCTTAATTTCTGTTTTTTTAATCAAGAATTTTTTAACTTTTAAGGGTCTCAGGAAAGTTTTTGTGAAATTCTGAAGAAACATAAAACTCACAGAGGTTCAAAAAAGCGCACAGTAGTCTATCTGGTCAAAGTTACTTTAACGGCAACAGTATCCTGTATGTTTTTACTGTATAGTCACAGCCTTTATAATATTGATAAAGTAGCAAACAGCCATAAACACACTGCTAATACACATTCTCCAGTCATGTAATAGTTTCCTGACTTGAGCAAACAAACACAGGAGTATTATCTCTTTAGTAAACAGTTCCTGTTTGCCTCTCAGGTGGAGGAGATCAGGGAAATGGTGGACAATGACCTCGGCTTCCAGCAGGTGGAGACCAAGTGTCCCTCTAAAACCAAGACTTTCCTCTTCATCTCCAACGACAAGAAAGTGGGTGGATGTCTAATAGCAGAGCACATACAAGAGGTAAGAGACTTGTTTAGTTTTTGATGCAAAATCAAATGAAAGAACAAGAGATTGCATTAGTTTGAGAGAAATAATCTTTACTCGCTCACTCACAGGGTTACAGAGTGATCGAGGAACCCGCACCTGAGGGTTCAGAGGGAGAGAAGGTGATGTTTGAACGTCAGAGAGCTTGGTGCTGCTCCACAACGCCAGAGCCGGCCATCTGTGGCATCAGCCGCATCTGGGTCGTCAGCATGATGAGACGACAAGGAATTGCCTCACGCATGCTCGAGTGCCTCAGGTGAGCGTGTGCAAAAATCTCAGAATACTCACAACAAATAAAAAAATAAATACTTCACACTTCATTTTTGTTTTTATTGCTTCTACAGGAACAACTTCATCTACGGTTCATACCTGAGAAAAGACGAGATCGCTTTCTCCGACCCCACGCCCGATGGAAAACTCTTCGCCACACAATATTTTGGCACTTCTCAGTTTTTGGTTTATAACTTTGTGAGTGGACATCCCTCATCCCAGCCCAAAACTGACGCAGTATGACAGTCTCAGAGAACGTTAACATTGGATTTAACGGAGACACTCACTGGGCCATCATGAAACAGTGTCTCACAGAATCTGTATCTGCATTACAACTAAAAAAAAACTGTAAAATACTCTCTGAAGAGGACGAATTGGTTTAAATCTCAGGATGAAAACAACAAAGTGTTGTTAAAATTGTTATTAATTCACCCTTTAATCCCTTCCTGAATAGTATTTTGGAAAAAAAGAGTATTTTCTTTATACATTTTTAAGTAAACAATTGGTTTTATTAGAAGTACAGAGTTTTCGTGCATGATCTGACAGCAATAGCAAACATTTCATTCTCCTGTAAAGCATCCCGCATTTACCGAGGTGTTTTCCTAATTCTTTTTACATCGATAAAAACCTACAGATCACCACTGCACGATGTCCATAAAGCGGTCAAAGTCGTATCTTTTTTCCACACCAGTACTCTTGATTTCAGCGTCATGTTTCGACATTTCAAATTAACCATCTCTGGACTCGTTTCAACCATCAGATGGAGAGGTGTGGGTCAGATGAACTGTAGCTTGGGCATTAATCGTGTGCTCTTAATTGTCTTAGGTCACCTCGCCTGTTTTCCAAGCTGAGCCATATACTGTACACCATTTAGCAGGGCATTGTAGCCTAAACTGTATGAGTGATCTTTGTTTTTAATTTCACAGAGCCTGTCTAACGCTTTGTTTGTGCCTGAATGAATAATGCGTGACTTATAAATTTGTTGTTTTTCGTTCGCCTGCCATACTTTATGGCTTTTTTATCGCGTTAGTCTAGAGTATCATCATGCTATTTCTTAGTAAAAACAGATTTAAATGTATATCAAAATTATCATGTAGATTTATGCATACTATAACAAAAATGTCTAAAGAAATGATGTGCACGGTCAGGTTATATATAACCAGTATCTGAAAGATGATCACCCAGCCTTTATGAGTGCAAACAGGAGTGTGTGCTCAGTGACAAACACGAGGAGGTTGAGATTAAACTGCCTCTCACAACACAGATTTACAGCCTCATTGTAATCCATCCCTTATTTTTGTTTTTCTTCCCCCTTGATGCTTTTAGAAAGGTGTGTCGTGTAAGAAAAAACTTTGATTTATACAAAAACTGTTATGTAAATATTTATTTAAATAATAAACAGTTTAAAACGTTGAAGCTTTGAGTGTTTCTTGGACAAAACGACAGGTGAGTGTGTGATTGTTTTTACCTTTCTACAGGATTATTGATAATCCTTTTACTGCTATTAAGACTTCTCAGTACTATACAGGTCACCTATGCCACCTAGTGGACAATGTTGTAAACTCATGTCAGTATTTAAAACTCTACCATGTGATCTTTCAGTCTTTAATTACAGAATAGCTTCTACTTAAGGATATAAATTGCAAGTATTGATGGCGTACAGATTTGTGTCTTATGTGTGATGTGGGAATTTTCTGGCTGTCATGTTTTCTTTTTGCACTTGCAGAGTAAACACCCCCTTCTTGGTGCATTCCTCGACACTCCTGTCACAACACGGGCCAACTCGATGGCAACTTCTGAGAAACAAAACAACCTTAGAACAACACGGATACTTCCTCAGGCTGAGAGTGAGAAAACAGGAGGCCTCTGCTCCTCCTCAGAGATGTGATACTGATCAGCAGGAGAAAACAACTGAAGTGTGCTTCCTAAGGTATCTCAAAACACAACAATCACCCTGACCTGTTGACTCCCACTGACACTAGGACCATCGAGATCCTCTGATGAGGTCTAGTCTGACAACAGGTTTAAAAAAGACAAGAAGGAATATTTGTAAATACATGGTTTTATTCTGACACATCGATTTAAAGAGACAAAGTTGTCTCAGCTGCCACATCGAACACCATAAAAACATCCATCCTTGTTAACAAGATCAGGTTATCATTAAAATAACTCCTTCTATCGTAACTTATTAAAAATCAAAAGCTTCTTATTTACACTTTACACAACCAATGTACAAAACATTACATCAAGCACCAAACTTCACTTCTTATAGACAGTTTCTACAATATTTACATCACTTGTGTGTCAAAATTAGATGATTTATTGATGGACAGGAATGAAACACAAGTGTGACTTTTTTTTTTTTTTTTACATGAACTCCAGTCCGAGCGTGAGCTGTGACCACCAGGTGACCCGCTCCCTCGGTGCCGTGAGGATTGGCCTGGTTGCGTGACATCTGCTGGGGCTTGATCGGTTTTAAGACTTTTAAAATAAGATTACAGTAAAGCTCTGGGTACTTGTGTTGACAGGCAACCTTTAAGAGGACCAGAGCTGCTCTGGAGTATGCGTGGCAAATAGACAATCGGGATGTTACGGATGAACAATAGCTAATTTTACAACAAAGTGATAAATAAAGCAGAGAGTCCTCACACACACTGTTAAACATAGAGGTTGATTTAAAGTCAATGCATTGCTTGTGCATCTGTAACACAGATATTTTGTTGTTGGCTGATGTGACTTGACATAATGAGTGTTTAATGCCAGTGCTATGGCAACATCAAAATTTAGGCACCAAAGACATTATACTGTATCCCAAAGGTGTTCATGCACTTCATCAAAAAGTCCTTTTAAGATGTTCAGGGGAAAGCCAGACAGAAATTTCCTTACAGGATCGGACAGTTCTGACCACAAAAGTCATACAGCATGTCCAGCATGTCTGGATCCTGAAGCCTTCTATTCATAACACCTTGACCTTTCCCGGGCTGAACAACAACAACACCACCATCTTGGGGAAGCTCTACCAGCGGGTGCACTTTGTTATCCATCTTCTTAAAGTCGGTGACGCTGATGCCAGGCAGGGTGCCGTTCTTCTCTGCTGGTGTTTGGGTGTCCTCTGAGTTGTCCTTTAAATCCATGATGTTATCACCATTTGCGCTTCCTTTGCTAACTATGCTCAGCTCATCCTGACACGCATCTGAGTCACTACCATGAGGCAGAGAGAAGTAGGTACACTTCCTCGTGAATGACTGCGCCCTGTCTTCCAGTTCAGACTTTTTGCTGCTGAGTGGAAATGACGCGTTCTTCTCTGTATCCTTATACAATCCTTCGCCTTGAGGGGAGTCGGTGAAGGATTTATTGATTCCAACAGGGTCTGAAACAGACTTTCTGATATGTGTGTTCTCACTGAAGAGCAGTTGTTCACTACTAACAGGAACACTGTGTCCAGGCATGACTTTTGCATTAAAAGCCATGCATCGTGTTGCCTCGGTTAAGTTTTCCAGAGCACTAGTGGAATTAAAGTAAGACAACTCAGGCATTGCTTTTGTTTGAGTGACGTGGAAAGGAGAAAAAAAGCTTGAATTCTCTTTCTTCTTCTCTTTGGGAACAGATGGGGGCCTCTCATCTGTTTGCTCATCATAATTAGCATTTCTCATCCCATAAAGTCTTTCGATTGTTCTTCTTACAAAGCCTTTACTGATTGATTTCCGAGGGGAGTCATCTTCACCACTCGACGGCTCACTGGAAGTCTGAGACTCATACCCAGCGCTGGTCGAGGTCTGCGCTCTGAACTCAGCCGGCCCTGATGAGTTTGGGCTAGGGAGAGGTTTGTCTCCTTGCGGAGTATCTGTGGCACCCTTTGCAAGGAACATCTCCCTAATAGATCGGACCCTGTTGCCTTCAGGCTCTGTGGTTATAACACTACTTGAATCATAGCTGAAAGATAATGATGACTGGGGAGCTGATCGACTGCCGGTTTCTGACTGAGTCTTCTCAAAATCCACCTCGAGAGGAATATTTCTCTGTGAGAAACTCCTTTTAGGAGAATTTTCTGCTGTGTTATTTTTCTTGTGGTTATCAGAAACTTGTTTTTCCAGAAGAATGACTCTCTCTGCTACTGTTTGGGATATTATCTGTTCAGATTGGTGCTGAGGTTTTTCCACAGCCTGTTGGCATTTCATTTCTCCAGTTTCTTCTAGTTGAATGTCTGTGACTTTATGATCCTCCTCTGAGTCAGAAGCTTTTCCAAAATAACTTAATTCTTCATTTGAATTGTTCATTTGTTCGTCTTTTTGACTTGTTTTCTGAATCTGTGTGTGTTCGTCACAGTTGCTGTGATCGTTCCCGCTATCCTCATCTGCTCTGAATGTATCACGCTTCTCTAAACTGTCAGGTTTTACCAAACTTCCATTGTCTGTCATGTTATATGAATTGCCTAGATCATCTATTGTACTCAGACTTCTCGTCTTCTCACAAATCTGTCCCTCATCAACAAGATAGTCCTCATCTTTCAAACTTATCTTGTCCTCTGCTTCTTCCACCAAATCCTTCAAAGATTTACCTACTTCTGTTTGTTCCCTGTCATCTAGAAAATCATCAGCATATTCTTCCTCCACCATGCTTTCCTGCCCTTCCTCATCATCATCATCATCCTCCTTTACGTCCTCACATTCAGCCTCCTGTTGCTCGCCCTCTGAATATGCCTCATCCTCATCTGAGTTGTGCATGCTTTCATCAACACTGACTCTCAGTCCCATATAACCTGCCATACTGTGCTGCTCCTTCTCTAAGTTAGAGGGACTCACAGAGTTAGACAAAGTATCTTCAGTGGTGGATCTTAGTTGTTGATCCTCCTCATCCTCAGAGTGACTCTCAGGTTTGGACAAGTCCTCACTTTCCCTCCTCTCCTCACATTCAGCTGCTGCTTCCTCGTCTAAACCGTGTCCATCGTCTGCGTCTGAGCATGAACTACCTCCATCACTGCTCCCTCCTGAGTTTGTATTGGCACTTAACATGTTCTGCCCTTCTTCCTGTTCTGAAGCTGATTCATTAACACGAGTAGGCTCATGTCCAGGGACACTGATGCTCTCCTCTCCTTGCACCTTGCTTTGCATCTGCACATGATTATTGACCATGTCTTGAACCTTTACCTCAGGAGCACAAGTATCTTGCTCAACATTTTCATCTCTGCTGATTACATTCATGTTTGCTTCATTTTCACTTGATTCTCTGCTGTTGTGCTGCTGTTCCTCCTCGTTCTGACCACATAACTTCACATCCTCTATCTTCTCTTCCCTGAGTAAATCTGTACTGTACAGCGGCCTTACTTCTGGTTCAGGAGGTGGACTTACAGTCACATTGTTCTGTCTATGATGGCTGTTCTTGTCTTGGTTTGGCTGCACAGGTGGTTTGCGCTTCACTTTCTCTTCTACATGAATTGTTTTGGTCGTCTCAATGTTGGAGAATTGTTTAATGATAGAGCCCACATTGACATTCGCTTTCACATCTTGAGATACTTCCTTGACAGGAACGGCGCCCTCTGTAGAGGAATGGGTTAGCTTGGTATAAAAATCACCATTGGGTGCTGGTTCCACTTTTTCAGTAATCTTTGCACAAATCTTTTCACTATCGTTGATCTTGAAATCTGCTGAAAGGGAGGCCAGTTCTTCCTTGAGTTTTTCAGGCACATCAAGATTACCCATAATCTCGTCAACATTTTCATCAATGCTACCATCTTTTGCGGGACAGAATTCATGCTCTGAATCGTCGGGTGTAGAGCTGCGACTCTTGCATTTGTCACCCAGTTCTTGAAAGCCTTTCCAACTCTGCAGAAGCTGCTTTGAAGCTGACTGCTGTAACTTTGACAAACGGTCTTTTAACTTGTGAGAATCCTCTATGCTGGCGATCTCCTTGAGTGAATCGATCATTTTTAAAGCCTCGGCACAGCTGACATTGTTTGCATTCAGCTCGTCCACATTTTGGTTGGTTAAGCCTTCCTTTAGGGTCATGACAGCCAAGAAAGCAAGGAGAGCTTTAGATGAGGAGCCAAATGTAGAGGCCACATGAGAGGAGAAGTCAGGCAGACTGTTGGACCTTTCCAGACATGAGGGACGTTTGTTCTGTGTGATGAGTCTGATTGACTTTATTGAGTAGCAAATATCTTCAAGCACTGACTTGATATCTGGCTGATTTGAGATGTTTAGTGGTTGGGCTATTGTTCCAGTTTCTGCCATTGAATTCTCTTGACCTGACGTGAGGTCGTCCGTCTTGTACCCCATACTATCATCACTCTGATTAACTTCGACTGATTTGTTTGTGTTAGAGGATAGACTCTTGTCTGTTTCTGTTGCGGTTGTTGGAGAATTTTTTCTCAAGGATGATGTTTTCTTAGGTGCCCCATGCGATGAATCGGATGCATCTTCTGAGGAGTGGTTTCTGGAGAGCAACTTTTTACTAGACTTGCGCCTGATGGGTGGTGACACCAAGTCCAAAGATTGGGAATATGGAGACAGTGTCTTTTGCAATTTAGGCTTTTGGTGTTGAAGCTTCTTCTCAGTGGAGGGGCTAGCATGTCTTTGTTTCCCTGTGTTTGGTGATGTGGTTTTTTCAGAGTGATGGTTTTTTATCGATGGCAATTTTGGAGATTTGTGAGACACTTCAGGAGAAAGTGTCTTTGTTGGGGATTTTCTCTCTGGAGATGGACTACTTATAAGTTGCACTTTTCTTGCAGGTGTTTTAGGAGATGGAATCTCTGTTTGGGATGTATTTGTCTCCTTAATGTGCTGATCACCTGATAGAACACTTGGTGACTGCACTCTGTCTTCAGATGTTAAACTGTTAGGAGATGCAGAAGTATAATAAGAATGACTACTTTTAGAGTCTACCATGCTGTTTGATAGCTGCATCTGTTCCTGTGAGATTTCACTCTGTAGTTGGGTGCTTGTTGGATGGATGTCATTTCGCATTATGTTGTTGCCTGTTGTCTCTGGTGTAGGGTCACTAGATAAAGCATATTTATCCATGGAAGCCTTTCTGAGCGCCATCGTCCTACCAAAAGATAAATTACTGACCAAAGGAGCTCTTTTGATCGATGGACTCCTTGGTAAAGGTGCTTCTCCCACTGAAGGGGGAATGCAAGTCCGAACTGGTGTTGCCCTTTCCATCGTCAGATCAGTAGGAGATGCTGCTTTTTCAGATGACGGGCTAGCAGATTGGGGATGATTATCGGACATTTGACTGCTCACTGATGACATCCTGTATAATGGGCTGCTTGCCGGCGAGGACTCATCCATCTCACAGTATTCATTGTTTGAAAGCTCAACAGTTTCAGCAGGCGGTGAAGGAGGTGGTGGAAAATCCATTGAAAGGGTAATGGATGGTGTTAAGTTCTGAAGGGAGATTTTCACAGGGGTCTTGGATGGGGTTTTAGTAGCTGATAAAGTTGCATCATTCTGAGCTAAAGTAATGTAACTTTCTGTGTTCGGAGGGTTTTGATGAACAGTAACCGTTTCTTGACTGATTCTGGACCTCTCCGGTGAAGGACTGACTTTGTTCTCGAAGGACTGGATTCTTTGTTTGACAGAGGATCTCCGCACATTCTCAGGCTGTTGGTCGACCTGTAGAGTTTTATTTGTTTCTGTTTGTGATGTATTCTCCAGACACTTGGCTTCCTTTGCCTCAGTCACTGGGCTGTTCTTGTTTTCAGACTGAATACTCATGGCTTTTTCTTTTTGGACAATTTCTTTCTCCGCTTTTTTACTTTCCTCATATCGGTAGGTTTTGGCTTCAAATTGGGCTTTCTCTAACCAGTTTTCCACATATTCATTTGTAAAAGCACTGGAAGAGTTGAAAGCAGGCATTGACATGCTTTTGCTAATATCATAAGATTCATTTTCAGTCCTTCTCTCCTGGTACATTGATGCTTGGCGTGTCAGGATCCCCCGTGGTTGACATATTTCTTTGGTAGCAATGTTTAGCTTGCTCCTCTCTGTCTCCATCTTAATTTCATTTAATACCAAAGGTCTTTCAGGATCTTTGAGAACATTTTTTATCGTTTCATCTGACTGCTGCGAGCTCTTTGATGTCAACCCTTTATTTGAGGTTTGTTGCCCTTTTTTGACTTTCATCGTGGTCTTTGATTTGGATTTAGTCCCATAAATTTTCCTCAAGAATCCAGCACTGGAGAAAGTTTTCACTTTCTTACGTATCTCAGTTGCCCCAGAGGAATTATTTTTTTGCCTCTTCTTTGGTGTCACAAGTCGATGAACACGTTTCTTGAGCAGTTTTGGTTTTATAGAGGCTGCTTTTCTATTCTTGGCATCAGTTTGCTGGGACTTGCCTATGCCTTTGCTAGGCTCTGGGAATCCTCTCTGAGCATTTCGTTCTGGAGCTGAACCAGTGTTAAGCAAGGGCAAGGTTAGATCAGATGTTATTGAAGCACTTCCAGCTCTCCAGAGGCTAATTGACTCAGAAGCCGTGGATGGCCTCCAGAGATCAGGTTCTGACTCATTATTGGGGGTGAACAATCTGGTTTCTGAGGTGGCCGGCCTGCCAAAAGGGATCCCAGGAGCAGCCGTTCCCTGTGCACAAAAGTTTGCAAGGTAATTATCCTGGCAGGTCTGCTGTTCATATATGTGTAAGACAGTTTCAGTGACCTCCTCTCCACTAGATTCAACCTTCAGGACTTCTGACATTTCAGATGATTTGAATGAGGAGACATTTCTGCTGCTTATACTGTTGGTATCTAAAGAACCTAATCTCCTGGGCTTGGGAACTGGTCTTGTGCTGCTCTGCTTAACTAAGCAGTACTGCTCTGTCATAGCTCCATGTTTTGTCTGCTCTCTGTAGGAGTAAGAACCAACCACATCTTCTTGAATCCCATCAGCTGTCACTGATTTTACGCTCTCCATGGAGGTTTGCTTTGTTCTGATTTGCTCGTGACTTGGTGTGGGAGTTCTCTTGGGGGATACCAAGTCTATCTGACTTGGTGCTTTATTATTATCCTCTTCAATACCTCCCTCGCTGGGGGCTCCAGTGCATGATGTTGGTGGATTGTCGTCATCGTTATCCTTAGTTTTGTCTTTGTTGATTGAGTCAATAGAAGCTACAGGACTCTGAAAATCAAGCAAGCGCTGAGAGCTGAGCTCCTCTTCCTCGGGTGGTGGTAAACTATTTTCATTAAGCAGATTACCAACACTTGACCGAGTCAAGGTGGTGGTCCAGTGAATGGTCTCCTCTTCTTTAAGTGTCAACCTCACCTTCATCTCCACCGTCATGCTTCCATCTTGGTTCACTCTGAAGGACTTTTCAATGTCATCATCTGTAGGCACCAAGCACCCCTGCCCCTCAACTCCATCGCCAAGGCAGGTTTCAGCCTCCGTCTCTGCCACCGACTCCAGCATATGACCTGGCTCCCAATCCACAGAGTTTGAGGGGTAGCTGCGTAGCTCACTTGAACTTTCTGCAATGGAGTTGTGGATCTGATTTACGATAAACCTCTCAGATGAAGGGGAGAATGGCCTTGATTTTGATCCATTTGATGGAGACTTCTTTTTGCCTTTTCATTTAGTAAAAAGAACCATCCATTTAGAGAAGATTTACATGTCAAACGATTGAAGAGGAAATGTCCAACGATATCAGGCAAGGGTTGAAGTGGACCGGCAAGCAGTAGTTTTGAAGAGGAAAGCCAAAAAGCATGAAAAGAGAAACAAAGGAAAAGTTAGAAAGATAGTTGAACTTTTACAGCTCATGGAGAACAATAGCACATAGCCACACACACACAGTGTATGTAGGTCATCTATGGTATTATGTATAATATCATAGCCTCAGCACTCTCTTCATCCCATGAGTGCAGGAAGATTACAGTGGACACAGTATGTGCCGTATGAATGAGAGCTGGTTAATGGGAATAAAAGTGCTCATGAGAAAGAAGAAAACTTACGGTTCAAAGCTTTTAGTCTTCTGACACTTTTTCGATTAGTAGGCAGCGTTGTTTGAGCAGGAGATTTCTGAACACCGTAGTTTGCAGGTTTGTATGGTTCTCTTCCTGCAGCTACTACGGTCCCAGAGGACAATATCAGCCCTGGAAGACCATCCACCTGCAGTGGACAGAAAAATAAAATCATTTGTCACTTTAGTGGAACAAATCTTGTCCAACACAAGGACTAAAAAGAAATCAGCTATCCTTAAATCTAGGTAAGATAGGGAGTGATTGAATTACCATTTTCCTCCATTAATTATTGGTAAAGTACAAATGAATAGCTAAATTTATTGAAATACCTTGTAGTTTTGGCAGACTCTGATTTTACAATAAAGCTTTTACCAAGGCCTTACAGTCCAGTATCCCAGAATGCCTTTCTACGTATTAGGGTGAGTTGCTAAAGAAGCTTACCACTTTCTCTCCTCGTGTGACGGTTATTTAAAGGCTAGGTTTAAGCAAGGTTTTATGGGTCAGTCATGATACCACAAGGGACTAAAACCGATAGTAAGGAGTTGAAACATGCTAACGTTGGGGAATTGCCCATCCCAACAAAGTGTTAAAATCTTAAGAGTTAGACTAATAAGTCTAAATCTGGTCGTGGTTTGGAATTTGAGGTGTTTTTTTTAGATTGAAGACGATGCCCAAATATCTGTGTTTAAGTGTTTACATTTTTGGTTTAAATATTTGGCAGTGAAATCATATTTTGCTGTATTGTCAGAGAACACTCACGCGTTTGCCATCAGGTGTGAGTAATTTCACCACATGGAACTGGATCTGCTCTGAAATATATTCCAGTATGGACTCAAAAGTAGATGTAGTCCTCTTGGAAAGTCCCACTACGTGTTTCACACTGGGGTCTCCATTGCGAAAAACCAGTAGCTTCTTTGGCGTGCGCAGAACCACTGGCTCTTTCTTGTTCTGTCCAGGGAATAACCTGGCCTGTTTCACAGTTCGGCGGCGTGAACTCGCAGGCCTGGCGTGATACCAGGGCGGCAGCTTCTTCTTGGCGCGTGCCAGGTTGAAAGGTTTGACCCTATGGCTGTCAGAGCAGATATAGGATTTCCCGTCTTCCAGATCATCCAGGGTAGAGACTGCGTGAACCCCATGAGGAGTGGTGATGTTCCTCACTCCAAATGGCAGAGGAACCTTTTTAGAAAGACTGTCCAGGAGCGCATCAAATGTTTTAAAGGTGCGGTTGTTGATGACCATGCGCAGACCATTAAACTGAGGGTCTCCACTTTTGTAGAAGCAGACACGTTTTGATAGGATGGGGTCAATCACGCTCGGATGGCGTGGGGTGCCAAAGGTGTGCGCGCTCCCTGATGACTGTCCAGGGAGGACCCTTCGAAGACCCGTCTCATTCATCATCGCTGTTTAGCTGAAAGGAACGCGAAAGAAGAGAAAAATGGATATAAATCAGGATAATAAAAGTTTTTAGTCATTAGAGAAGTTTCTGTAAAGAAGAGGGAAACAATGAATAGTGAAATCATGATTTTATACATAGGTAGAGAAGTGTTTTCCTCATGGTCACCAGCAGGAGTCTTTAAGGTTTCTAGAAGCACCTTAGAATAACATCTTACATATATTTACAAGAAGTTATCTCCAAAGACAGGCTCTACTTGTACTATCCAATCTGTCAACTATATACAGAGAAGGGTATAAAATGAATTGATTGCTGCCAATGACAAAGTCTCGAGTAACCTCAGGAAGAAAATCATAGTCAAAAACATCAAACACATCTGTCCTTCATTGAGCCTCTGCATTTGGGTCAACAGACAGCACAACACCAAGTCCAACACATCTTAATTTGAGGTGTGCAAACAGCTGAATGACGTCTTGCAAGCATATGTTGTTTACTTCCTAAGCCTGTTGACACCAGGTAACATGACCTCACTTCTAGAAAACTTGACACGTGAATCTTTAATTATTTGATTACCTCGGTTTCAACAACCAACTAAGCAATTAAAATGTGGAAATGAAATGTCAACAAAGTCTCGTCTCTACTACCAATAGAGTGCCAGTAATCTTTCTGATAAGACCATTGGGCCATAATAATTATATCAAACCATATTTCTGTACAAGGATTTCAGTATTTATTTAACAGACCATGACGAATTGTTTTAATTGGCAAAAACTGGACGAAAGGGACCGTAAGTTTATGGCAAGATATACAAATATTCAAATAACGGCATCATTAGAAATGTGTCAAACCCGTTATCCAAAAATGTTAAAATATTACAGATAAATTACAGTCTGTTTCCATGTAAACTTAAGTGACGAATAACATAAATTTAATCTTGATTATATATTGAAAAAGTTTCAAAATAAGGAGAATAAAATAATCAGTAAAGGGTTTTGCTCTATCTGTGGGTGAAAAGTTTGTGTAGTTAAAGTATAGTTAAAATGTTTTCTCCTGGCCTTTTAATGCCACATTTATATCCCATACAGACTATAACTGAAAAACTCAAACTACACTGGAAAACCGTCACACGAAATTGAGAGAAGGTCAGATTGTACTCACCTACGTCTGCATCTGCATCATGAAAATTCCCGGAGCGTTTTGACAGGATCCATGAAATGTTATTCCGTGCTCTACATGATGACTGCTGTTGCCCCAACTCCACAGCAACAGTTTATTTCAGGAGACCGCATCGTGGTTAATTTGCTTAATCTTTGCTTAAAGTTAATCCCTGCTGCAAGTGAAGCGCCTGAAAATCCTCCTCAGAAAGGTGTGTCACACAGATGCATGTAGAGGCGGCATAGCGGGCACAGAGGTGGCCCAAGGACCTGAAATCTGTCCACTATCTGTGATTGTAATAAAAAAAAACACATTAACTTGCCTTAAAAATCTGTTTTTGAACCGCTGAATTAGAAATTTAAAAAAATCAGACTAGTTGTAGAAGGCAAAACAAAACACAACCATAAGATTTAACATAATTTGAAAGAAACACAAGATTTGAAAGCAAGTTGGACAAAACAATACAAGAAAATCAATCCTATTTTAGCTCAATTAAGAGTAAAGTGCTACATGAGGAAGTTAAACGGAAAAAAAGAGAACAGCGTTTGCTTCACCGGTAGCAGCAGATGGTGAATTCGTGTCCAGTTTCAATATTCGTGCGGGGTTGTAATCTCATTGAAGACCTCTTAAGATTATAGGGATTAAGGAGCTCTCTGTTAGTCCCTCAAGACCCTTGAATAGGAGAAGTTGATTTCAATGAAAGGGGTTAACATCCACCTTAATACCTTTATTTTGTAAGACAGGAGATTGAATGTGAAAATTGGAGTAGAGGCGAGGCTTGCTTTGGCCTTGTGTGAACTGAGCACGTACTGTAAACTTTAGAGAAGAGTGAGACATTTAAAAAGTAAAATAATTTTTTTTTGTCCTTTCAAAAATACACATGCTGATTCCAAAAATACTATGAAGTTTACAGGGGTAGTGGACTCCAGTAGATTAGGGTTTAACCGTATTACTGAGGGTATTAGCTGGTCATGTATATGCTTAACCATGAACTATCATGTGTTGCATAACAGTCACCAAAACGGGCCTGAAGTGAGTCTATTTCTGTAGAGAAAGGGATTAGAGGACAAGAGATAACTTCATTCCACTGTAAAACCTGGAGATGAAGTCAAGGAATCAAAGGAATACAGAAAAAGTGATCCGGTTTCAGCTCTGTTTAAAAGGATAAAGTGATAACACTCTGTCACACACAGTTTGCTGCACTGCTGTAAAAATATCTCAGGTGTGTTTGAACCAGATGATATGTGCTGTAGGAAAGAATTCCTGCTGAGCTCGACTAGACAGAGATTCAGGAATGCCGCAGGAGGCTCCCGTGTGCCAAGCCCATGACCTGTTCCCAAAACAACAGCGAGCAAAAAAATGTGAAAAATCCTTTAAAGGAAGCGTGGGAGGGGGGACAATGGAGGAAGCCCCTAGAGTAAACAGGTAGGCCTGAAGCCCGCATGCCCCTCATTCCAGCTCTCCACCCCAGAGATAAGACACAAGCAAATGTTGAAACCAAGCGGGTAGAAACGTCTGGTCAACACTGATACAGCACGACGATTCTGACTGAAATAAACTTGAAGCTCTGCACTCGGAGTGACGTGACAGGTAATAGCAGCAAATGTCTGAAGCTCCATTTGTCACATAACCTTTCAGTCACAGAGTTATAATGAACCAGCTGGTGATATGAATACTGTTATTTTTCCTTCACATGATTACACGTGAAATCACACGCCGCCATGACAGAGATATCTGTCTCTGCGTTCCGAGTGTATTGTCACCCCTGCCATGCTCTATTTTAAGTCATTGCGCCTATACTGCAACTAATTGGCGCCAAGTTAGATTCAAACCTATGCTGTTAATGGGAAAAAATGTGTGATATGTTTTGGCCCTTGTCCCCTTTCTATATTCGTCCCAGAGTCCTCTTTGCAGCTGCTCCTCCAGATCTCTCTGCTTGTGTTCCCATCAAACACCTCTCTTCAGTCTGCGTAGATCGCCTCAATTCCAGAGGCAAAGAGTTCCTACGCATGACTGTGCAGAAATATAGAGAAAATAAAGGGATTCCCTCTGATGTTATGCCAAATTCAGTTTTTGTTGTGCTATTTATATCTAAGTGGTCATTGTGTTTTGCAGCTCCGGTAAGGACTGGTTAAAATTCCAGGCGCTGCAGCTGTCAGGAATTCAATTATAAGTAATACAGCTGCACTGTGGTTCACAGCAGTGTAAAACATTCACTCCAATTAAAAGAAAGACAGCTGCTTCTGAGAATAATATGCTTAAAAACTTCTCTGACAACTGGAATCCCTTTCAAATTTCTAATATATAGTTTTACTTGTAAATTCAGATTTTCATGTGAAGGCTGTGAGCTAGAAAAAAAAAAAAAGCGTCCAAACAGACGTCAAGCAGAAAACATGCTTAACGTCCCAAATTCCTTTAAAGTGAGATGATGTGACATTTTTTCCTCGCTTCACTTCCACTGGAATTCCCAGCTTTTGAATGAATTCCTGCCAAACAGGACTCATAAGGTCACACCGCCGCCTGTCCCCTCCCCTCCTAAAACCCCTCACACAGCAGTCAGAGGTCCCCACCCCATCCATTTTGAGCGCTTCGTATCAGCTGTGCCAAGCTTTTAATCTGCCCGGTGACATCCCAGTGTTTCCTGCATGGGACACAGAGAGAGATAAGCACACTCCTCAGCGTGGTAAATCACTTCACACTCCCACTAGTTCACTGATATGACCATTATTCAATTAGGCTGCACTCAAACTGACCACCATTCAGCATAAGAATAATAATAATCAGAGGCCAACCATTGTTTTCGCTTTTATTCATTTTCTTGATGTTCTTTTTGCTACATAGAATCTCCACAGAAGATGCGCTTCATAAATCACCCTGTATCGTATAAAGCTGATGCAGGGAAGAAAGCACATATAATTTCTGTTAAAACAGTTGTCTTTATTTTCTGTGCAAACTATTCAACATCAAATATGTCTGTACAATGTGCTCTCTCAAGCAGTAAGAGCTCATTTGAAGTGTCTATATAAAAATTTCCTGCAAAATTTCAGGAATCTGTCATGGAATATTTTCTCATTCACTCCATTACAACATGAGAGCAAGGCTGAGGACAGTGGATCAGGATGCAAAGGTGGTAAACCAAGCAACAGAGCCTATCACTGAAAAGATTTTATTTATAATGATAAGTTTTAGAAAGTTTTTACAAAGTCAACAACTGGAGTGAAAAATGACATGCTTAAGGGCAGAGAAGAGGTTAACCTTCCTCCTGTGTTAGCTTTTACTACGCATCCACTATGTTAAGGGTCGGTTTTGACCTGTGTCTTATATCGGCTGTAAATTACACTATAACATTTCTTTATCATCTAATTTGGTCCTCAAATCTAGGTTACTTTGTTGGGCTTCATTATCCATGAAAATATTGCTTATAATAGTTTTTGTTGTGGTCCTCTGGGCCTGTGTACCCCTCTCACAGACATCTATACTGAATTGAATTCACATGTCTAGACATGCCAGACCGTTGTTTTTTAGGCAGGGAAAACCAGGCAAAATGAGAATTTCCTAAATTTCACATGATTGGAAGAGGATCTGACGATCAGTGTGGTGTCTGACAGTCCACTTATGATTTTAGTTTTGCTCTAAATATTAGATATTAATGTAACCGGGTCGACAGCAACCCCAACACGACAAGTGCCATAATTTTAATAAGAGCATTTTATAATTTAGTCATTCTATTTTTTTATTTTTTATTTTGTTGAAATAGGGGTTCCTGACAAAGTCAAAAAGTCTTGATGCGAAAAAGCTAATTTATGTGGTTCTTTTAAGCATTTAAAACCAAAAACGGGTCAGTGCAGAC